GGCCACCTGGCTGGAGGTGATAACTGAGGCTTTTGGTTTGTTCATTACCTCTGTCGTCGCTTCGTGTTGGCTTTCCCTTTGTATTGTGTGGATCTGGGTCCTAGTCACTGGACGTTCCGCCTCTTCGTAGCTGGTTGTAGCCCTTGCCACGGACGACTCGTACACTGATTGTACCGTTCCAAATTTAAGGGTGGGTGCCCTGACAACTGCGGTTGGTTGAACCGTGGGTATGAGATCCACAACAGCTGCTGCGTATTCCATTTTCGGTAAGACTAATTCTTTAGTAGATGTACTCTCGTAAAGTTTCTGGAATGCTGCCTGTACCGTGCCATATCTGATTAGAACAGGTGTAGGTGTCGCCTCAAGTGGTGGAGCTGCGTGCACCGTTACAGTGCTTTCCTTTTGGATGATGGGCATTGGCTCCTCCACTACCATTGTTTCTGTTCCTCTGCTCACATCAGCAGACAACGGTTCGGTGGCGGTGCCAACTGTCTGTGTGGAAATCTTGGTCCTCTTTGTCACCAACACAGAAGACACAGTAGTGGAAGTTTCTTTCTCCTGTGCGCCGATGCCAGTGTCCACATGCTCTAGACTATACCCACTGGAGGTCATCTCGGTCTCTGGTCTCAGGATACTCGACGTCACTTCCGACTTCGGTGTTGCTGTAGCAGTGGGTGGAACAGAGTGCAATACAATAGGCTTTGCGGGCTCAATCATCGCCTCAGTCATGGTCGCCGTTGACGTAGTAATGCGATGCGGAATTGCAGTCGATGTGACAATCAGACTCTGTGGTACCTCTGTAACGTGAGTTGTCGTTTCGGCTTGACTAGGCGATATTAGTGCCTGCACTTCCAGCGAATGCATCAGCGGACGTTTGGGAAATGATAGCAACGAATCTGATGTTGTGGTAGCCTGTACTTCTATCGTTCTATTTTTCACCTCAATCATCGGCACTTTTTCTTTTATAACTGCACGTTGTTCAGGAATATAGTCTACCTGAGTCTTTGCTATTAACATTTCAACCCTTGGTGGTACTTGCATTTTTTCGGCCTTGTATTTTATCTCTTCCTTTGTTAATACGGCCGTGTCTACCACTTTAGTTTTTTCAATTTCTGCTGTAATGGTGACCTCATATTTTTCTTGGATTGGTGTTTGTGTCTGGCCGAATTTCACTTTAATTGGCGCAGGTTTTGCCTCAACCGGTGGGGCTGTGTGAACCACAGATTCTGTCCTTTCTTCTCTTATCAAGTGCGTCGGTTCGTCGATTACCATCGCCTCTGTCCATGCGTCTACATAGGAAGCCAAGGGTTCTGTAGTGATACCAATCACCTGTGTCCTCTTGGTTAGCAGTTTTCGTGGTTTAGTAGATGGAGATGTATGTTCCACAGGCGGCATTGCTGCTTCGATCCTTACTTCCGTCATTGTTGCATTTGACACGAGTTTTGGACGAGGAAGCTCACTTGAAGTTACTGTTATGCCCTGTGGTACGTCCATCATCTTGGAGGCCGTTTCCGCCTGACCAGTTACCATCACGGCTTGAATTTCAACTGAACGTATAATCGGTTCAGTTGATACCACTTCCACGTGTTTAACTGTTTGGATTGCCTGAGCTTCTGCATTGCACATTATTGGCTTTGAAGGTGTTACCTCCTTGGCTACAGCCACGTAGTGTTCTGGAATGTAGATGGTTTGTGACTTGGCCGAGGATAGTACAACCTTCTCAGGTAATGGCATTTCTACAACCTTCGGTTTCGTTTCAGCTATTGTCAAGGCGGATGTGTCCATAACTTTGGGCTTCTCAACTTCACCTGTCATGATACCTTCGTAGCGCAGCTGATACGGAGTCTGAATCAAACCGAACTTTACCTTTAATTGGATGGGTTTCGTTTCAACCGGTGGTGCTGACTGAACCTTTACGGTGCTTTCCCGTTTAATAACAGGCATCGCTTCCTCTATCACAACTGTTTCTGTCCACGCGTCCACAAACGTTGCCAAAGGCTCGGTAGTGATACCAATAGCCTGCACTGAGACTTTAGACACTGGAGCCTTAGACACCGAGGATGTGGTTGTATTAATGTCTATTGCTGGGGCTCCTGTACCCGAGTCTCTTCGTTCCAGACCTGTTCTAGGAATGGGTAGGGCTGAGCGTTCAACAACGGTTTGTTTAGGTTGGATTAAGACTTCTGTCATGGTGGCAGTTGACATGGTTGCTGGTTTAGTAAGCTCAGCGGATGAAATGGTCGAATCTTTGGGTCTTTCAATGGCATGTGTTGCTGTCTCCATGTAACCGAGATCCATCACTGCCTGTATCTCCACTGAATGCATTTCTGGTTTGGAAGATGTCGATAGAAAAGTCTCTAACTTTCCTATGGCTTGCACTTGCACCGTACGTATCACGACCTTCGAAGGTGATTTTCCTTCAGTCACAGTTACATGGTGTTCAGGAATATATGTTATCTGTGATCCGGCCGAGGATAGCACAACCTTAGCGGGCGCTGGTATTCGTACAACCTTAGTTTCCAATCCTACCATCCTCGAGGTGGATGTCTCCACTACTGTTGGCTCCACTTCACCAGTGACAATCCCTTCGTAGTGCAATTGGAATGGTGTCTTTACTAACCCGTATCTTAATGTTACAGGCGTTGGGGTTGTCTCAATCGGTGGAGCTGAGCGAACAGCTACGGTACTTTCTTTCTTAATCAAAGGCATTGCGTCTTCAAACACGATTGTTTCCATTCCTCTGTTCACAATATTAGGTCCACGTTCGGTCATTGGGCCAACGGTCTGTGTATAAACCTTTGATGCTGGTTTCTCAGGCGCTGAGGTCACTGCGCTGGTAACCTTCTTCTCTGATGCTGCAATGCCAGCATCTATGTGCTCCGGACTCCAAGCACTTGAAGCCATTTTGGCCGGGTGCGAAGGATGTTCAATGAATGAGGTCACTGCGGTGTAAACCTCTGTTTGAGGAAGCTGTGGTGCAATCGGCGGTGCTGAATGCAAAACATCGGGTTGGTCAGATTTAATGAAGATATCCGTCATTGTTCCAGACAGCACTGTCTTACGACTAGCAACCTCGCTTGAAGAGATTAATGATTCTTTCGGTCTGTCAACAATGCCCTTTGTCGCCTCAACGTAACCAGGTGTTTTAACTTCCGGAATGTAGGTTACCTGGGATTTGGCAGTTGATAAGACAACTCTTTCAGGAAGTGGCATCCCTACTGTTGTCAAGTGGGTCGTGACCTCAACTTTAAGTTTTTCAACTTCGCCCACAAAGCTGCCTTCGTAATGCAGATGATATGGTGTCTGTATTAGCCCGTATCTTACTGTAATAGGCACAGGAGTCGCCTCAACCGGTGGGGCTGAGTGAACTTTAATCGCGGTCTCCCGTTGGATAATGGGGACTGGTTCCTCTACGACATCTGTTCCCGTCCACGCATCTACAAGTTCAGCTGAAGGTGCAGTAGAGACAGCAATTGCCGTAGACTTAGCCGCTGGCGAAACGGTACTAACCCTCTCCCTCGATGGAGCTACGATACCTGAATCCGGCAGTTCAGCACTCCGCCCACTGGAAATCACTTCAATTAGATGTGCAGGCTCCTCAGAAGCCGAGGTCACTGTGGTGATGATTTCCGAAGCTGGTACTTGTTGCAGAGTAGGTGGAGCAGCGTGTACGATTTGGGGTCCTACGGGTTCGACCAGCACTTCAGTCATCGTGGCTGTGGTTTTAACTCCTTCCCTCCTTCGAATTGATGTCTGTGTTGATGTTGTGGAACAGTTGAACATTGGTGGTTTTATTATTCCCTCATATTCATCTTTACTGGTCATTTGAACGCCTCGTTCGTAATAATCTCCACTTTTCGTTGTTCCTGAAACAATTGCTTCCATTGTTCTTTCTGAAATTGGTCGACGCTCTCTTGGTTCCTGTTGAGACGGTTCTAGTGACACATCGTGCTTCAACTTCATCTCTCCATTCGCGTCAGACTGCCATGATGCAACTCTTGGCTCTACCATTAGCACGTCTTTTGCGTCTATTGGGATTTTCTCAATGTCTATTTGAATCCCTCTGCTTTGTCGGTTATCGCCAGTCGGAATCATGGTATCTTGTGTGCTTTTTGCTGCGGTGATTTGCAAGTAGACCATCGAGACATCGCCTTTTTGTGGTCCAGATGTAAATTGAAGATGACGTCGACTACGATACCGTCCATCCGGTGAAGAAATCATTGGAACTTCTCCACGTCGCCGCATCGCCTTTTCTAGATTAATCTTCCTATTCAATGTCATCGAACTAACCACGGAATCTTTAGTCTCCTCAATCGCCTCCGAGATTTGTTCACCAGGTCGTTTGCGGGTTGGTTTGTAGAGAAGCCTACCCCTCTTCCGCGGTTGACCGGTGTCGCCCTCATCACTAGATTCCGTCAGTAAGTCATCTACATCAACAATAATGGCTTTTCGATGCGGTCGCCTGACGTATCGTGGCCTATTGGTTAGTGCAGTCGACCGATGAGCCGCATCTCTGGTATACAGCTGAAATTCGTGGGGCGAAAGATCTTTATTCCTCTCAATGTCGTACTGCGAACCACTCGTCTCCGATTCGCCCGAAAGCTCCTCCGATGATGAGTAATATTCGCCGAAGATGGTGTGTACTTTGTGGATTGGAACCCTCGGGGAGCGCTGTTGAGTTCGGAGGGTATTCACCTGACGGATCATCTTTTCCAACTTCCTATGTTCTTCAACAGACTCTTCGCTAAAAACAACACATTAGTTGGGGTAACTGAACTTACTAAACGTATTTTAGGTCCCCTATGGATTTCATGGTTGATGCATCGAGAATGTCTCGGCTGGTGTTTTCCTCAACGTCCTTCATGAAGCGCTTGATCTGGTTGACATGATCCTAGAAAAGCGTTACATCATATTTAATAGGGAAGTGACAAAAAAGACAACGCTGATTAAGTAGCTTAGTTGCGAAATGGGTTCAAACCAAAGCTTTTCAGCATTTTAAAAAGCATGCTACTAATTTTAGTACCAGACAGAGCTTTAATTTTGACTCCACTATGATTAGGAAGGGCTCAAAATGCAACTTACTCTCAACTTTTGAACTGTTTTTCGGTACGACGCTACCTCCGTGATCTTCACGTACAAGTATTCGGAGGTTTCTTCGCCTAAATTGGCATTCATTTAAAATATATACTCAAGAACTTACGAGGATCTTGACGGCTTATTTTCTCCCTCAAAGTGGTTATCAGTTCGTTGAGGAATTTGTTGGCTGTTCCACTCTCTGGATCCTCACACGGAAAAGCTCTTTCAACTTCCTCCAAAAATTGCTCGAAAACTCTCTCGTTTTCCAGCCGGATGTACTAAAGTGTTGATAAAGTTGGTAGCATTCAAACACACACCTCCACATCAACTATGCTTGCACACTATTGTCTATGAAAGCTAGCTTGATTAGGCTAGTAAAATGCGTACTCATCATGAGCATCAAAGTGATGAACGCCGTAAAGAAGTGGAGGATAAAAGTCCTACCTTAGCATCAATGAGGCTTGAGAAGTAGGCAGAGAGAGCTTTCACGCCCTTCGTTAGCCAGATATCGATAGCTTCTCTCCACATATTGGTGAAGAAATCGTAGATCCTACAAAGGAAAAGGATACATTAATCAAAGGTTAAGCAAAATCATCCTTTTTGTCACCGGAATCTCATGATGAAATAAAAGAACAACCTCATGAAAGACACTTCATGCTTTTGAGGGCAATAAAGTATGGCACTTAAAATCAGTCTACTTACTCATATGCATGGTTGATAGCCTCCTCATCATGCTCATTAACCATCACCGTGACGGCAGGCACATCGACAGTCAAGCTGCCATCCATGGTGCGGACCTTCCACATCACGGGTTCGCGTTGACTACAAAGAGTGTGGCTGCATCCAGGCGGGGTGGCACTAATAGACACATCACTGGGACCGCTGGTACTTCCAGTGGTGGTGGAGGATTCACTCGCATTCCTTCTGCGCCTTCCATTCATTTCCTCCTCCGTCACCGATCCCGACTCCACGTCCTCCACATCTGTCTGGCTTGTAGTCTCTGTAGAGGTGGACAGCGGCAATCCACAAATCGCACAGCCTGGACGACGGTGAAGGCTGCAGTGGGGTAAACAGGTGCTGCATTCCGAAGCTTCTGAAGTGTCTGTTGTCTCTGAGCTGGTAGTCAAGGGTGTTGCATAGGCGTTGTCCAGTACGTAGACATGCTGACCGGCACGCAGACCGAAGTTCTTGGTAGAGTAGTCGCAGAGCATTATACCCGAGACGGGACGATTAAGTCCTCGTACACGAAGGTACACTGGATTTACACGCCGTGCTTTATCCAGGATTCGTAACACTTCTGAGGCCAAGGATTGAAACTTGAAAAGTCCTTCCTATGAGTTAAAATTTGTCATATTGAGCTAAAGTTCACCTATACCATCACAAACCTTCCTACTGTCCTTTAAGAGCCTGGAGTGGAACTTACGGTTATGTAAGAGTTTAGGCGAGTAGTGGTAATAGACGGGTACTCAACATCGATGTCCTTGTAGCGATCGTAGTTTGCTTTGGCTCTCTTTTGAAGAGATTTGAGGAAGTGATCACAGTTGTAGTAGAACTGAAGGTAAGATAAACGAAGTTGTTAAGTGCCCCAATTTGCAGCGAAGTCACACAGCAGCAAGTCATTCTTACCAGCTGGTATTCAGATGCATTCGAAATGTGAACTCGACTGACATTGGAGAGCCGCTGAACCGTTTTCCAACAAGCCCTAGTGTTCTTACTCAGATTCTGCAAAGTGGGAGTCAACAGGTAAGATCTACTGACAAATCAGGTAGTAGCAATACAGCATTCACACGCCATTAATTGCACCACTTACGCGATCCCAAAATTCTGGGCTGCCTTGTGCGTTGACGAGATCGACTGCGCGATCCGAAACTTTTTGAGCCATTTCCTGCGAATAAGAGGAACACAAGTGTATGCACTACAGCTTAATCCGACTTTCATTATTTTACCTATTTTTTTCATTTTTTACATCCTGAACAATCTAATATCCAACGAGACAACTAAAATGTGCACCAGGAGATTTCACACGACAGGGCTCTTCCAGAGGGGTTAAACTTAATTTGTGGAGGCGAAAATGAACGATAGGATCTTCCAGCAGTACCTCAAATTATGATACGATGAGAAGGAAATTTAACTCCGTCAAAGGGTTTGATTAAATTACACGGGAGCTTGGGTTGGATCCGGTAAAATTGACCCACTTGATCCCATTATACGAATCACCTCTACTCGTGTTCTGTAGACTGAAATGGTTAAAACTACACGGTATTCGGTAAAGTATATTGCTGTCGAAACAAAGTAAAGCATTTTGAAGCATGTAGGTAAGAAAAACTCCTAATCTTGCATTCTGATTTATGCAAAACATCGACAATTTGCATATCGCCTTCTGTGTGTCACCTCGTGGCTGCGTGCACGCACGCACAAGCGGACTGCCAACAGGATTGAGCGCAAGGTCTTGGCAGCTTATTGAGGTGTGCCAACTAGCTACTCGCACAGTTTCTGTAAATCCTACTTCTCAACATGGTCCTCTGCTGACTAATAAAAGATGTAACACATAAATTGAGCAAAGATGGCACAACTGCCAATCCAAGAAGGCGCTAAAGTGAGTGCGCGCGTAAAGAATGTTGCACACCTAGCATTTAACGGGCCATAAATATTTTATTTCCCATATTCTCCTGTTCAACAGAGTTAGTAAATTGCATTACTTTTGTTTTCTTATGTGCTACTGCTACTGGCTTTGCCTTAATTGAAGAGGAGTGAGACTGAGCTAACTACTGGCCAAATGGATGGTTATGCATTCAAGTAAGCAGTAAGCTGCATCAAAAAGTAGGTCTTTTGGCTATTGTAAAGTAGTTGCTTTCTATTTGTCTTTTTTCGCTAAAAATTGGAAAAATAACTTACGGAAAACATATGCTCAAGACTGGTGATAGGGGAGAGGAACTCTAAGTGTTCCCGATTGATATTAATGAGGGTCTGGAGATTACTTGCATCCTGTTGGGGGTAGAGACCCTGAAAAAAAAGGGGATAGAAAACAATGGAATACATTGATCAATTGGATGTCTTTTTGTACGATAACTTAATGTGGGCGAAATACCTACCCTTGAAACGCATTTTTTCAGTTCATCCTCAAGGTAGGTTTGGTAGTCGAGTTCTTGCTCAAGAGCTTGGTGCGTCTCACCAATGTACTCCATGTTTATACCAGACTGTAATTTTACACAATAAAAATAGTAAAATGAATTTACCAGCAAGTGCTAGTAGGCCGTGATATATGCGTATTTACTGTTTTACCATCCTTTTCTTTTTAATTCATCATGGAAGAAAGTTTTGGCATGGATAGATTCCCAGCAGGTAAAATGATACTATATCAACCTAAAAGCACCGCATGAGACTCTCTTCAAGCATTATATAGGGGAATTTCTATTCAATTTAGGAAGGCATTTGTAAATGTTGAATGTTTGTTCCACAAAGCCAGTGCTTAGTTTTTGCATTCTTTGGAAAGTTACAATTTATTGTGGGGTGGTTATTACCCTGAGAAATACGCTACGATACGTCTTCCTTTTTATTCTTTCACACATTCGATTAAATGTTCTTAGTACAATAAATTTTGTAGTTCATTCAAATATCTTACTACTACACATTCTACCTATTTGTATTACCCAACAATTAACTACTGATAAGACGTCTGACAACTTCTGAGCAGTATGTGCATTCAATAATAAACTTCAAAATGTCGAGAGAAATTTAGCCAAGAATTACTCAAACATGCTACCACTGAATGTTGAGGTAATTGTGGTGATAGTCTAAAGCACTCAATTTCTAATGGAATTTCATATCCTTGAAGGAGTGATAAGTTCTTTTAGCACTTAACTGAGCGCGGGTTACAAAGTCAATTAAATGAACCAAACTTGAAGTCATTTTAAGTCAACTTAGTGGATAGAATCAAAGACTACAATATATATTATGTAGAGATCAAAAAGAAGAAAGGAGAAGGGGAACTCACCAGAAGATGCGGCAATGTCTCCGCCCTGCGTCGGTCATCGAAAATAGTTCCCGCGTCCATGTTGACGCTTGGTTAAAATGTTCCCCTTAATCAGAAATTAGTATTCGCTCGAAATCGAAATAGGCAAAAGAAATGGAGTAGTGTAGAGTGATCTGCGAAAATTGTGTTATGTCGTTAAGCCTCTCTCTCTTGCTCTCTCTCTCTCTCGCTGTGCACGTATGAATGTCACAGTGTGTGAGACCGACCTTATAGACACCTGAAAGGAGCCAATTGGCGACGCGTTGTGCGGCTCTCTTTAAGGGCGTTCCATGGAGGGCTGTATCTGCGTGGGCTTAGGTGAGCACAGGCTCACTATGACTCAGTCCAATGAGCGTGTGCGTGTGAGTGAGGAGGTGGCTTGACATCATGCCTCACGACACCGTCCGCTTTGTACGCGAAACTCGACTTCTTGTCCAAAGCAGACTTTACTACTTACGTGTTATCGATGGATGATGTTTAAGGAGCTAAAGATAGACTTGCTTTTCAAAGTAGATTGAGATTTAAGTATAATTTAAAAGCAGTTTAGTTTGGTAGATCACTTTCGTTCGCTTTGGTGATGGGGGGCAATTAAGGCGCCGTCGAGTGTGCCTCCACTAGGCGGCATGACCACCGGACCATGCCGCCAGCCCCTTCCGCCTATCCCTTCTGTACATTGGGGCTACATATTCTGACCCAGTGGCATATCTTCTTTCGATCTTGGGGAAGAAACTGGGCGCTACACAATCGTTGCTGTCCTCCAACTACAGAATTCCTCTTCTAATCAGACAGGGTTTATCCAAACTTTACTATATTTTCTGACAAAAATATTATATGAATGTACCTGATGGGTATTTTGTACATCATCCAAGTCGGAAATAAAAAAAATTGGGGGATTTACTGCACTATTATTTTAGGCTTCACCTATTCTGTCAATTTGAATGAGAGATATAGGTGGAAATTTGCAGTTAATTTATTCGTTTGAAGTATTTATGCAGTGGTGAGTACCTAAGTGAAACACTCTTATTGAGTTGGCACTCCATGAAGAAGTTGCTGTGAAAGTGGTTGTAAAATCCCATTAAGAAGGCTGTGCTTGTGTTTCACCTTCACCCGCCAGTCTGTCTGGCTGTCCATCGGACGGAGATCACACTGCTGGGAGGGACGAGCAACTTAACTGACATCTCGGCTTTATTGTCGCATGCTCACAAATTCCATTGAACTAGATTTAATTATGCATTTAATGAAAGATCTTCAATAACATGGATTTACTGGAGTACTTACTGCCAGTCGACGACTGGCACGTGATTTGTGTGGAAAATCAAATTGCAATTCTTTTAGTTGATCTAAGCTTTTTTTTACTGGTGTCTTGTGGACCTAAAAGTATTACTATTTTTCTGGGCCTAAAGTATCATAATCTGCAGACTTTTATGAAGACTAATTTAATTTCAAGAAATCTATGGCAAAATTTGAGGGGAAAACATGCTCCTGAAAGTCAGCTACGCCTTCTACGGTGCGGAAAAGTTATTGGGTTTTCGGCACCCAACAATACTTGAAAGACCTGAATAAACTTCCGCTTCACTTACGTTCCAATTACCATTTTCCAAGATGTTATATGTAAATGGCTCTGTAATACTTTGGTTGTTTGTTTAACTCTTCCTTTCCATTTTGCGAGTACTTAAGCCTCCTCCTTCGTTCTTCCTCCCTCCAGCTGCGTTGCCTCTGGGCCATGCTGTCAGCTCCCCCCAGTCGTTCCCTACGTCGGCAATACATATTTTGCCTTTTCGTCTTCGAGGAAGTCTCGGAGTGCTACGGAATGGTCAAACTTTGTTGCAAAAAGAAGACCAAGTGATGGAAGGCTTCTATTGAACGGTTTCGTTGCATATCGTAAGAGGTTTTCCTACAGTGGAAAAGCTCTCCAATTGCTGCCAGAGCTCTTGAAATTATTTCCACAAAAGAAGACCTTAGAATTTAGCTAGTTTTGAGGTTAATTGTGTTACATATGGGATCGCGTCAGACTGCACTCCCTTCCACCTCTCCAGATACTATTAATTACTTGGCAGCTGTCACACCAGTATGAACGATTGTGGCTCTCTCCTCCTCCCAAAGGAAACCTTTAATGGAAACGTATGGGTACTTAAGGTCGTAATTTAAATACCATGGTTTGAAGGCACTCTGAAGCGTTTGTTCATATCGCAGCATTCATTCTTAGTAATTAAGGTCAGATCATGGGATTTCCTCCCAGTTAAAATGAATGAGTGGTGTGTTTGAAGCTACATATCCATTTTATTCTTTGTAATCAATCTGAAAGCAGTTACTAGTATTTACGTTGTATTTCCAGGCAACCATTAAGCTTCATGTTATATAAGGCAGGGTTGAGGTAAAGTAAAATGCCTACGCCTATTTTACAAGCAAAAGAGTTGTTAGATTCTCCAATATTGTTGGAGGTTGTGTCCCCATTTGACCTTGAATGAACCACCTAAGTTAATGTGCTCTCCCATATGCCGCAGCGCCTGTGAGAGACAGGTGACCTCTAACGGCCTCTCTCTATGCGACCAATGTACCCCAAGACTAATTTACACATCCCAAGGTCAATTCTATCAAGGGCGGAGCAATTAGCTTTGAAAAAACATCATTATCGTCAAAATTTAGACGGAGTAGCTAACTAGATTTAATGGTTTAATTGTTTGCTCAACTCTCGGTTTTGTTAACGGACGACTTAGGCGCTGCGCCACCTTACCTCCTCCTGACAGCCTAGCCTCCAAGCCATGCCAGTAGCCTTAATCCATTTTGTAGCCCTACAATGCTTATTCTACCCAAGTACTATGGCTTCTTTCGTCTTCAGGGAAGTCTCGAGGCGCTACATAGGCACCCCTTTAATTACTTAGATGTACTCAGTCAATTATCTCAAGGTCACACGTTGACGAACCAATGAAGGTTGTCACAACTCCTAATTGACTTACTGAGATAAGGAGAGCGAGAGTTTAGTTCCAATTCTAAAGGAAAAGTAATTCTGTTGTCATTTTAGCTTCGATTCGAGGAAGATAAAGGCACAAGCGGGTGACTGCCTCCTGCAAAAGTCGATAGAGAGGCACCAGAAGTGGTGCATTCCACTGTGAACTAATTAACACTACTATGGGAGTTATGACTACATAGCACAGTGACGCTTGTCAAGAGGTCGCGCATTCATTTTTCACATGCAAATTGCTAAATTCAAAAACGCCAAATCGAGAACGCCACTTGTAACAAGTCAAATTTTACTGCCCCCCCGTCTCTCCTAGACTTGAAGACCAGCTTTATTTAAAACAAAAAATGCATCATATATTGTTGGCGGCACTTTTAACTTAAGAGAAAAAGAGAAGACAAACTTGCTTTTACTTTCTTAATGCTGCCGCTTAAATCTGACGCAACCACCTATTCTAAGCAGTTTCGCCCATTAGCGATCAAGGCGTACTTGAGGGGTACAATGAGGTGACTCTCCACTCCAAGTTGGGTTTGTTGTGCTACTCTGGTATGCAAGTCTGGCGTAGAGAATTCGATGTTAGCTTTGTAAACGTTATCATTAATACAACTGGTTAGGATTTCCTTTCGCGTCCATCTTCCTGCAGTAAAAAGAATAGACGAGTCAGGGTAAAGAACGTAAGTTGGGACTTCAGCGGGCCCTTTCACCCTCTCTTGATAAAGGAAAACAAAATTTCGATTTTGCCACCTAGTCATACAGCTGAAAAGCACGGGATTGTGGAATTTATTACCCTTCTAAGTAGGCATAAAATTCCTAACAAACACAGCCCAGCTAGGCATGAACTGGAGTTATAGGGCGAGCGATAAATCGTGACTGATGGCTAAGCAACTATTGCACCACGCGCTGTTGTTGTTGCCGTTGTTTCCGTCTCCAAGTAAGGCTCTACATGAAAAAGGGCTTTTTGTCTAAGAATTTTCACAAACACACGCACAAATGTTAAGAGCTCGGCAGAGTGGAGGCCACTTGAGAGAGCAAACCTAGAGCTCTCATGGCTACACATCTTGCCAACATGGCCTTAATGCAAATTGCACAGAGAGGCGCACACGCAATCCACCTCAGCTCCGCTTACACTCTCCGCTTTGGCGCACTCCGCTCCGCCGAATCACTCTCTGTCAGGCATCTTGTGCGGATTTGGTTGTGTGTGTGTGTGCGATGTGTAATGTATTGCGCAAGATTGCATTTGAACACCGCCTCGAGCTCTCCAGCCTGGCACACAGACAGTTTAAAGTAGTAAAAATACAAGATATCTAAACCACCTTGTCAGCTACATGTGAGGTATTTATATGCTCGGTCTTGGAGAAGATCAAAATCCACCTTTACCTCTGGGTAGTCAGTCAAGGTAATCTAATCCACTTTACGACAACGCAGCATAAGAGCGCAATTATTTGCCTCTAAAATAAAATTACAGGGAGAGTCACTGTAGTTCGAATATCTAGCTACCTTGACAGCTTTTGCAATGGGAGTATAGTAAATACCAATTAAATACGTTTATTTGTGCCTTTATCTCTCCTTCTCCGTTTTTGTCTCCTAGGTATCCAAAAAACTACCCTGAAAACATTCAGCTTGGTACTTGAAGAACTTAAGCTCACTGCTGGTAAAAGCTTGTTGTATAGGTGATCTGTCACCTTGCCTGGGTCAAAAATCCTCCCTCACTCAAGAAGAATGGGGTTCATTCAGATCAAATAAAAGCGGGCTTCTGATCCCCTAGACACCTCTCAAACAAACGAAAATTGATGTGCTTCAAGCTTTTCAATTATTGCTCGTTTATTTCACTATATGTTACGCAGCCTAGCTGAGGTAGTGTCAATTGAGGTGAAACGAACTATCTACCTTTCAATCAAGTGGTCTCCTTAATACTCAGCGGAGTTCGGACTAGCGAAAAAATTCCATGAAAAGGAGAACACCGACAAAGACAGCATTCATTTGTACACCAGTAACTCGATAAGTGAGAATCATGTACGGGTCAAATTTCTGAATCTGGATGCCTCAGATGTCATGCAAGTTCACGATTTACTGCAGGAAAGATAGGCTCTTGACACATTTGCCAAGCGCCAGGTAGCATCGTCTCTTTGTGATGGTTTGAAAGGTATTAAATACCACGACCGTTGCCTCGCTTATTCACTGTTTGAGTAGTATGGAGTAATTCATCTTGAAAAGTTGCCTTTTCGTTATCGTTTAATGGAACGATGTATTTGTGTAAGTTGCATCTTCAACTACTTTGAATCGGCAGTCTCCGCGCCCTTGGGAGAGTATTACTGTCTCATTTGTTTACACAAATATCATTTCCATTAACAACCAACTAGCAGCCTTTTACCTTTGCAAAAAGATCCGTCACGACTAATTTGTTTCATTGTGCTTTTAGAGATTGCCCGAGACATCAAAACAGATTACTCTCAAACATCTTCAGCGTCGGCGTAAACACCACCACCAAGGCCACAACTCTTCTGTTTTATTGCAGTAATGTGACACCAATTGCCAGTAAGTACCAAGGCTGTGGGTTGGATTGAAGTACTAAACACCTCTTTTTCGTTTCTGCGTTAAGGACTTTGTTCGCGGTACGATTTGGTGGAACCACTCACCCGTCACATTTTTTGTAACCTCGGGCTCAGATGAGGAGACCTGCGCGTCACATGAGTTATGATGCTGCCAGCGGTCGTGTGGAAAAAGTAATGTAAAATCAACTCCTATAAAGTGCTGATCCACCATTTGACATTTTCTATTCCAAATTTACTTTGTAATTATTTTTAAAAGTTGTTTTGGTTCTCCCATAGGAGTTCAAGCCTGCATTTCAGGAAGATACAACTTTGTAGCGCCCCGAGACTTTTCTAAAGACGGAAGAAGACATAATACTCGGGCAAAATATGTGTATTCGGCATACAGAAAGTACTTGAGTTACTGGCATTGCCCAAGGGCAAGCCCTCCCAAGTCGAAAGCGGCGCCTCACCAAAGCCGGGAGTTAAACAACTAGTGTATCACAACTTCACGATTACCATTTAACACATCACTAAAATACAAAATATAGGTATTTAGCCATTCTATTTAATAAAAAAGTTTGTATCTTGCTTGACTATTTGACCACTTTTTCATCTTACCCGATGAGTCATACGGCTAAGTCACCGTAGTCATGGCGACATCCTCGCTCACTCAGTCAAAAAACGCCTTAGTAGTCATCGCGAAAATCACTTCTAGCATTGCTTGTAGAGTAAAAGTAAGGCCATCAAAGAAAACGGCCTTTTGTGCCATTGTCATTGGCGCCGAGGCTGCTGCTTCCTGTGACAATTTGCAAGTATTCCTTTGAAGTCTGTATTTCTCTTCACTTTCCGTGTGTTTAGTTTAGATGAGTTCAAAATTCAGCCGCCGCACACACTCAGAAGGCTGAATTCAACTAACTTATTGACTCGTAGATGACTGATGACCTACTTTACGCATGTTTTTTTAGGGCTGGCTTCGGTGAGCATGCAAACTTGACGTCATACTGTTGATACACTTCTTAACAATGACGTTTTCAAAACTTAGCATTTTACTGGTACTATGGCTATCATGTTTGCTGCTGGTGTAATACATTTTATATCCAGGTTTTTTGGGGTCTAATCCAGGCGTCACAAATAGGTGACACGAACTCCTTCACTTTGATTCGACCAATTGCCAAAAATGGGGTCCCAAACAAGTTAAGTAAGTTTCAAAAAGATAGAAATGCGACAACCTTAGTCAAGGAATGACTACATGTTTTTTAGTTTCCGACTAGCAGGTGAATTGAGTAAAAAAATATGAGCATTTGGTGTCATACATACACGCCTGCAAAGTAGAATTGTTCGCATTTTTGCGAAGTGACAATTTAAAAAAATGGTACCTGGCATCGAAATAGGATACGTTTTGCTAGGATCTGCACACGATAGAAAGTGATTTATGCAGCACTTTCGAGGAATATAAAGAGAGTATAAATAAAAGGCCATTGTGCTGCTAATAAGCAAACGCAATAAATATTAAGTAAGATTGCTGTTTTATTAGTGTTGGGAGTGCCAGGTTGTAAAGTAATTAGAGCGTATGGAGGAGCTGCATATTTCTACCAATTGCTAGAAGCATGATTTTCACGAATCTGTATCACTAAAATCTTGTTGTCTGACTTTGTACTCTACTTATTTTGCCCACTGAAGTTAACTATTCTTTTTTGTGTAAATTCTTTAAAGTGGGGTTGTCGAGTAGCCTAAATTGGACTAACTTGCCTTCAGCCAAATGAAAGCTGACACAAGGAGCACCTGACCACTGTTTTTTAGCCTCTGTGAGTCATAGCACCTACGCTTGGCATTTGATCCCCTGACTAAGCGTCTCCTCCACGTTCCGGTGCTTTTCACGTCGGCGCTCAAGCCGAGACCCATCTCACACGCACGCACTATACGCATCCCCACACCGTCTCCTTACAAGCTTTCACTTTCGCTTCTTCACTTTTGTTAAATAAATTACTAATTCCGCCTTCTTTGCTCATTTTACCAACGCTATCCTTAAATGTCGGCAGCCAAATCCACGGCTGTGCTTTACCTGGGTTCGAGAAGTACCTGGTCAAAGAAGCCGTTAATTAAGCCTATTGTGGGTAGCAAAAGATGGATATGAATTTTGTTATGCAATTCACACATTATGGGGTGGGACAAGTGCGAGTTTTGCATAGAATGTAAATTAAAGCAACTGGACTGCTGCATGTTTTCTTGCCTCCGCAAACGACCGTGTCTATACTCATGCGGAATCAATCGGTGGGTTGCGTTTGCTAGGCATAGGGACAACTTGTAGTCTTTCACCATAAGCCGTAGATAACGAAATCGGGCTAGAGTTATGGCTAACTGCATGACTTCTCACAAGTAGATGACATACACTTTGATTCCAGTGACATATTTAACATCTCCCTTAAAATGTACAATTCCTGGTTTCGACTACTTTCCTGTTATGATAATAGATCAAAGTTAATAACGCCTTTTAATAATTAGGGCCTTTTACGATTCTAATAAACTCAAGGGTCAACGCGGGGAATTTGTTTAAATTATTTGTAGTTTCGATTACTTGGCTGTTTAGCTAAGTAAAAGAATAATAACCTTGGCATGTAATTGATAAATCGGAAATTTCCAAGTCTTTAAATGCTGAATACCTCAAAAGGAGTAATGGGTGGATCACCTGAGCCTAAAATGCCAATCTTGTTTAAGGCGATTTTGTCTTTCAATAAAGCTTACCCCTTTTTTAAAGATGATACGAAATATTTAAATTTAGCTCTGTGGCAAATTCCATTCACACCATGGTCAAATAACTTCGGTTTTTAAATCTCTTAACTAAACAAACTGGTAGGTGCTAAAGGGAAAGTGGCATTCTCCTTACATAATTCTCATACATAAACCACATCACTAATTTTTCCAAAAATAAGATCCACACCTAAGCTCAGATTAGATTCACCCAAAAGAATGACTCAATACCACTTGCTAATTCCTGCTAAAATAGAAAATGAGAGGCATAAATAAATTGAATTATCCTTCAGTAGAAGTCAACGAAAATTATCAGGCATCTCGTATGGAAGACAATGGACAATCTAGTCTACTGAAGAGATATGAGTAGGTATATAAGTGTGATAAGGGTATTGGGAACGGAGAAAATTAGTTGATTTGGGATTAACATAACAAATCCCAATGCAAAACAATGAATGATCATAGACATACATACGTAAGACTCGCTTTTCCGAAGAGATGCCTTCTTTGCTATTAGAGTAGATTGAACAACCCCGTTTCTGCTTTCTTGCAGTTGGCATAGAGGAAAGTCAATTAGGTTAAAAAAAATCAAAGGGACTTCTGACAAGGGTTGCTAGGCAATAGATCTAAAGTCACATTATATGAAGAGGTCAGTTACACAGCATCAGTCGCTGAATCGTTACGCCATCTCCAACTCATGACAGCCGCAGTCATAGCACAAGAAATGTCCACTGGCTTGTCAAAATGCCAATTTCGTACTTCATCAATGCTACAGCCACAATTACAATAAGTGATTATGATCTCAGCTGTAAAGTTTTCTAATTAATTGTGTCTTCCTTTTTGTCAGAATTTGGAGTTAATGTCTAATCCTACCCGTATTCTAATTCATATCTCCCTCTGATGACAAAAAACTCATTTCACCAGTAAAGCCTCTAAACCTTGGAAAACACTTGATATGCGGGTGTCACAACCGCTTTAGAGAACGCTCGTTCATTCGTATGGCGGTATAACGGACGGAATGGCTCTAAACACGGTAATATTCGATGTGATTTCACTGCCAAATCGTGTCAATTCGCACCTCGATGAGGCTTTTTTTCAATGTCAAAGCCAAATGTCAGTAAATACGTTCGTGTTAGGAGACAAGGCTTTCGGAGCACGCAGTGGGAGCGCTTTGATGTGATCAGCGTAACCTTAGCCCGCTGTTAGGCGTGACAGGCAATGGATGAAACAGGACCTCAAATCTCGTTGTATTCGACACGCCTATTGATAAAAAAATCCCGCATTCCCCTTACCACCCCACCCCTCGGCCTGGCCTATTCCAATGTCAACATCTGGGGGACACCATTGTTGATGCCGCGTCCAACAAGCGGCTCGGTGTTTACGCATTCAGTGTACGCCTGGAACTGACTGCGCCGTGTCCGTATACCAACCTAATGGGCCTACTGGACCACCTTCGAAGTTAGCCTCACGTCAAGCATCGGACCTGACAACCCCCGCAACGGTCATCCTCGGACTCCGTAAATGCAGGCCTAAAAATGTTAGATGACATCATTGTGCCCCTGCTGCGAATTCATCAACGCCGTTGGGATCATTGTGTAATCACTCCCAGAGCGGCATTAAATCGTTTATCTCAGCTACAAAAAAACCTATTTCATTATCCTGCATTAACTCTAAGGAAACGGTCTGGTTAAGTGGTCAGGCTCTCGGTTGCGATTGCATCTAGCCAAAAAAAGAAAAAAAACAGACAAGTAAAGCCGCCTGCATATTTCATTTACAATCAGAAAGTGGGTTGGAGAACAGGCAATTCAAGAGCACCTTATGGAGACAAATGCTATGAGCCATGGCTTGCGTTCCGCCAGCGTCTGATCGAACTGTTCTGCTTCAAGGAACGTTACTAACAGGACTATAATTGGATCGCATGTAGGGAGGCAGCAACACTGCTCCAGACACCTGGGTGTCTGCAGGTCTACGCAACGTGACCAAGACTGCTGTTCATGGTAATTATGAAATTAGGAAAAAAAAACTGGCATTGCATAGCCCACTGGTGTCAGCCAATGCATTCAGGCAGATAAATGAATGCATGGGAAAAGACAACGGAGGCATTTCCCTTTTACTACTGGTAAAACTGGTAACAATAAATAGGCCTACGGTGTAAATCACACAATCAAGTTGCTTTTAATCAAATAGCAAAATACACGCGCGTTGGTTTGACGTGACCTCTCTATAGCATTTGCGGGAGGGGCTAATGAAGACGGGAGAACCTGAAGTTACGCCAGACAGGGGCAGGAGGAGAGGAGACGACAGGAGTGAAAGCCTGAGTTGTCACAGAGTGTGTATGGGTTGGGAAATGCCACTGAACAAAAAAAGTATGACGATTCATTGGTAGATGAGCCATTTAGACGGTAGACGGCGGTGTGTTCAATGTTCCACCGACTGAGAAGTCATGCTTTTTCACCCTCATCAGCTCCGATGAAGCCACTGAAGATCTTCTGTTGAGCAAGCCGTAGTGTTGGCTTTGGCTTATTTCGTTTCAGCTCACCGTCCCTTCAAACCCAGGTGTACACAGAAAACAATATCTCATGTTTATTTGATGAAGAGATATGAAGTTCGCGAAATGACACCATAAAAACCAGTATCAGTTCCTTTTATTCCAGTTCTAGGAATTTTCTGATTTTACATAGGTATTGTAGGCGTTATATATTCTACTCAACATGCTCACTATTAGCTCTTGTCCGGCCCCGGCGTCACAAATATGTGACGTTGTTAAATCAATTCGTATTATAAACAGATTGGGAAAACCACACTTCTCTGGCTTTCCAGCATCATTTACATTGGTGAAAATGTTGACATCGCCTTGGAACAAGGAAACGTGGGGGCTATGGGGATTGGCTTTACATTGAGACCTCAGCATCAGTCGTGTCAGTAGGATATGACAATATTTCAGTTCAGCATTTAGATGGCAAAATTACAAGAAGTATTTAAAAATCACACGGTAAATTATGCAAGCATTCACCACTATTATCAGATGGCGATTGGTTTGTTGAGATATGAACAACATGGTGACAAACCTGTGCTTTGTTTCCTGATACAATGGAGAGGCTTGCACTAATGTCAGAGTCATGCCCTACCTCAAAAGGTAAACAATCTTTGCACACAATAAGGTTTGCACAATATTACTAGTTTGCTAAGAAAATTTGGCACAAACCATTCCATATCTACCAAACCGCCGCATTCAGCAATCTTCCTTTTGACGCGACTGGAGAAGCTGATTCCGTCCTCGCCCGGCCGGGCGGTTTCTGGCGGAAGGTACCACACATCGACTACTATGGCCCAGGAGGTCATGAGTTTGACGAGGTATTTGAAGAGGCCGTCCTGACTGCTGTTCCAGAAACAGTCGGCGTACTTAGGGTCGTACTGAAGGCGTCAAATAGGCAGAATAATAGCGTTTTAACAGCGGAGGGCCCACATAAAAAAAACTTTGAAGGACAGCGAGAACCTTAACAATTGAGGGGAAAGAGATTCTAGACCTCCCAAAATAGTTGGCAATTAATGATAGATCCATTGTCGTCACCCACCATGTCATTTTGTCGACAGCTCCCACGAAAAGTCATCACAAAACACAACCTGTACATTGTATAAGTAGTGCTTTTGGCATTAGTTTGTCTCCGCTTCATTCGTGACTATTTACCGCACAAACTGGTTACATTATCGTCCGCGCGAAGTATCACTGAAACTAATAAAAAATGAGAGCTTGGTGTTTGTTGACATTAGGATAGATAAACAACTACCATCACGTTTCATGCTTTTTTAATGAACCGAGGCAAATCTCACTAAAGGACCTTCAAGTGCACTAAATGAGGGTGTCCCATCAACGAAAAAATTCCTCTTCCCATTTACACATTGAGTGATATCTAATATGTCACATCAAAGAGGCCTACAACTTCGGGACAGTTAATTGCGAGGCAAATGGCAAGCCCAGATGGTCAAGGGGTGTATTTAGAGATGCGTAATCTACCATGGGTACAATGTGGAAAAAATTGAGAGAACTGCTTCATTTAAAAGCAATGCGTATCAAATAGGGGAAGTGAATTGAAACAAGCCCTTCCGATGTGCTAAAAGAGACCTCACAATTTAACTGACGAACATTAGAAGCCAAGAGAATGGAAGGCGAAAGCTTTTCATCGGATTTGTAAGCTACGATAGGCTTGTTATCATCTAAATGCACTTTTTGTTGCTTTTTTTACAACTGACTCGTGACTGCTGGTGCGCAGTGCAGACAAATTACTCCATGCATGAATTACAGATTCAGCTAAAGATGAATAGATAGTGTGTCTGCCCCGATAGACAATCTTTCCCAAAGTAGTATGTGATTCCAAACTAGAATCGTATTAAGAGACCTTATTCACTTAAAATGAATTCATATGAGAAGCATGGCATGGGCTGACATCCAATGATGCAAAACAGTCACCATTTGAGGTGTTTAGTTGGTGCCAACTAGTGGATTCCAATAATTCCTTGGAAATTTCCAATTTGTGATGTTTCCAATGCCATGTTTTGCCGCAATTCACCCATAAATTTTGGTGCACGATTTCATCTCCTGTGAATAAAAAAACGTAACCTGATGACGTTTTTTATCACTGGACAGACAGCACCCCTCCTAAGTAATGGGTTCTCGGATCAATACGGAGACAATAATAAGAGTATGGCTAACAAAAAGCCACTACAACATTGAACCCCACTTAAGGTTGCAACATAGCCTAGTGAGTTGGAGTGATCAGTTGCGAGAGCTAATGCCTTTCATCCAAACGTCATATACATTAATTATGGCATAAACAAAAGTCTCGGAATTCCAGTGCATGAAAGGAGCCTACAATGTAGTGATTTGCGGTAAGACAAGTGGCTAACCTTGATAGCCACAGGATGTATGACAGCGCCGACCTCAAAGCAGCCCTTTTTGAACTTCATCACGGAAGTGTTGTTGATGCAAGTGCCCTCGGGGAAGATGAGGATGGGGAGAGCGCCGGGTGTCGCGACGTGCTCTTTCATGCGGTCCGTCACGGCGCTACGATCGAAGACCTCACCTCGGTCAAACCAGATGGTGGGCACCGCGCTGGAGAGGATGTTCTCCACCAGTCCAAAGAAGCCGCCCTGCCGCTGACCAATCTGGGTATGCAAAGGGAACTAATAATGCCAGCTTCGAAAAGTTCTTACCCTCTTTCCTCCCCAATGAGAACGTAGTTTAACGAGATATATGGTAATTTTGACGCGATACAAGCCAATCTTGTGGTGATGAAGGCTAGTTGCAGACTTTGTTTCAAGTACCTCGAGGATGTAAGGATAAGAAAACAACATAAATGATACAAGGAGTAAGACGGAAACACTCGCAAAGGCCCGTAAAATAAATAAGAATTACAATTTTACTGAGAATGCTTCATAGAATTGAAGCGGATAGTTAAAATCTGCGTTAAACAGATGGAAGTGCCATTACGAGAACTCTAAATCTTTATGATATGCTCATGCTGACAAAGCAGTGGGTGACTTGACGGAACCCAAAAATTGGATTGGTAAGCATGTCGTCGACTTCCATGTCTCGACCTGTTACCGCTTTTATTGCTTGAGATCAAGTAGGAAAGTGCGCCACCGAACTAACCGTTTTTCGAGGAAATCAAGTGATAACACTTGAGATGAAATAGGGAACATATGGAATGGCATTTGGAAAACAGCTTATGCACGAACGGTAGTGAACAAAGGTCTATTCAAATTTCAAGACTGCTAAATGATGTTGGCCCTCCCGACCAGGCAATGCAATAGACATTGCATGTTACTAGTGGAAAGACCGAGTCGTGGGCTGTAAATGGTGGTTCGTAAACAGATCCGATTTGCACCATAAGAAAAACCGAAATGTACAGACAAGTCCTGACGATTGGCGATGAGAGTAATGCTACCTTGCATCCACGCCCCCTAATGAAGAAACCGAACAAATAGAATTGAAAAAGGTTCACAGGACCAATCCTAGGTAATATTGGAGGGAAAAGCAGTAAAATATGCCTAAGTCTTACGCTTCGTTGAAGAATAATCGTGGAAATTCAGGCACATGTGATGAATCATCAGTATGGGGACTTGCAGTTCAAAACTCAGACTTCATTGAAAACAAAGTGATTCCTCAGCTTGAACAAACCGAACTGGATTGCGTGGTCAGTCGTCTTGCTTTGCAAGCACAGTTGTTATTGTTAAAATAATGAAAGCAATAAAGGAGGGAAACGAAGTAGAACCTTTATAAAAACGTTCTGCCACAGCTCCGGGAGTGGAGAAAATGATCAACAGTACTACACCAATGAGTCCTCGCAGAAAATACCGACTTCGTAATTTTGAGACAGCAAGGTTGATTGTGCCACTATAGCCTAATTATTTCATACATGTGTGGATCCGACGCAGTTTTTAGATTCATAAATGCTTATAGGCATGCACACCTGGTAAACAAACTGAGATTCACACAGTAGACATCAAATAAACCTAAAGCCAAAGAAACAGACGAGTTTCATGAACGAGAACTTTCACCAAAGTCATACCGAGCAAGAGTGAAAGATTTTCTACTCCGTAAAACGACAATAACATAGTGCTAATTGCTCTTACCGTGCCCCCTTATATCCCTATAATAATGACATAACCATCTTCTACATACCGTCGCTAGCTCGGATATTACATTGCCAAATTACCTTGTTGCATGAGTGGGCAAATGCAAGGATACGTCAAACCCTTGCGTAGTGTTAGATGCAATGTTGTTTCAAACACAAGGGAAAGGAATTGGCTCTTAACTTTCAGGCACGGAAAAAATGTACCAAGGCATATTCAAGTGTCGCAAGAAAAATTCCACTCAATTAGCACAGTTTAGATGCAAATTAAAGTTTTAACGACGCCTACATAGTGCTTGTAAAGCGAAAAATAAAACTTCAACGTCCAAAGCTTAAGTAGCTACTACTCAACGCAGTAAGATAAATCACCTACCACGGCGTACGTGTTATCACTGGCCAAAACTGCAAAATCGACAGGCGTTGTGTGATTTGCGACGCAAATCGTATTCGGTTTGGGACGGTTTTCACTAAGTTTGGAAGAAAAATTAAGTTAGCATTTAAAAATGCATATGTGATAAAGCAAGTTATGCTTACGGGTTGTGAAAACGAATGATGGCGGCGTAGGGGCAAAGATTAAGTCGCATGCATCGCTGGTAGCCCGGCCCAGTGAGCCATTTGCCCAGGACACTTCTGGGGAAAAGATTTTTGACCACACCACAGGTCCACGTCAGTCCAACACCAAAAAAACAGACAGCAAGCCTTAAAAATAATAAATTGCGCAAAAGAACAAACCGGCTTGGCAACAGGAACACATAGCGAATAATAAATCCCAAAAACCAGAGAGCAGTCAATGTCTTCTTGCATGACGTACTAAAATCTTTTTCAAGAAACACAAAAGTTTTACTTATGAAAGTAATAATTTTGGTTGCGGCCAAGTAGATTCCAGACGCGAAGTTCAGCAGACGAAAACCGCTTCGTCACATCATCTTCAATTATCGCCTAGACAATAAATAAGTTTAAATGGACTTACTTCAACCCCTGATTTTAGAAGATACATTGGATGCTGAAGTTTGAAACCCTTTTCCTCAATCATAAAATCGTTGCTCATTTGTATACGACCTTCGCATAAAGTGACATCTCTTTCAATCAAATTCCCATCGACATAATCACCGGTGGATGCATCCTTAGCTTGTTCCTCAGATTCCCTATTCAAACTTGCAGCCGACATAGACCTTTTACCCATTTGCCGAGCAGTGTACTACCAGGTAGGATTAATAGAAACAAATCGTACCGACATAACGGGATCCAAAATACTAATATATATTTGTGGAAGAATGTGGATGTCAAGAAAGATTAAAACAACACACATTATAACAAATGTGGGAACAATAGCCAGGTAGGCCAATAGGAGCGCCGCCAACACCATCCTCGCGCGACCAACAGGACAGGATAACTTTGAATGAGTGAGGCCGCTCTGAGCAGATTAAAACAACCAGCACAACAGTTGTTCAAACTTTTGGAAAGAGTGGCCTATCTACAGATGCATTGTATCATTGAAAGATTAAAATTTGATTTTTTCTAATGGGTGCAGACCTTGATTGCTGATAATTGCCCCAGCCAAATCCTACATCTTATTGATCTGGAGGTAACAACATTGATCATATTCTGTCTTTTATTAAAATTAAAATAATGTTGCTCAAGGTTAGATTTGATTACGTCTACTAAGTTCTGGGGAAACGTATTACGCTAAGAACTTCTATCCAGATTATTTGGAATGGGTAACATTTTCAATTCTTGCTTATCTCTGCTGCATAAACTTACACGTCATTGTAATAGTTTGTTCCTCCTACTAGTCGCATTATGCCAATTGCACGGAAATTTTTAAACATTTCGTAAGCGCTAAGACTTAAATCCAACCATTCTCTTTTACAATCCACTATTCATTTGCCCTATCTGACCTACGCAGCGTCATTAATTCATTCGAATTAGAGCTTTTTACGTAGCGTCTTGCGACTTCCCTAAAGACGAAAGAAAGCACAACACTAGGACGGAATACATATATTCGATATGAAGAGCGTACTAGCGCTACTGGCATGCCCCGGGGGCCACCCCACCCGGTGAGGTACAGTGACCAAAACAAAGTAATCCTTCACCAATACCGGCCGTTAAACGAATGACCAGCATATCAAAATTCGTATATTAATCTGCGAAAATGCTTTAGTTAAGCAATAAATAATAACAGGTATGGCCATTACGCTTTATTCTGGTTTATACTAATGGTTCCTCTTACGATTGATATCTCCCTATAGCCGCTTAGAGCGTCCCTGAATCTCTTAAAATGTTGATTTGACTCTGTTCATATTTTGTCCATGTGAATATAATATTTGTGCGTGCTTATTTGTTTGTGTAAGCCCAGATGGAACCTTCACGTGAACTTAACGAATCGTTAGTGGTGATCCACTGGGATATCGAGATTATACCCCCTTGTCCAGGCTTACACATCATGCTTTTTTCTGTACGTGTTGTTTAGTCGATTCACTAGCTTTCAGCTTGAATTTTGACTTGACATTGCATTAGTCGGACCCATTCACAGCCTCCTCTCTGGGGTTTGGTACACCGATAGACCAATTTTCATAATTTGAAGCAGATTCAAAAACAGGGCACTTAATAGTTCACTATTCCCAAATAGATCTTGCAAACAAAAGCGTAGTTAGATAATCCGTTATCATATCTTTTTTGAAAAAGAGCCAATAACTTACTGTTGTATGCATTTATTTGTATGCTGGTGGGGTGTTAGGCCATTTTTCACTAAGTAATTTAGATTAATGAAATAAACATAAAGAACTGAAGAAGCATAGTTCATATAAATTCTGTGATAAGTGGGGCGCGTTGAAGACATTGGATCCAACCTCACTGGCCTCAGTAGTTGATGGGAGACAACACTTAGTACATGGCTCCGGTTATATGACCTAGATAAATAGGGGTAGACAGTGGTTGGTGTTTCGGTTTCAAAAGGTTACAATTTGGTGCTGGCGCGAGAGGCTCTCTCCTATTCTCTTCGTTTCGGTGGATAAAGGTTCTCCATCCCATCATCTGTAACTTAAAAGCAAATATAGTACAAAAACTGGAACAAAATCGTGATAAACTCACCATCAGTGTACGATGACAAGAAGTGTCTCAGTTACTCAAGATTTTGTAGCTCAATGGTTCTAATTTGTAACTACTACAGGCTCCAGTCAATATTTTTGCCAATGAAAAGAGGGTCAATTAAGTAACCTAGGTTAATTCGAAACGGGTAACAAGAGCTCCTATAGCTTCTCCAGGAGGGGTCTACATGTAAGCCTCTGGACTATGAAATTGATGGGAATGGCCTCAGTATATCCATTTACAGAGGAGTGTGGTATTATATGTAACTTACCTAGACCCTTCCCATTATATGAATTGTTGGGGCCACTTCTAGTCGCAGCCACCCCAGCTGGAGTTCGTGAGGCGGGAATGAAGGGTGTCCCTGCTGGCGACATGAACGCCGATTCATCGAAAGTTCCGCCTGTGGCCAGAGTCGGTTTTTTATCATCTATCGTCTTTTCACCCTCTGAAGTCGCTGCCGTCTTCTCTTTGACCAGGTAGTTTATCAATAGGAAACCAATTAGAATGAGGGCAGATGTGGCTCCATAGGCGCGGAACAAATTGCCGGTGCCTAAATAAAATCACATCGTGTGTTTGATCTTTTATTGGCGTAACACCGACTCTAACAGAAAGCAAGTTCTATTTCATGCTTTCATTTGGGATTAGCTAGAAGTTTTTGGTACGGGCGAATCTCACAACATTGTTGATTCTTCGGTACCTAATTTATATGTAGCTCATATGCCCCGCTACCCAGATTTCGAGTCTGAAATGTCATCATTACTTGTATTTATTCAACCACTGCGAATGGAACCACATTGTACACAGCAGTATTCATTTCAAAAATCTACTTGAAGTTACTTTTGATGCTTGTCTATTTTAAGATGGTGTTTATTATCACGCTGGGAAGCGCCTATAAACGAATCATGAACGTATTCTGTTTCCTTGGTTCATTATTTCCTTCTTTAAAAGATATTGAAATGTATCGTACCGAAGTATGTAGTGATGACGCCACCAATGATGGCCCCAAGACCCTTTCCAAATCCGTGGTTCACGCCCTGAAGAACGCCCTGTGTTGAGATTCGGTATTGAGACTCAAAGCTCTGCGCTATGTAGGAGCAACTGGCCGCCCACACACCTGCGTTCGTTAAACCTGCCAAAAAAGTAGTTTACTACGCAAGATACACTTTGATTCCGCTAAAACTTAGACAAAACACCAAGTCTAGCTGCCATGGTGGGTAACATTTTGAAATTTGAGTATTACTCCTTATTCAAATAATCTGCCCGAGTACTACTAACGACATGTCAGTAGACAATTTGACTCCTACATCTTAAATAGTCGGATGGCTTGCTATCTCTATCTGTCTCACTCGAATGTGTAAATATAGTATTTATGCACCGAAATGTACCACCGGAGGCAGTTTTAGCATTCCTGTAGAAGTTTATTTATTTGCCACTTTTACTGTCTTTCTGCAATTGAAGTACTTTTAAATTGCAACAGACTCCTGGGTGGTTTTAATCCTGAAGTCAAAAATGTAATCAAACAATCATAGTAAAGGCAAAATACTTTAAAGAAATGCGTATTTTTATGTTTAAAACATCGGCAGAAGTGATTTTCCTTTCTCATCGTACCTGAACTCAGCAATTCAGTGCTTAAGGATCCCCATAGGATGTGGAAAATTTCTTCTGAATTATTTATTTTACATGCCAGTAGGGAGCAGGCTTTTTCGTTAAGCTGGAGAGAACGCACCGTGAACGAATTCAAAGGGCAATACCCACCAGGGATTGCCGATCCAAGAGACGTAGAGGAAACGCAGAACGTTTACGAGAAGTCCGAGGTAGAGGATTTTAATGTGTCCTTAAATAGGAGAAAAAAGCAATGTCAGACCATAATTTTCGATCAGTACATAATAATATTTCGGTATCAATTTGCTACCCTTGGCGTCAATCCATTTACGAGGTGACGCTGGTCTTTGGGTTTTAGGACAACTTAATGACCACGAGCTTACCAAATCTTTCAATTGCTGGTTTGCTAAAGTAGTAGGTGACAATCTCAGAGAGGTAATTTATGATAGATGCGATGCCATAGAGTGTCGGAGAACCACCGAGTTCTTGCAGATGCCAGAAGAGAAAGTTGAACACAATCCCTGAACCGATGCCCATAAACCAGGTAACGATAAGGAAAAACGTCAGCCTGGGCCGGGTGAACTGCTTCAGAACGGTCAAGTATTCGGTGATCTGAGACAGAAGAGTGACAAATGCTGATTACTTAACACAGTCAAAACCAAACCAAATAGACCTGAAATAACATCCAGTGCGTTCTTTTAGTTTTAATCGGATCCGTGTATGAGGGAGGCAATAATCATAGAACTTCAAATGCTGTGGTTGTCGCTATAAACCACTCCTTCCTATACCTATCAAACACCACTAAGATAAAGTAGACGACTAATTTAGTTTGGTTTAATTTGACCTAAGGTTCAATTCGTTGGGAGTTTACATTGCAGTATTATCAATGATTCAGTTGTCCTATATGTGAGCTGATATGAAGGGTGATGACGAGAAATTGGCCTCTATTGATTACAGTAGTAGCATCGTTGTCGAGGTATCACCGTGGCTTAATGACACTGTTTTATGTTTACTTTACAAGGCTTCAAGGCGCCCCATGGCGCGAGTGGGTCGCCACTTCTGGGCGCTCTCTCTTTCCCTGCAGGTGGATTTTGTGTCCTTGGTGGAAACTATGCTGCCTTCCCCCCCCCTCTACATCGTTTGTTGGAGCCCCAGGGAGCCAGCCAATACGGTGATTCAGTGAACCTGGAGAAGGCATAATTCCGAGGCTGCCATGATCACTATGACGTGACAACCTCGGGAGGTTGCACGCGATCTGTGCGACCAGATAAGAATGTGCCACCCAGGCCCGGTAAAGAATGATACCCTCTGTCGGGATAGATCAACTGATCCGGTAAGTCAGTGTTTTATCAGATACATGAGACAAGACCGTAAATTAAATTGTTCGTACATTTCAGCAATTAATTAATTCGTGAAATCACTCGGTTCTATTCAGTTGATCGTTTTGGGCTTTGTCCGGCTTTAATCAAGCCTACTTTATCAGAGGAGAGGAAATAGCTAACTTGAGCACTTTTTTACGTCATTTAAACTCCAGGATGGTCCACTTGATCTCTCAAAGAGACACCAATCGTCACAAGAGAATAAACATCAAGTAAGATTAAATGTCGCGCCGGACAACAGCTACACCAATCCACGAATGCGTCGGCATCCCGAGATGACACCAAGTGAGGCAAAAGACGCCAACTACTGGGAGCGAAGGTGTAAGAACAATGCCGCCGCAAGACGTTCACGCCAAAGTCGCCGAGCCAGGGAGGCGGATCTAGTGGAGTATGCTGCCCGATTAGAAAGGAAGAACTTAGCCTTGGAAGCTGAGATTCGTCTACTGCGAGCTCAGTTGGCAAGTGCTAAATGTGAATGCGCAAAGCATGGCAAAACATCTTCATAAAAGAATCCGTCCGGTGAAAGTGGCCATTTTGCTCCGGGAAAACAGTTCAGTCAATTGGATATGTGAAGGAATTTTATTTCACAGGAGTGCATCACAGTGTCTGATCTCGTTCTCAGATAAAAATGAAAGCTTCAATCTACTGATATTTTCAATGTGGGTGGGTAACTGAATCTCTTTATGTAATTTTGAATGCTACCGGATCTTTCTATAATTTAATATCTAGTGTAAAGATGAATACGCCTCCTAGATGAATTTCTTTACATCTTGATATCATTTATATGGGGTTAATCCAGGCAAAGTTATTTAGGCAGTTGGTACGATTTATACGAGAAGGCATTCGTTTTAACTCCATACTTCCCAACCCGGGACTTTTAGCGGCCTATGATTCGGTACCATGCAACTTGGGTCCTGTTATCCATGGTTTAAGCCTCCCGGGAAATCTATAGGGTGGTAATAAAAATTCGCTCAGATTTTCGTGCCTCAAGTCAGGTGGTACAGGGTCACCTCCAACTTATCCACGGTATAGTACCCAAAAAACCTCATTTGTAATAACTTTTGTAAGCATTTAGACAGATAAGAAGCCAGTGAAGAAGATTACTTGTATGTTAGTACCATATTTCCATGAGCTTAAGTATTTTGGTTTTGTGAGAATGTGATTTTACCAGAACAAATGAAGCAATTGTTTGAATGCACTAATGAGAATAAAGTGCAATGTTTTACAAAAGTATTTATAATTTGTTTTTCGTGAAGTCAACAAACTTATTCAAGTGCTAAGATTGTTTAAACAGATAAATTGGTTGTTATAAAAGCGTGGGCCCAAAGACGAAAACCGGCTCGCGAATCTCGTTTCAGTTGCCCGTAACTTAATTAGTTGGCCAATCGTGAGATAGATCCAGTTAATTACCACCCACAATTTTGAACTTTTGTTTCCAGACTATTAGATTATAAGTAGTTATTGATCTCTCCGCACTTCAAATTGCTTTCAAAACATTTCAGTAGCCTCATTCCAAATCAGATAACACATTTTACTAAACGGAATAAACTAATCACATGCTGCTGGGACGTAAGCTTAATCAAATGCGTTGAAGAGAAGTCAGCATCTCACCTTCGTTTGAGCAGTGGCAGCCAAGTCCTCCACGAAGGGGTCGGAAGCGGGCAAGTCGGCAAGCGTGTTTGATCGCTCCACCCTGCTGCGGTTGAGCTTAATTCCCAACTGCTGTTCAAGGATGTCCTCGTTTGAAGCAGAGGCCTCTCCAGCTACGCCTTCACTTCCCGATGGCACCTGAGAATATCCTCCGTCACCCCTCCATTCTTCCTCATCTCCATCGTCCTCGTTTACCAATTTCCCTCTATTCTTTCCTATTCTTCCACGGCGGAGGGTCTTTGTCACCTTGTCTTTCATCACCTTGAAATACATGCTTTCCACTGCTCCATCATAAGCGAAGCGTAATTGGCTTCCAGCAATGGCGGCGCAGGACATAAAGACGGTGAATACTGCGAAGCCGACCATATAGTTCTTCTCTCGACGTCCCGGTCGAAGACAAGGATGATCCGGGAAGCTCTGTGATTGGTCCAGCGCGATACCGACGAAAAACATAGCCAAGCCCCAGCCTACCGAGCCGAACATGCGTTGTCGACCATAGAGGTGGGGTCCGTTCTCTTCTAAATAGCTCATTACTGCCGAGTCGGCAAGACAAATGGCTGGACTAGAGAAGAAGGCCCCAACACAGATGAGAATCATTGCGACAATGAAGATCTGATTGATTTTACTCCTTCGGTAAACCACTGTGGAGAAGAGAGGCATTACGAGACTGCCCTCGGAGTAGTGATTTATATCAGCAAAAGCTTCCTCATCTGTGACTCTAGCGTGAGTTCCACTTCGGTCGATGCTCATTGACTCCAATGATCCCTCGGAACGTTCTTTATGGAGGAGTTTCTTTAGATTGAGTTCCAACGGCGACTGCCCAATTCGAGTGTTTCCGTAGACAGCTAAGTAGGGTTTCATTTCAATGGCTTCAATACGTTCGCTAGTGACTTCCCTATAGGGCTCCATAATTCGGATATCGAAGGGATGATCGGAGCTGTTCTTTGGTTGTATGCCACTAACGGATACAAGACAGCCCTCCGGCTGCGGCCGAACAAAACCCAAGCCAAGAGTGAAAACAACCCAACTGAGGAGACTGATCATGAGGAAAAGTATGCCCTTTTTCCATCGATCAGCAATGCCACTCCAGAAGGGTGCACCCACCCACTCAACAAGAGATCGAGCACCTCCCAAAGAGCCGCACTGGGTAGCATTCAAACCGAGTTGTTTGAAATAAATAGAGAGGAGGGGGAAGAGCGAGCCAAAAGCGGCGTAGAAGAGGAAGTAAAAAAGTTTGAAGATGAGAAGGGAACGGTTTATGGGGGAGTGGAACCACTCCAGTAACTCGCGTTTCACAGCTCGAATACCACCTGAGGGGGTCTCTGTTGGTACCTCCTCGGTTATGGGTGGAATATTAGCCTCGTCCATTTTAGACTAGATAAGAAAAATTACCATTTTAGCAGCATTGGAGGGTCAAACCACTTTCTTGTTTTATAGGTGAGATTGTTAGGGCAACAAGAGCTGTGTTAAAATATGAATACGGTTACAAAACGATTTCCTAGCTAGTAAAGAAATTAGAACAAGTTAGACTGATTGACACAAAAGCAGTCTCCGGGGTAAATCAGTCAGCGCAGCTCACACTTTGAAATTTACTACCTCTATAAAAATAAAGTGTGATAGACAGAACGGAGAATTAACTGCCTAGATAATGGAATATTATCGAGATTCTGCATTTGGTTAAGGTGCCGAATTGGGTGAGATGTCACAGCGGCAGCAAGATAACTTACAGTTTTTCTGATGCAAGGAGGAGGTAGACAAAACCGGAGAAAAGGTCGTGTGGGAGAGGACTGGGAAGGCACGGGGCGAGAGCGCAGACGGACAGTGGACGGGGCATCGATTTTTGCCTGAGTAGGGGGAATGCGAGCGGTAAGAAATGAAAGCTGCTTTGTGATTGGCTCGTGGTGAGGAACTGGCAGCCTCATGCGGTTGCACGTCCGCGTGAGTATATTGAAATGGGTTGCGAGGACTAGTTTTAAGTTGTAAAGCTCTGAGTGCGCTGTGGCACTAATTTTGGGCGCGTGAGTTAACTCACACGTCAGACGTGTGGCATTTTAAATACCTTTAATGGCAGCAGTTTCGGTTCAGTGGAAGCATCAATCCCAATGGGTAACTCACCAAATAAGGATGCATTCCGAAAATAATGCCTTTTTTAAAAATTATGGTGTATGTTTAGCTAATTTTCTCTCAAGTCACTAGTTGCGTAATAAAGGGTCGCTTCGTAATTCCGACTCAAATAGATTTAACTATAGTAATTTGTAGAAACTCTTTGAAGAAACAAATTAGATGTCCCCATATCTGTTTAATTAAGATGATATAAGTCGCCATTCTACACAGACTTGGGTGTGGAGATGACACAGAGCCGTTTCATATACTCATGTTCTTCCGGTTCATTTGAAAGTTGATAATAAGGCTTCTAACGCTTTTGGGAATAGGCTGGGTACAAAAAACCAGCATTATTCAATCCGTAATGACAATGACGACAATTACGAGTTAATGTATTAACCACAAATTCTAATTTCGCTAGAGAATTTCCAAGAAGGACGGGTTGGTGAATGAGGAAGCACAGGTGGAGATCAAATGTACTAAGACTCGCATACTGCGGATAAATGCAATAATTGGTTAAATTTGCTTGGTTAAAATCAAACCTCGAGAAGAGACGCAGTAATTAGCAATACAGTCATTGACCGCTTTAATTTTAATTCTTAAGATTTAGTTTGTTTGCCTTTTATCTGATGAAACAATAGGTTCGGGTAGCCACACGCGGAATACAATTTCTAGCGGTACATGCAACACTACGAATAAAAAAGTGAAGTACAGTTTTCTCCTAGTGAAATAGAAAACTTTTTGAACCAGAGAGAGATGTTATTACAGGCTGATTTTTCCTAAACATGGTTTTAATTCATACAATAGATCCAAATTTGTAAAATGGAGTTTCTCACACGAACCCCCTGTGACTATAACAACCCCTGAAACACTAATTCAAACTGAAATTTAGTAATTTCCCAGTAGAAATACGCGTATACACATGGGTGATGCAGTAACATCAGCATTCTCCACCGTGTTGATCTAATACTTGTTTCTAGTGGTTCTATAAAGCCGCTAAAATTTAGCGGATCTTGTGTGAAAATTAAAGATGTGGATTTAAAAATAAACCCACAAACATGCTCGAGACAATTATGCTAGCTTATGCTTGTAATCGGAAAAAAATATTGTAAATGTCATATTTGTATCAGGTAGTTGCTATTGGCTAATAGGAGGTTAACAACCGCCATCTATGGCGGGTTTTTTAAGATTTAACGCATTGAAGTGTTGTTATGTGCTAGTGGCTCATGCTCGTTGAAATGTCAACTGCGATAGCGTCTAAGGCTACTGGAACCGTTCTTAAAAAGAGCCTAAATTCATTGAAGGTTCCTAAGAGAGCAATTAATGAATGTAAGTACAGAAATGCCTCTTGTTGTTCATAATATTTGCGTAAAATAAGAGCTGTGATTATCCTGTCATTGTCTTTTAAAATTTTAATAGCCGCTTTGGAATTGATAAATGTCAACTCCGATGATTTCATAGAAGAAATTGACGCGCATTTGCAAAACAATTACCGGTTTCGTAAATTTGCGAATGAAGCTGTCAAAACTGACGGCGCGTGGCTTATACACAACCGTAGTCTTGAAGAGGCGTTCGGAAAAGCGAGAAAACGGCTTCAGCATGGTGAAGGTCTTGGTCAGAGCAAGATTATTAGTGTTACTACACAGTGCGGTTTTCTGTTCACCAAAAATTGGAGCGTCGTCGAATCTATTGCGTGTAATGGACTGAGAACCGGAAATCTTCAAGACACATGGCTAGGAAAGCCAAATCACGGTGAGCAAGCAGTGAGGAATTGCATAATTGTTGCATGTTCTCATTTCGGTAATCAATGTTTAATAATTAGGTTCAGTTGCTCTCTGAACAAGTCATTTGTTAATAATTATCGAGATGGAAGAAAGAGTGGCAACCACTTTCTTCTCAAGTTGAGGTTTTCGTTTTCTGAAAGGTATGCCTTGGCTCTACTAGGGTTCCGATTGCAGGCGGAAGTAGGTTCTGCTGTTTATAAAATAAAAAAAGTGGACTAAATGTGGGCAACATCCCCGTACATATTCCCACTCACTTCATTAACTTTGGAGATAATCTGTATGGATCTGCATCTCTGTACCATGCATAAAATTTAAGCGAGTCATTTAACATTTTTCAAACTGCGTTTTTGCTTATTTACATTCACTTCGACAGTTCCAAAAATAGTATGCAAGAAGTAACCCCACACTTAAGTACGATCGTACTCATTTTCTTGCTCAGGTTGGTGTCAAAATAACCCTTGCTTTGGGAAAATACTTGCCTTTGAATTATTTACTCACACTGCTGGGCTTTGTCTAACATTGGGTAATCGTGATCCCTCTGCGAGCGTCCTTATTTGCATTACCATCAAAAAACTTAATATTTGTCAGGCGGTGTGCAACTGTAAATGCGTAACCTCATTTCACACGTACCAAATGTTTGAAAGTATCTTGCTCTAATGAAGTAATACGTAATCTCCGATTGGCAACACTATTTACGGGTAGACCTCACCGTTTTTATTGTGTGCAACTGCTGCTTTTTGACATGAGGTGTACCCGCTCCAATTTGTGATATGAGGGCGTATACCTAGCAGCTGCGTAGTCCCCGCAGGCCGTGTTCATTTTTGATTCTTTTGAAGTATTCCAATCCCTATGAATCCTCTATTATTCATGTCGTAAATGTTGCCTATTATTTCACTACTGATATAAGCTCTGTCTTGAAAATTTGCTTATGCCAAACATGATTGTTCTGTATTACTCCTCCAACTCTGTTTCTGTGTTTAATCGGAACTCAAAATCTCTTAGTACCCTTTTGCAGATAACTTGTGATTTCATTGATAATAGAAATAAAGTAATGGGAAAAGGATCAGCCCAATATTTCGGTTTGGATTTTTCATTTTAGGGGTCGTGATCAGCCAATGCGCTGATATTGGCCTTGCTTACCTGGCAGACATTGGTTCTAAGGAAGCTGAATCCTATCATGCGGATTTGACAAGTGGAACCGATTTGAAGATTGATTCTGTAACAGGTTGCTCGTACTTTGTTGTCCTTGTACGCTGGTTGAAAAGCAAAGTGTATGTGACTCAAGTTACACCTCCAGGATCGTGTTCGACCGCTGCCTTAGATTTTAGGTTGGATCCCCAACCTGGCTACACATGCCACATGACAAAATGGAGCCGGATGGATCCTCTCGATCCCTCGAAGGTCACACTTACCGAAGTCTTTCACAACAGTCAAGTAAGTGTTGTTGAGAATTATGTAATGCGGTCTTTAAATGACCAATGCCCCAAGAGTATATTAACTCTCTTAAGGTCTATCTTTATGAATACGACGAGGAAATGGATCTAAAAACTACCCTCGAGCATATTCTTCCTTTCGCGGTGGTCAAATGTCAGTGGAATTTGTTGCCAGAAAAGTTTCTCCTGTTTCGCTCCGTCAACGACGGAGCTATTCTTTTGCCACGAAAGCAAAAGGAAAGCGTAGCCCCTCGGAAGGCTCTTCTGAGCACACCACCATCTGCCATGAAAATCCTTGTCGAGAAAAGAGTTCCGAAATCGGATCCAAAGGTAAGCCTTTCCCGCCAATTCACACCACTTGATGCTTCATATGGCTTTGGTGCAATTGAAAGTGAATGAGACACTGGGATATTCTCACATTATTATTAGAATAATGTCATTAAAATCAGGTGGATTGCACACGATTTGGCTGCAGGACTTTGAGAAATAATTTTATTAAGTTTGACTTCTTTGGTGGTGTTAGTAATGTGCAGGAAAATTAGGATCTTTTGGTTTTTCCACTACATTAGACGATGATTAAGTCCAACTGCCTTTTTTCACACAGACGTGGACAAAGGGGAAACACATAGCTGCTTTATTCACCTCGCCGATTCCTCCAATTACAACAGAGAAGAAAAACGATGTACCTTCGGCTAAGTTAGCTGTCTCCGTTGCGAATGCCAATACGTCCGATCGACTGCAATTGATGTCGAACGCCCCAAATCCGTCTTCTGTTGTCCCTTCCCCCTCTTCCACCCTCTCAAGCACTCCCCTCCGGGATGCAAAGGCTATGCATCACCATTTTGATTCAGTAGCTGCTTCCGGCCGCACACTGCAAGCAGCTCTGGATCAGACGTATATGCAGTCCGGCGCAGCCAGTGACGATGGCTTGCCACGTTATGTTGTCAATACCTGCTATCTAGTCTGGCCAGTATCTGAGCGTCCGGAAAGTGTGAATGAGGAATGTGTAAAAGTTGAGAGCTGGCAGTTTCCTGTGAAAATTATATCCTATCGCAATCCCATTTCACAAATCTACGAGGGTCTGTAAGTACGATTACGGCAATCCTTTCTCCAGTGAGCTGCGAATATCTTCTTGAGTGCTTCTGTCTTAGGTCTTTAAATGGTAACTTGTGTGAATTTTCGAGGTTCGTTAGGCGGGTACTGTTACCTCATTGCGATAATCTACTTATTTAACTAGTCCGATTATTTTTGCCAAAATTGGTCTGCAGAGAATCATTAATTCACGCCGTATATTTTACGGATTAAATATTTTTCACCTGGTTTTCGCTCAGCAAAAACTTGTAAATTAAGGTGTGTGGGTTACTTCGTCACCAGTTAAGATTCCTGGTTATTTAAGCGCCTTGTCATTGGATATTATTTGGGATTTATTATAATACGTTTTAGAAACCCAATTGTTTTGTTTTTTAAGATTTATTTTAATGTTCACAATTCCCACAACCGGACGGCTAGTCGTGACAAACGATAGCAGGTTTACCTTGGTTTCGTTTAGTATTTTCATGAACATTTAGTAGTGGTCGGGCTTTTTTGGGGTTTCCAAAATGCTGAAAAACCACAAAGAAAAGCAGTGATCGTTTTTTCTTATACATTTGTTCTCCACCTGCAGGTTGCAACCTCGACTCATTATTTCGGATCTGGTCTCCTTTTCCCGACTTCATCATGAATTAGCAGGTGTTCAAGAGCCGTCTGGACCCTCACCTGAGCCCTCGTTATCGGACATCCCTGAACAAGGCTCAACCTCCGAGACCAATGTTCTCGATCCACGACGCTTGAGAGGTCGGTCAAGCCTCTCCCCGTGCCTTCCTTTTGTCTCTATTGATCGACTTCGCGAGTGGATCGTTCCCAGCAAAGAAAACGTCGAAAACGATGCTTTAGCTAAACTGAGTCGATTTGCAGGTTACAGGGGCAACTACTTCCTTCTCAGTCTCCTGGAGTCCTCCACACAGCAGGCCGATGTGGCCAAACTCTATGAGACACTGAAAAGCAGACAAGTAGTAGGTGGTATCAGTTAATTAGTGTCCATCTTGTCCCATGTTAGTTTTATTCTAGTGTGTAACAGAGACTCAATGTTAAATCTGATTTGTGTAACGGCACCAAAAAAAGCAACGGCATTTCATGCAGAACCTTTGCATATCATTAAGGCATGGTGGTGACACGAAGTGGATTATCACCTGTGGCATTGCATTTGTGTATTTCATATCCACACCGGATTGTCAGTATATTTGTTTTTTTAGGCCTGCTTCATCAAAATGCCTTGTAGTGAGAACGCAGCCTTCTGTATATTTCCCGACTCGGATTTTTCTAGATCCCTCAGTAAGTCTTTAATAGCTTTCCCTCTTCGATTAAGCATTCGTCGTAAATACTGCATGTGTTTGCTACTTATTTGAACCTAATAGCATTGCTTGCACAATCACAATCGAAGTGGCAATCGGAGCGATTTTTCTATGCTTAATCTAAGTTTTTGTGGGTTCTATTCTGTTTCGTGATTTATGTTGGGATATGTTAATGCTATATTCCTCTCAAGCAGATGCATATTTTCGACTTTGAGTACTTCAATTATGTTTTGTGCCATAAAATAACCGATTTTATAGTGGCACTTTTTTTGCGCTAAGCAATAGTTGAAATAAGTGAAATGGACTTCACATTTATTTTTATTGAACGCGCACAAAAATCGTTTTCACACAAAAGAATTGCCATTGTTTGCTACGGCCATGAGCAAAAGTGATAATTTACCACTTTCTTTTCCTGGTTTATCATCCCATACGACTGGTGTGAGCTTTGGTGGTTTACTCCACGTATTTCGTTGAAGAACGCTTTAGAGTCCCTGCGCTGTATAAATGCGATTATCCATTCTTCGCCCTGTGCAAGTCATTCTTTTGTGTGATTGTGCCACCAATGAATATACGCTGCAATACATTCGTCTTTGCATGCCGTATAGAAGAATGACATTCGTGCGAAATTTCTAAGTAGCTAGTACGCTGCTCCTTCGCTTCATCTGATTAGTACGGTGTTGCGGCCGCCTGAAGGGATTCTCGAATAAGTTAGAAGAAATGGTTTTGCAAATCGGATATTTTAATTTGGAGGTATATAGACTAGCGCTTTCGCATTCACTTGTGAGATGTCATCTTACTATGCGAAGCATTGAATGATCCGACTCCAAACTCACTTTAAATGTTTTTTGCCAGTGTTTTGCTTTCACCTCTTCAATGTGCCCTTGTTAGAGGTCACCAAAGTTCGCATAATTGATCCCCACTAAATTTTTAATTTGCAGCTATGAAAAAAGCATAACCTACTAAATGTTTGGTTACTTGTGTTTACAGTTTAACTGTGATACATTTGCATAATTACAACAATTTACGAATGGGTAATTCGATATGATATTCTCAGAAAAATTTTCACACGTCAGCAACGTCATCTTCTGTTGTTGCATTAGGCATTCCCCCACTGGACAGTTCAGACTCGACTTCATTTCACGGAATCCTGCTCCTCCCCCATTCAATTCATTCAAGCCTGCTGGAAAGGTGCCTTTGCCAACTCAGTTCCCACCCAAGAACCGGCGTCCCCTATCGGCAGTCTCCCGGTTAGTCTGCTATATATCATTGCCTGCGTATAGATTAGTGCATGCATAAATCATCGTCAAGGTGGGGACAGTAGCAGCAGGAATCATGGCGTTTTTTTCTATCTTGTAAACACCATTCGTCTTTTGTGCTATTGCCCGGGACGAAGAGGCAACACAAATTAGCGCAGTTTGATGGATGATTGCTTTGCAACATAACTGATATCCTATAAAAACAGGTGTTAGTGGTGTCTTGTTTGAGAAAATGATGTCCTTTCCTTTCTTCCCCCATAAGAAATGGTGATTTTGAATTAGATGCGACCGTGCTTCATTTTTAGCCAATTTTTTTGTGCAAGCATCACAAATTTCGGACAGAAGCATCAGACACAGAACATTTGCATACCTCCATTGCGAATGTAGTTCAGTGTATAATTCCTCAAATAATTGCATATCGGGTGCTCATGCTGATATTTTAATTATGATTTGGAAGATCCACTTGCAATGTTATTACCGTTATGTGTTGGATCAAGCGACGTTCCCACAATGCGATGTTGGGTAATCACATAGGATGTGTATGCAAACAGTTTGTGAAAAATTTTAATGAGGAGAAATGCCAACACTTCCCTCAATCTAGCAAAAAATGCCAGTTTTCAAGGAGCTCGCGTGCTTCCTTTACCCATTTTCGCTTGTTTTGCTTCAGTAGCCTCGATTTTTTCTGCTCTTTAGCTTCTGCAGAAAACAGGTGGAGTTTTAGCCTTTCCTCATTTGTGGATGCACTACCAGACGGCGGCAAACTTCTCCTTCAAGCTGCCTCGGACCTTGCCTCAAGTCCAAAAGAGGACTCGCAAACCTCTCCTTTGTTGGCACCGGACAACGTACACATCTTTTCCCATACATTCACACCCATGAGTCCCCAAGAGCCCACTTCGTATGAAGATCCGCCTTTGGTAATCCCAACTCCAGATGTACAAATACCCGAGAGTCCGATCAAAGTGATAAATTCACCAGTACCCTCCTGTGATATGGAATTAGAGACTTCCTTTGAGTCTATTATTGCCTCGTCTCCGGAAGAAGGAAGAAATGAGCCTTCGAAAAGAATCGATGGGCACAGTTCTCACAGTTGTGACATAATTACTCCTAAGGTTCCACCCGTACCTGACAAATATTCGCCCCACTCCCTCTCATTTGACTTTCCTGTTACATCTTCACAAGTGTCTGAAAGGGTGAGTAAAACCCTGACTCTGGCGCACAGCGTACGAACCTCCACGAGTTTGCTAACAATCAAGGAGGAAGTGTGTGAGTCCCAAGCGACTTTTTCCGACTATAACGAGTGGAGAAGAAAAAGGGATCAGGAACGTAGAGCACAACAAAATCAATCTATCTCTCATTCTAAAACAACTTTTTGCACGGAAATCCTACGAGACTCTCACTGTGGCTCACTTGACATGGATGATGGTTCTTCTGCCGACGCTGCAGATCTACACCAGACTCTTTTGCCCAATTCCATTGCTGAAGAGGAAGAAGTTGACCACGTGAGACTCTTCAGTCCTGCTAGTCCAGATGAAAATCAAATAGCTCCTCTACGCTCTTCGTCTCAGGATCCTTCTCACGAAGAAGAGGAGGGTGAGATTGTGGACGACGAGGATGAAGAAATCGTAGGTGAAACGGATGCGTCGAGTGACTGTAGCCGCTCCTCGGACCAATCACCAAGGTGCAAAAAACCACGAGGGAGTGGTCACAAACCCATTCGTATTCCCTGCTCACCACGCAGAAGGCGATCGAAGCATGACTCCTCTCATCGTCAGACGCCGAAGAAGTCGAAAAAAAGAAGGAAGTGCATAGAGGATGTGGACTATCGTGTAACAAGACCAGAAGGTTCGCATTTTGTAAACGCTCGAAAAGATCCAGTGTGCTCAGTTAATTTTTCAACTGCAATACCGCACACGAACCGATTCAAAGACACCGACTACCGCTACCAAGTGTACATACCCAAGTCGGCGGAGACGGTGTCAGTTCCCGTGAAGGTGATTAATCATGCCTACGTTGTGGAGAATGTGGCGTTACACACTTACAACAGATTTCCCCCTCGTCGTGATGTGAGTGTGCGGTTCACTCAACCCTCCGCATCCTCCATCCCTCGAAGTCGTAGTAAGAGTCGTACAAGGTTCGTTAGTGAAAAATCGCAGACAACGTCTCAGAGGTCAAGCACAGCGACTCACCTGCCACCAGCTCACACTCAACTCTCTATGTCACCGGGTGTCTATCATCCCACAGCGAATGGAAGTGCCCTTTTAGCGAAACCAAATAGCCTGATTGCCAATGCACCGGCAAGCACAGCTTACAAGGCTACTTCCCTGTTAGGGGCTGGAGTCCCCGCTCCTTGCACTCCACCGGGATTTCGTCTCCAGACGACTCGACCTCGACTGCCTCCGGCGTCCAGTAGGAGCGGCTCGGTGGTGGCAGCTCTCGTTGACTCAAATAGTGGGAGCAGCAGCGGTGTGTAAATAGTCCTCTGTCGCATTCTCTCTCTCTCCCTCTCTCTCTCTGCGTTCCTGTACAAAAAGCACAATCAGAACTGTCCGAGGAACTGAAGGTGTCGGACTATTTTAGTTCGCATCATTATATATTCACTCGTTACCTTTTTCTACTCCCTCTTCTTCCCAATATTTGTTACAGGGGATTTGTGCTTACTCTTGAAATTAGAATGAGGCAATTTTTAAACTGGGAAACAGCTCCTCTGTTAAACGTCGGTCTTCCCACTTACGTACCATTTGTAGGCGTGGTGTTTGAAAAATTTGTGCTATCAGAGATGATGATGACACGCTGGATGTGAGCTGCTGAGTCCAGCGTGACTCACTGTTGTGCCGGTTGTGGAATGCCGTCTATTCACAACTGTGCTAATTGACACTCCGTGTCGTGTTGGCACGTGGTAGGGAAGAGCATGAACGCATCGCGGTGTTTACCGCCAGCTGGCATTTGTATGCGAGCGCACTCTTCAAACAACTTTTGCGTTGGAGTTTTAATTTGCACATTGTGCTTTCGCGCTGGTGGGCTTGGCTCAGTTCATGTCACGTGCAGACGTCTCGTACCGTACTGTACTCCTACACTACACTACCCAAAATCCGAGTTATTTTTTGGAGAGGGCCAGAGATGCAAACGCCTGTTGCTTTTCTGCTGGCTTAGCAGAAGTCTGACAGTTGAGTGGCGTCTTGTAACAAATTGGGACGACACATATTTGGCCGTCACTGAGGCATTTGGCGTTTTTCCTCTTTATTTACTCTTGATCAATAGGCCTGCGGGAAATGATGACCTTGAAAATTTAGGCCGCCGATTGGCTGAAGGCGAGTCAAATGATTGGAAGAGTTTAGCCTAGGCCGGTGTTTATGCCTTTGCATACACACGGCAGTTTTAGATAGGCATTGTGCTATAAAGTTACCAAATAGCTGAAGTGCCTTCAGAATGTCGAAAACTTGACCAATTCGTAGTTAAACTAGAGCCTGAATGGTTTCCTAAATTGGACAGCGTCGCAGGGCCTATCAACTATTGGGGGGAGAGAGGGCACAAAGAATGTGTGAAGGAGGATGAGTTGCGCTACATGTCAACTGTATCTTGCCATTTTGTCACGTCCCGATTGGCATAAGTTGGGACGATGACACTGTAATACGTTAATCCTACACAAAACAGTACAATGTGCTGGCGAAAATAGACCAGCAACACAAGTGAGGTGGAAGTGCATGACTCTCATTATTTTGGCTTGTAGGAATTCCACAATTTTTTTCCCTAATCGGGGTGCTATATTATCTACTTCATTAGTTGAAATCTTCCTGCTACTACTGAGAGGCACTAGCCTCACCACCTTGGAATGGCCTTCGTTGCAGTGGAGTGTGGTGCTCCCTGTTCACTGGATTCATCTTTGAAGATAAAGGTTGTGCTTTTCGGTAAGTAATGTCAAGGAAAAATGACCGGTTTTTTGCTGCGTTATGCCGTATCATAGTAAGCAACCGGAATGCTTTCTGTACGATGCTCTTTGGACAGAAATAACCGTAGGCAAAAGAGGGTACACATTTTTATTTTTCATTCCTTTCTGGTTTTGATGAATATTTTGGCATATTACACCAACCTTTGTTGATGGTATGCTTGAATCAGTGCGATTATGCAAGCGTGATTGGTGGTATCCAGGAGGAATATTCTTCCTTCACACCGGTAGTAATTATAAAAGGGTAACCTAACCGCCCCTAATTTAATCAAAGTAGCGTTTAATAACAAGTAAAGTCCGGCAGAAGAGGGGTCACCATGGCTACTGGGGTGAAACGCCTTTTTTGGCTCGAGTGCTTTGCCTATCAGAGCCAATAACAGTTAACTTGGGCGGGGCCGTCGCCCATGTTAATGGAATGAGTCAGATTAACTTTACAAAATTTTTGAAAAAACGGCGGTCCTTTTTGATAGTAGTGCAAATTATCTTGCATATTTAATTTATGATTCTTTTCTAGGGGGAAAAACTTCCCACTTTGCTCATGGAAGTTATCAAATCGGCCTAGCCACGTCCGTTCCTGTCCATTTAATTTTGTATGTGAACATTTGAGCGTCTAATGTTAAGAGAAGGTGGTTACCATCACTTAGGAGGGGTAGTAAAGAAATACAAGGGATGAGGTGGTGCGGTATCCTTATTTCACCCTAAAGTGTCAATCTTCACCCGAGTGCATTCTGCGGTATAAGGTCTTGCGTTGTCTCATTTGAATAGCACTTTCTTTCAATTGAATGATCTGCCGTCGCTGTTTCGTTAGGAGTTTTTCGTTTACGGATTCAATTTATATCGTGCTGAGTAGATGGATTTCGGCTGCAGCCACTGTTCCACTTTTAGCAAGAAAACACTTCCTACTGAACGATTGAGTCCATAGTTCAAGCATAGTCGTGGAGGGATGAAGTTGTGTGTCTTGGACGTGTGAGTGGCTTTTTACCAAATACTGGAACATAGAACCCACTTCTCATTATGAGTCAGTTTGCTAACACTCTCACATCGGTACGTTTTTGTAATGCAAGGCGGGTAGGCAGAGGACCACTTGACAGCTTTTGAAGCCTACTGCCATCTAGTAATGCACCCCATACGGTACTCATGTTCTTAGCACCCATAGCTCCTTGAGCCTTTCTCAAAGTCAAAATAGTCACAGTACTGGAGCAGAAAGTATATTGCTGACATACAGGAGGCCAAAAGGTCATGCCAATGAGTGAAAGTACAATGCCGGAGCCTTAAGTGTGCCTCGCGTAACATAAATACAACGATTGACAATCCAAGTATTACAGCACCTTCTATAAATTTATTTTTAGTTGATAGAGAGATAGACAAATCCTTTCATTATGCTAATTTTAAATTTCGCTTAATAATAACGATACACAAGTCTTCAAAGAGAGTGACGACATCTGAACACATGGCACCTATAAGCCATGCAACTTTCAGTACCACAGCTAAGTTGTTTAAACAACTTCTGGACGGTGGTAGTTGGTAATACACAATATACAAACGCCATCTAGAGAATTCCTTAAAGAACCAGATTTCCCAGCTTTAGAATCAGGTAAACCTCAGTTTGTAAGACCGACGAGGTTGATTTACAAGCGGTTCAAATGGTATTTTAGGTATGAGGGCTGAAAATAGAATAAAATTAGTCCAAATTAGAATAAAGGGCACCAATTCACGAACGTACGGTTTTGTTTTGTAATGCCCATAAAAGGGTGCCTTCTGCAAATCATTGGGGCCGAGGTATGTCGAAAATCCCACCAACTCTTTTTGGCCAACTAGTGGCTTTATGATAGCCTAAAAATAAAAATGGCGTAAATTTCTAACCAGAAGTTTTTTCGTAAAAATTGGAAGGATCCTGTTCCTTGTATGCAAACTCCTTTTTGGGGTATCAATGCAAACTTTCATGGACAAAAAGTTCAAAAGCTTCTTCACCATGCCTTCACAGATGTGCAAATAAGTTCCTTCTGGAGGCGCCATGAGATATCTGGCACTGGCGGAATGGTAACATGTTCAAATAAAACAGGTATCCTTCTGTCAAGGTATTGTAGTCAAAATAAATTTATTTCAAGGGGTACAGGCACCTTTGTGAGCTCTTACTCGATCCCGGTCACTTATATATAGCACCATATTGGCCTGTGGGATTTCTCTTTGCTGCAAAGTGGAAGCCTTTGAAATTTTTGAAAAAAATCACTAAATTTTGCCTCCTGAGTAAGCCGAACTGATACTATTTTGACACAAAAGTGTGTCAGTTTCATACTCTATTAATAAATTGGTTTTAAGTGGGAAAGGGAGTGGCTACGTGTTAACAGTAGCGGGATGACATTAAGGCAGACTGGACCAACGGACACCAAAGTTCCCGCAAGGAAATGGGTGCAATGTAGGCAAATGGCATTCTGTTTCAAACTCTCATTAATTTTTAGAATTTGTTTTTTCCCATGTGCTAAGAGCGTAGGTGCCGCAGCTGTTCTGCGTCTCTTCAATTCGGTGCACAAGAAGGGTTAAACCATCTGTGCAAATTTTGGTTAGCGTTGCGTTAAGAGTATTTAAAAACAAAAATTTTGTTGGTTTTCTTACATCGAATAATCACTTTTACTGAAATACGACATTCCTATCCATGGACCAATAGGAAAGCCACAAAATTGGCTTCTGACATTGTGATTAGCATTTGACCTCCGCCGTTATTGTTTCATGTAAAAGGCCCGGAAGTAATTTTCAGGACTGCCAATAGGTGGGTTGACAATCACAACTTTTAAATGTGCTTTGGACAAAACAAAAGTTTAAATCGACGCTTTCTCTGGACGTTCTAATTGTGCGGTCAGTCAGACGCGGTTCATTATTTTAGGCTAAATAAAGAGGCTAATACCATGTTTTTCTGAATACTTCCTATTGTATTATATGGTAGTCGCTAAATGAAGACATTGATGGACATCTCAAGGCTTTGACGATAATGGCGTTCAATCAAGATGGCAACTAACTTAATCCTAGTTGGTGGAGGATACGTTTCCTACCTAACGTAACATTTCCCCTTTTTAGTAAATGCCTTCCACTGCTGCAAGTAAATATTATTCGCCCCAAACAAGACATCCGCCCTGAAACAAACTAGTATTTTAAGATGTAGATCTCTAGACTTAAATCAAAATGCCCCAATTATACTTACAGAATTTAAAGTAGTATATGCTTTCAAACTCACGGACTTATTTTCCTTATGAAGGATCGTGGGAAAAGAAGTGGGCCTCCCTAAATTTTCCAGCCTATTTAGGAATGAAATTGACTTCTTCACCATATTTTCGGCCTTTTTAAAAAAATGTTTATGAGTTTTAAATTTTTTAGTGGCTGATTTCACTGACTGGTACCTATCTCTACCACTTCAGACAATGGTGTTTATTTTACATCCCGGCCAAATCCTGTTAAAACGGGATAACAGCACAGATTTTAAGCACACTAGTTATGTAATTGGCTACAAAAAGGAATTAAATTTGGATATCAATTTACTCGGAAGCTCACAAGCCATTTGGCGTAGGTGAGGAAAGCACTGAACCAATGCGTTCCGCTGCCAAAAGGAGTTACACTTAGCAATAGTGTGGTGGTGAAAATGTAAAGAACTATGCACCTAGCGAGCACACTTTAGCCTCATTCTGACTCTACCTTGTTGCAAAATCCTCACTAAAACACTGAGAGGTTTTACATAGGGATTGTCAGAATCCTCTTTTATTGTGACAATCTAATATGTTTACTGATCATAATTCACCCAAGTATTCACTCAAAACTTTCTCGTTAATTACGGGCTAAAAGTGGTTTGATTATCCACCGAGGCACAATCCAATCCAATTCCTCTCCTTTGAACCAATCAGGTCGAAGAGCCAACCACCTTTCAGACATGGTTAAGCCATCCTACGCGCCGAGGCATGTTTTGCGTGTGTAGAGCAAATTTTGTAGTGACTTAACGGTGATGGGACTCGTATGAACTAAAGGGTAGATAGAGATCTGCATAATTTTTCAATTTTCCATGATTAATGCATTCAAAAGGTGTCATCATTTACATTATCACTGGACTTCTCATCCAACGTTCCGCTACTGCCATTTGGGATGAGTTGAAGCACCGTCTAGAGGCAAAATCAACTGTGGATCTAGCAGACGAGTTGGAAGAACTGAATGCACAACTTTGGAATCCTCAGACAGGTCCTTCAGATCGGCCCGATCACTGGATTTTCCGACATTATCTCCTTCCACAATTCAACTATGATGCACTAGTCACCGCAAAACGGGCTTTTGATGAGAACTTTTTGTGGAGTAGTATCAGCCTTCTCTCCCTTCCACAATACAATGTATCTTTCCTCCTCCTAGGTGGTTCTTGGTCTAGACACAATGACCCACCTTATCCTCGTGAAGACGGAATTGTCCAACTCTGCAAATTCATGCTCTCTCCTTCGGGTCAGTTGACATTCACACCCCCTTGTCAGGACTTATCAGAAGGACTCAATAATACCTCATACCTTGGTGCAACATCGGTTTCACTTCAGATCAGTCAAAATATGGGTCTAGTGGCTTACTGCGATCCCTTGTGGAGGGATGAAAGCCACTTTCCCGCGGGTCGATGTTACCTGCAGCTTCTGCACAACGAGAATATCCGACCACGGCACGAGCTGGCATCATTTTGTCGTACGGGTGGAAAAGTGACAGAACCCTGCATGACAGGCTTCAGTGTGGATTTGATGTCGAAAAGTCGAGTGAATTCTGGCTTCCTCGAATTTCTCAAAGGCATTCATGTCATTGTCGGTCAGCCATTGGCCATTGGATACGGTCGGGTGCAAATTTTAGCCGATCCCTTCTACTATCCACGAACTTTTACTGTCTACCGCCCCAGCGGCCTCGAAATTACATTGCCTGAAAGCTATTTCGGATATTCAGTGGCAGGAGAATATGTGTCGGTTGTCGGTGATGGTTTTAGACAAATGCAAGAAACATCGAATGCATCAGAGCTGATACAGGTGTTTAAGGTAGGCGACCTTCAGAGTATACGCACAGCTGGAGGTGTGGAATTTGACTGGCAAGGCCGTGTTGACAAAACAGGGTCATTCTCGGGCTTTGGGACATCAATGATACGCTTAAAAAATGTTGATGGACAGGACATCATAGTTGTGGGCTCTCCTTACGCTCCAAAAGGCGGTAGGGTGTACGCCTACTGCATTCCAACCAATCTTGCAGTTGATAATAGCAAGAGACAGGCAGTGCCAACCGACACTTATCGAGACTTTGTTTCTGCACCCGCTGGATCTGGTGCCTTTGGTTATTCTCTAGCGGCTCTCGGAGATATTAACGGTGATGGTCAGGAAGATATTGCTGTTGGTGCTCCACAACTACGAAATGAGTCAAAAAGTGGACTTGTTTTTATCCTCAGTATTCTCAACAACTGCACATTCGATAGGAGACCTATTCAAGTTATCTCAGGTCCCGAGAAGGCGGCGTATTTTGGTTCCATTTTGCCAAGAAAAGGCATAGACCTCGACTTTAATGGCTGGTCGGATTTTGCCCTGCCTGTTCCCTACTGTTCATCATGCATGCCAATGGTGTATACCTCTCGATCACATTATCAAGCTGCCTGTCGATTTTATCAGCCAAATTGGCTAGGTAGTGTCCGTATTCGACGCAATGCACGCATACCGATAAGGCTGAAAGTAAGACTGATACCCTCAGGCAAGAATAACAGAAACAGTTTTGAACAGATACTACAGGCAGCAAATGTAAAAGTTCAGGATCTTGTCCATCAAGTAATTCCCGACCTGTGGGCCAAAGAGGCTGGTGAGCAAAGAGTTAGACTAAGCACGTTCCACAGTGTGAAGATGAACGCCTATTACGATATGCTTTCGCTGAAATTCGATCTGTTGCCACAGATGGATGTGGAGGATATGCCAAGTCTGGAACAGCCAGATGGAGGGATTCGTGTGCAATACAGGTTCAACATCCCCTGTCCAGACGGAGCGAAGGCAGCAGGAGACACGAAAACCTGTCTTGGTGGTGCATGGGTGCATAGGCCTATAATAGATTGGTCAGCATGCAACTTTCAACTGCGGTTAACGAAATACGTTTGCTTACCGCAAGGAAGATGTGAGAGCGATGTATCACTCCTCGTGACCGACGAAGAATCTGCCAAGTTTGCAAATTTCATACATTCCAACCCAAGCGGAGAAACTCTTTTAATTTACGGTGACAAGGAAAGAGCAATGAATGCATTAATAATTAACATTTACAACCACGGACCAACTTTTGCGGGCGGTGTCTGGATAAACATGGCATTTTTCGGTAACCTGCGATTCTCTGCATTTGAAGTGGCTCGAAGAAGCGACGACAATGGAAGCCTTGAATTCAAACCCGCTATTTGTTCACATCCTCTTTATAACGACACATGGGTTGCCTGTAATTTGGGTCGTCTTGATTTCAGTCAGGGAAATGTATCCTCACCTGTTCAGAGAATTCGATTAACCTCCTTTTATGCGGCCAATAGTGGAACGGTAAATAAGGATTTCTCCCTTCCCTCTTTTGTGAATATTTCCATTTCATCGCAAACATATGATCCCCAACCCCAGAATAACCACGTAATTTGGCAATATAAGTTACTTCATGCGCCGAAGTACCTTATTACACCTGCGGGTCATGCACCATCAAGTGTGTTGGACAATCGGACGAGACCCACCTCCTGGGGTCCGGGCTTCCATCAACGAATTCGAGTGGAAGAAATGGGTCCTCAGATACGACACATTTTCCAGGTGGAACACATGGGACCCGCAAAAAGTGTGGAAAATGTGACGATTCGACTGCGGGTGCCTGTGAGAATGGCTAACAGAGCCAAACCATTGGTTTATTTATTTAATGAAGTGCGAGCTCCTTCACCTAACGGTATTGACATGGAATGGGTATCACTTCGACCTGTTGTTAAGCAGATTGGCGCCTCCGTAAACGATGTCGATGGAGTGACTAGCTGCTGGTACAATGACGAGTCGCTAATCAATCCAAATGGGTGGATTGGAATTGATATGTCAAGTAAGTATACCCAGAATACCTCACCATTGAGTTACCTTTACATTTTCTGTATGCAAGTCAGATTAGAAACGGATACGTAAGGAACGTTCCTAGAGTGTAGCCAGGTGTGTGTTTAAACCATTTGCCAAGACCTTGGCGCATTAAGACGCATGATTGATTGGTTTTGCCGCTGCCATGACAACAAAAGAGAGCAATTGTTCTTCTTTAAAGTGCCTGGGGTTTTACCGCCTGTTCTACATGTAGAAATGCGGAGTTTTTTTTCAAGTAAGACGTCTAATTATATATTCCTGAGCTGCGGCAGACGCAGTTAGTGGATTAAAAATTGCAATTCAGGCGTTGGTTCGTGTGGCTTAAAACCGTCAAATAGCATTCCCAAGCTCACGATTGTCAGGGTAAGACTCATAAGTGGCATATTTCTTTCTCAGACTAACAGCAGGTAAGTAGTTCATGCGTGTAAACGGTGGGGGAGTGGTCCCGAAGGAGTGGGGGGATTGGGCATTTTTTTCCTCTGTGGGGTAAGGGGAAAAGTCAAGTCACGAACTCCTATACGTCTCTTATGACTAAGGCGACACTGTCACGGTTGAATGAGCGCTGGGATGGGAGGGTCAAGACTCTAGCCCTTCCGAATTCCGAGGAACACAAATTTTCGTGAAATCTTAATGAAAGTTAATGTTTTTTAATGTTGTGAAGTAGATTTCATTGATTGGATGACCCTAAGACGACAAGATTCACAGTTCATCGTACTGACTCCAAAAGGCCATTTATGATACATTGGGATTTTGAAATTTTTATTGAAGAGTTGTGTATAATAACTGGTGTTTTATTACCGCTTTATGCAATGAAAACCCCAGAAATTAATCAATCAGTCATTCCTCTTAATGCTATATCCAAACATGAGTTTATTGGCGACGAATCACACTATAGAAGGGCGGATAGCAAATCAAGATTAATGGATCCGCTTCAACTTTCACCTCATTGCGCCCCGCCAGTCATTAAGCACTTTGAAATGTAATTGAGATAATTTCTACCCTTACTTCCAATCTGCCAAATTTTCTTCATCAATGCATACCAAACAATTCAAGCGTCAAGTGATGAGTTAAGGATAAAACAGGCCAATGTCAAGGGCGCTGATCAACGCGTTAGAGATGAATAGCTTTCGCCTGATTTCTACTACTTTTGCCTGTCAAGCCCCTTCTGATTTGCCTAATGCTCAGAAAAAGCAGAAGTTTGGTGCTTTGCATATCTGTGTTGCACTATTGAAAGTGGAGGAGAATTTAATCTCAAAATGCGACTGGATAGACGGTTATGAACCGTGTCAACTCCGATATTTCTTTTTCCAACACCTGGATCATCTTGTGCACTGTCAAGTTGCATGGCAGATTGGCTATACCAACCCCACAGTCGTTTGTGTGAACCGAATGACCAGTCATTAACTGCGTACATCTGGCATGTAAGTCAAAGCATATGCTGCTATTTATCATAAGCCAATCGAATCATGAGCATATGACAGTTGGTTGGCAAGAGTGTCATTGGTGCGATATGTGGTCACGATTCAAGTGGAAGGAAAAGGTTTCTACTACGCAAAATCTACTTCGAATACAGACAAGACAGAAGCATAGGTAGCGGTTGACACCTACGGGGTTCAGAGCGAAGTTTGAGTTAGTAAATTCATCCGGAAACAGCACAGTCAATCGCAATAGGCGCTTCAGGCATTAATGCAGCTTTTCTTATTCCAGCCAGTTAACAAGATGCCTGGAGGGCGGGTGGTAAATTCACAGTTTGTCAGCAATTGCAGGAGGTTGTCCAATCCTTGAAGGTCAATGTTTACATAGCCTTTTGACAGCGGTGCTTTTATTCCTGCAATGGAATTCAATTTATAGGATAAAACGGCTTGCAATCTTGACATTTATTTTGCAAGAATTTGCTTTAGTTGCCACTTCAATAGAAGATGAGTATTCTAAGTGGAATAAAGGAGGCCAACACTTTCCGATCTTTGGAGACCTGACATATGCGCAATGTATCTTGAATGGATTAAGCATTAAGAGGCAGAACTTATTACTTGAAGAGATTTTTATGCGCAAAGTAGTATATGCTTCACTTTCCTGGTTGCAGGTATTGAGACGAAACGGGTCCGACGAGATGCGCCCACTCCGTTCGACTCGAATAGCACAGAGCTGATGCAGTGGCATTACAATAGTAGTGATACTCTTGGACAAGCAGCTGGACGATTTGGCAATGAAGAACGTCCGCAGAAAGTTTCATTCCGGCGAGTGCCCAAAGAGGTAGGTGAAAAAAATGAAGAAATTAGGGTAAAAACTAGCTTGTATTAACACGTTAGCTGGTGGCGTCGCATGCACGTGACGCCCCGATGTACGACGGTCTCCCCGTCCATCACCCAGGTGTGACCCCATCTAAGTAAAAAAAAGTGAACTGGGTTGGAAGTGGAAAAAAAACAGGACCAGTTAATGCCATATTGGAACAATGCAGAAGAGCATTTCAGCTGAGGAGGTCGAGGCCGTGATAGCACACGTATGAAGAGCTCTCCTCTGTCCTGACGCTGCTCCCCAGTTCTTGCCGATTCACGCATTGACCCACATAAGTACATTCAACTTTTAATGACTTATTCTGCTTACCGCACAATCCTAAACTAAACCGTAAGTCTAGCAGCGCTCCGACTGTTGCAGCAGGTTTTTTCAGCTTATACTTAACGGAAGTCGTTTTCATGTAACAAAATGGACATTCTGAAATGGTTCAGTAGATGAAATTTCAGGTTATTTACCATGTAGACAATGAAAGGAAGACAGTTTAAGACGCAGAGAACTCTTAAATAAAGCTGAATTAGGGAAAATCTTCCACATATTCTATAACTAAAATTGGCACCCAAATCTGTTATTTAACAACTACTTTGAAATTTCCGTGCGGAAAACATAGTGTTTTGACCAAAAAAGTAATTACCAAAACTGGCTGAATTATGCTTAATTTAGCAAAACGAAACGATTCCTCACTTTTTTGGGTGATTTTTAGGCACTCTCGACCGAAAAGTTATGAAGATGGTGTACTGTTTCATTCTATCTACTCGGCGAAAAGTTCATGGTCGTTAACCGGTTTTTCGTTCGGGAAACACACTTACCGTATCAGTGTCGAAAATTTTTGCTGAATTACGTGAGAAAATGATGTTGAGTTAGCTAATGCATGAGCGATGCCACCCAAAAAGCGGTTATTTGCCTACGAAACATTAACAACTGGCATTGCTAGTTTAATGTTAGCCTTTTTATACGGGAAAATAGCTTTGCCTTTTTACCAAATCTGGCCGCATTTTTAATTCTATGCTAACTATCTTCATTTAACAAAATATGCAAGGCATTTTCCACCCTTACGAACACCGTTTGTGGGGCATCAAAGAAAAGGACCTGCTAATAGCTTCATGGACAGTGTCAGAGCCAGTTGAGGCTAGGATTAAGGAGCCTTGATGAGATGTTTTAGTTACCTGGATTGTTAAAATTCTACGTTCCACTGTCAGTGAAATTCTTCCCTCAGGCTAATCAAGTACTGCCGGGAACGGTTAACTCTAGCAGTTTACTTGGTTCGGTATTTAACAAACGATAATAAGAGCCACTGTTACTTCTGAAGTTGGTTTTTCGTCGCTACTTGATGGTCCCAGTCCTTCCTTTGATGTTACCTTGTAATTTTCACGGTTATCTTGAAGGCCTGGTTGATTTACAACTGATTGTGGTAACTGGTTCCCAGGAGGTGATGATGTTTAGGCGGTGCTCTTTTCATTTAACGGGATTAATGAACTGAAAATTCAAAGCTAACGTAAAAGAATTGCGTCTCTGACTAATGTAAACCAAGTTACTCATCTCTTTTTATTGTGTTCACCTACCTGAAATCCAAAAATAAAGTCACATTAAATGCTGTTTTACCCATAAAACAGCTAAAAAAGAGAAGTGGGAAAATATCCACAATGGGTGTCGAAATACACCAGAGGCAACAAAATTTATTTGTCCCTCACTTCCAAAAAGATAAAAACATCGTTACAAAATTGCTGAAATTTCTGTAATTCCGTCAAATAAATTACCCTTTTACGGGAATTTTTGTGTATTAATGGATGACTGCAGTTAAACTGTCCAACAACTGAATACAAATGTGTGTACCTTACGTGTTGCCACAATTTCTTCCAGGTTATTCAATGTGGGCGCGTGGGGCAAAAGTTTGGGAAACCACTGTGTCTCGAGATAATCTGTCACTTGAGGCAACTGAAGAAGAAGCATCCAGTTCAGATCAGTGTAACGGGCTGGCTATATGCTCCAACCTTCTTTCAGTATTCCACTTCCGACATTGAGGTCTGTTGCTCATTTTTTGTTTCCATTAAAAAAAATAATGAAATTCTTGATCCCGTACTAGGCTAAGAATTTCACTTCGGCAAAAAATCCAAACCCCTCCTTGACAAGAAACAAATGCACTTACGTGCTTCACACTCTTGCCACTTGGGTGATATTTAACTTAACAGTTCAATTCTGTGCCACATGACTTTTCTATCTTGCCCCCAATTAAAAGCGAAAATCGTGCCACGTTCGGTCTGTGCCAAGTTCAGGGAACAATATTCTCACATTTAGGGAGCTGTATCAAGGGCTTAACAACTTAAATGCTTTCACACGACTCCTTGGCGAGTTAATCTAAACACTCTTCCGCATTATTTACGCTCAAGGTGGTTTTGATTAGTGCAAAGCACGATGTTGAAATATACTAGGAACGGTTCATGAGAACGTTTTAATGACAAACATATTTGTTTGTTCTCCTATTAATTTGGCACTTCAAAACACCCGCTTTTCTGATTGAAGTATTCACTTTTAACTCTTGAGTTGGGTAGAATTGATAAAACTCTTCCTTAGTAAAATCCAATTTTAACAACACTTTAAAAGGAAAGTAGTTTTGGGTTCCATTGAACGCATCCTAGTTATTGGGATGTTTGGAAATTTTGATTTGATTCACCTGTCCTGTCCTGCGTGTTACACCTTAAGAACAGAAAGGTAGGCTTTCATGGGAAAGCATTGTTATGAGGAAATGTGAAGAAACGAGTATAACCTCTTCTATCTGGGGGAAGACACTACATGGTTTGCAAATAGGCGGGCAATAGAGTAAAGTGGTTTTTGTTATTACCCGCATTGTACCGAAACGCTGTTAATTACGGACCGCACTGCACGCGTCATTGAGGTAGTGCATGAAGTTGTATCTCCGTGTATGGTCACTTTTCTAACTTGACTAAATTACTATCGTAATTTTCCATATATCCTAAGGAAAATTCCTTAGCACCTAGCACCCATTTATCTAGCTATTTATTTTCCTATCTTTCCTCTCTTCGGCTAAATTTATTTGTCAATATGAACAAAAGAAACGCAAACTAGAAGTAATAGAAGTTTTAATGAAACTAGTTAGTCCCGCAGTTAAAACTGATTTTCTTTTTCAAAAAACAAATGACCGCAAATGATTTATCAGAGCCTTTCTCAATTGTGCCATTAGCGGTCACTTGATCACTTATGCACCGACCTTAAATGCCAATTGGCCTAATTAGTACTGACAATGTCGGCACAAATTCTGCACGTATCAATGCGTGCGTTTGCTTGTGTTTACCTATAAACACTCATTCATGAAGTTTCCCAATCCGGATCACAGCTGTCATATCAATCACACTGTTTATTCTATCAACTTTTTATCAACGCCCAGCGACACAGTCATCTGGTGGCAATGAGAGAAACTTTTCAAAAGCCAAATAAACGGCTAGAAGTATCACATGCTCCAGATTTTTTTAAATGTACATAATTGTAGGTGTGCTTCACCTTCTCATGTGACATTGATTTTGTTTGATCCCTTGATCTTGAATGTAACCCAGTAGAGATTGTTTAGCTGGTAGTTAGCTTTCAGTCGTTAAGATCTAGAAAGCTGAACTGCTCTTCGGGAAATACTCCATTCATTTTCACTTTAAACAAGGCCAATTCGTCCTAAGTTAATTGAGGATTGCAGCACCTTTTTATGGCTTTCTCCAATTCCAAAGTACATAATCATCAACCCTGTTGGTGGATAAGGCGATCCACCGACCACCGAACCAGCATTCCTTTTTCTGCGTGGTCACATACTTTCTCTTCTTCCCTTTAATTTACAATCAAAAAGCAAAGTGTACTTTTTTCTCCACCAAGCTACATTCATCGGTGTCGTGTCTAACTCCGACAATCTTGCATTAGAATGCCTACCCACATTTGAAAATAAATTAACATCCCCCAACATGAATGCTACTGGGATGATAAATAACCATAAGTGGGACCTTTGAAGGTTTTATCTAGATAAGACCATTTTTTCGTTCTACCAATCGCCAATGGCGCATCCTGGACCGCCTTAAAGGAGGTTATCATAGCGAGAGATCAAATGAGAGCTTTTTTGACGTAGATGGACTTTGGACGACACATGCAAGTAGTAAAAACGATGATGATAGGCCAAGAAAACGAATAACTGGTATTAAAAATGTCAATGCCGGTTTTTTGGACCACAAATGATGCCCGGTTGACAGTTTGATCAGGTGTCCTCGGTGCATACCATCTTAAACGCTGGAGACCGCGATCCCGATTACTTTGCGCGTCAAAATTGCAAACGCAAACGAAATGTTGGCAAAATGTTAACGTTTTGGAGAGAGAAGTACCAGTTTTATTAGATTCGTCAATAGAACCGTCTTTTGGATTAAAATACGAATTAAAAAGGCTTGGTTGAATCGCGCTTTAATGAAAAAGTAACGTTTTCAAGCGAGAGAATACATTTGGTCGGTTGGTATTAGGGATTATGACCTTTTAAATGACTCCAGTGGTAGATTTTAATCATAAAACCGAAGTGAAGAAGTGGAATGAATGCGATCTGCAAGACGAAATGCTAAATAAATTTGCCCAGCATTAATATAGTCATTTGGCATACTAGAATCTCCCACTCAAAGAAGGCCGTAACAAACTCCTCATTTTGCTTTGATAAACACTCTCTCCCGAAGGGTTGGGAGACTGCAGCCATAAACGGGAGTCCCCGTCACCAAGATGCACCAGCGGCCGGAGTCTCTGCATCAAATCTAATACCGTTTTATTACACCACCAAGGAAATATCTGCGTAATCCATAAATTTTGTCATTTCAGGGAAGCATGCTTAATGGCCCAACGTATTCTTCCCAAATAACTGTACCTGTAAAATCAGACTCCGGGAAAGCAAAGTAGGTTATTGCTGATAAGAGTGGCTTGTGAGCCTCACGCATCTCCGAAGAAAGGACAAACCTCTTTAGTTTTATTTGGAGAATAGGCAGACCGCCCATTGGTTAGAGCTCCATACCAGCTTTGTCACTCCAAGAAAGCAAAGTACAGGCAAAAAATTGTGTCATATCAACGAAATGGCGTAATGCATTTGCTAGTACTGCATTTCTGCGGCGTACCAAGAGGTGAGCCACCAAGAATGGCGTACGTTGTTATGGTTGAAAGACAAGACCTTGGGTTAATTATGCTGTGGGTAATGTGTGCAGTGCTTAGTTCTTGTTCTCATGTAGATATACAAGTTGTGGGGGATAATAAACTCAAATGACGTGTGAATTAGCTCCTTCTAAAGACCATTAAACGATCACTTAACAAGTTCGGGGAGTACTGATTGCCAAGCCCTCGAGAGGCTAGAGGAATTATCCTACACTGCTGTATGAGTACCCAATCCCCAAAGCTGTACAAAACAATCATTTGGCCTCACTACCTACGAATACATGCTGTTTTTGTTTCTTCCAGATTGTTACAAGTCTGACTGTGGATCAGGGAGCCGTGCCCAAGGGAGTTTTGAGATCTCCGGAACCTGTTGGTAGCTTCAATATGCCACAAATATTCTACTTCACAAAAATTAAACCCACAATTTTTTACAAAATTCCCATTTGGCCAATTGTGGTTGGTCTAGTCCTGGGAATTTTGCTGCTAACCCTCCTAATCCTCATTCTCTACCGGTTCGGGTTCTTTCGACGTCGGAAGCACAAACTTGCGGTGTCTGGACGAAGACGATGGCACGAAACTTTGGCGGAAGAGATTAGTAAACGGGGTACTGATGAGGTGGATCGTGGTGGAAGTGATTTGGACACTTTTAGCAGCATTCGCTACGCTGAAGAGGCACGGAAACGTCGATTGAAGCTACGGAAACACCCTGAGGAAGTGAGTATTCTCCATCCTGACGAAATTCCGAAGGATAATGAGGGGGAAGGGCAGGATAACCCAACCGCCTTGTTCGAACACGCCTCGACGACAAATGATCCCGATACAGTCACCGCCACCAGTACCACCACGGAAGCTCCTACCACTACTGCCGTCAAACCCACCATCACCGGAAGTAGCAGTATCACTACGGTGGGAGACTGAGAGGGCCCCCCTCCACGAAAAGTTACATTTAAGGCAGAGAAAGTGCTTATTTATTTCTTCATTCTATGCTTTTGCATTAATTTTACGCCTAGGCATGTACGCTATAACGATATAGGAATTTTGTTTGTACCTTCTTTTTGAGTTCGCTTGGCATCTGTGATCAAACCATTTAAGACAATTCAAATTCCCATTTTTGATATTGAATTGACTTATTTACCACTTTCGGTGACCTGGAGTGCTTGACATTAAGAAAGAACGATCAGCTCTTCCCGTGGCAACCTCAGGCTAAATTTGTTTATGAAATTGGAATCTAAGATTGAATGGTAATTCGTCCTGAATAAATCGCCCTTCAAATGGAGGCACCGGATTAGAGCCTTTGCCTAGATGGAAGAAGAGAGGCCCAGTGGTAGAGGCAAAGGCCTAGCGTGGTCAGTTGCCCTCTAGTGGTTAGAATGTAAGTCGAGGGGTATTCCAAACAAGATTAATCAAGGTGTCAAGTAATAGTCCCAGGGCGTTCATGGGGCAGCGTGTGATGTTGAAGTTTTTCTGCATAAAATGAATTATAGAAACCGCACCAACTGAAATCTCTCCATAAAATGGGCTTCAAGTACAGTGCAGCATAGCGATGGGAGGCCCAACTGGTCCGTACTAAGGCATTGAAATGGTTCGAATATTTTGAGGATGACCATGCATCCCTCGATTCGTAAGGGCTCCCAGTTGACAAAAGTCAGTCAGCACGCGGAACACCCGCCTGATCCTGGTAGTGTGGTAGACGCATAACTTTACATGAAATTTCATGCAACATGGTTAAAGTCTTCCATGTTCAATCTCATGACGCTGGTACATTCGACAACCGACGAGGTAGTGAAGCGGACCGCCCTTGACAACCCTATATGGCAAAACCCTTCCGTTCATAGGGTTAATGGGTAAGTGGGGCTGGTGTGAATGCGCCTCTTAGTGTGGTCCAATTTATTCACAAAATAAATTTATTTACCGAAACTTAGGTATTTGGGAAAATTGGAGCTGTGCACACCATTACCGTTAATAATTAATCATGCATCTTCAGCACCAGTAAATAGCAGTTTCCGTAGTCAACGAGTGTCTACAAGCTTATAAGGATGTTAAAGCTGCCACAATAAAACCTGAGTTCGTCAGTTAGATGCTGAATCCGCTGGATAAAAATTATTCGTCTGTTAAGCTCATTTAATGTTAAAGCGAACATTACGAGAGCTGTATGGTGTATGCATGCAACCTTTACTAACAGCTTTGGTATTCTTTTTACATTTGCAATTGATTCATGAGTAGCTGCATCAAGCAGCTACCTAGTTCTATCGCCAGAATGAAGCGATCTGATAAGCTGTACGGACTGTTTTATGAGAGTTGGACACAACTTCACCGCCACTTACTTTTGAGTGAGACAAACCCCTAACGACGTTAGAGCTTCAAACCGCCTTCTAAATGACTTCAAATTTCAAGAGTTGACAAATTGCGTAGTCAGAATAGTAACTAGTTATTTTTAACGACCCCAAAATATCCCAGAAGTAGCCAAAGAAGGCTACGCTTTCTCTAGACTTGGATGTCTAGCTAGAAAACACTTTTGATTTCTAGCAAAAAAAAATGCCGGTTCAAATGTCTAACTTGATTAGTCAACTGATTCGAAACATCAAATTTAATAATTATGAATAAATTGTAAATTAATAAGTTTTTATTTAGGCCCCAAGAGTTCTCTGAAGACGAAAGAAGCCAAAATAATAGGTCAGGATAAGGATTGTTGATATATGGAAAGGCTGAGAGGCTGCTGGTATGGCTTGGAGGCCATGCCACCCCGTGAAAGTACAGTCGAGAGTTGAACAAAGAGTTCAAGTGGTACATAATCCCTCTCCCCTTTTGGGCGTCGTCCCTGTCGTACCCCTCGGTCACTTTTCAGCTTTGGACATCACAGGGTAGTCCATGATGTTGGAAAAACATCCACAAACCAATTGGTCAAGAAATCGAATTTGCGCCCAACTAAGAAGATGTTTAACCGCAAGGTCCTATTGAATCTGGAGTTTTGTTCTGTATGGGAACTGCATTGGGGAAAAAGAAAGTTTGCCGGTCATTTCGTATCCCCAACGCTAGTCGCAAGAACACTGACCTAAAAGCAGAATCATTTAATAGAGACGATGTGTAAAGTAGTTCTGCGGGATGATGCTTTGCGCCTGTTCTTTCATGTCGCATTATCTTCTCACTTCAGTGCTGCCCAGCCATATCTATCTACCTGGGATGGATCCAGCCATTAGAGAGGTGGAGGCGATATCGCTCGTTCAACTGATTGGCACCCTCATAGAGATACCTTAGACGGCTTCTTAAGGAACTAATTCAGATGGTCCATGGCTGATGTTACTTCATTTGTTAATAGCATTCCTGTAGTGCAACACGGAACTAAGGCAGTTGCTGAAGGTAGACGCCATTCTCAACCCTTCTGTTGGGGGACCGTCATAGACTCTCTCATCCGCCGCATAGGCATTTCTTCCATCACGTTGAGGTTTAGTATTCAGTAACAGAAATCATTATAGGAGGCAATTGAGATTAGGTTGGCTTTCTGCTGCCTCTAAAGTAGCCCCCAAAGACCCCCTTGAAATGCAATCGCACAACCTTGAATGCCCGTTACCAAAGCCGAGAGTTAAAACAAAAACAGCAAAAGCATTATATATTTATTCATTTTCTGTGAAGCTGCTTCACTTCGGGGTTATATTTTAGTGGCAACAGTTGACTGGTTTCGGGAACTGAGGGAAGAGTTCCGCTGATTTGCTGCCGGTTAAAACCGCCATCTTTGTATACAAAGGGAATTTCTATGCTTTACTTATCATGCAAATCGTCAGGGTTTTTATTAACTTCGTATCTCACCCGTAGGACATTTTCTTATTCACCAGACTAATCACTGCCAATTAACTACAAAATTAGGCACAAGCACGCTGTCGGGGCTAGGTAAGGTGATATAAAGCTAGTTTGGTCAGGTTTTACCAGCGGTTTGGGTACTTCTACCCGTAAATGCCTGCGGTCATGAGTCAACATGAAAGTATGTGAGTTATCCAACTCAGGTCAAATTTCAAGCCACAGAACTTAAAAAACAAGAACTTTAGTTTTTTTAATGATTTGATTATTTGGTTAACTGTTTTGGTTTCTTGAGGACTGAAGGCTCCCCTGATTGTACTTCCGCTGAGTGGCCTGACCCCTGGGAATGTCGACAATACATTTTCTGGCCTTTGTATTCAGGAGCTTCTCGGGGCGACACATTGGTGCAAACGGAAAGAGATTGCGATCTCAAAGGACAACTACCAGGATTTTCATTACTGAATGCTAAACCTAGACGTGACGGAAGAATGGCATATGCTGCGGATAGGAGAATCTATGACGACTCCCTAACAGTCAACCGCCCCAGCCACATGTTCTGCAGGAATGATATTAACAATTAAAGCGACACTAGTTGTGGCTATGAACCATCTGAAAATGTTCATTGCTGAGCTGTCCATCGTGTCTGTATGGAAATGTCAACTAGGAGAACATGTGATACCTGCTTCAGTAATGTACAAACTTGACAGAATCTTAATAAATACTTGGCTGGACAGTACTGAAGTGAGAACGAAGTGGCAAGAAGGAATAGACGCGAAATCCTCCCCTTTCGAAACCATTTTAAACTCCGTCCTTTATTAAATGAAGCTGCCTTTAGGCCCGCACATCCCCTCTTCCTACAAGCCAATTCCATAAAAGTTCAAAACTCCAAATCCAGTAGGATTGTCAGTAGGGATCAATGACGTTGGGAGGAAATGTCCTTTTAGTTGCACGCCAATTCGATTACTGGTGCGGTTGGTTCGTGGGCGTTGTGATGGCCGACGCGGGACTTTGACTGAGAGGAGCGCCGATGAAGACTCTCAAAATGAGAGGGGACCATGCATTACCTTAACTGCTTATTTACCTCTTCATCTTGGTTACGCGGGCACTTAAGGCTTAGCCATTGTACTTCCACGGGGCGGCATGGCCTTCAGTCCATGCCAATAGCCTCTCAGTCCCTTCTGCACGTCAGCGACCCCCATTCTGCCTTAGTACTATTGTCGCCCTTTGTCTACAGAGAAGTCACGGAACACTGCGTAAATTTCCCAAAATATTCTTTTAATACATTCACTTGTGGTTACGATTTTCCCCGATTTTAGGAATATAATGGGGGAAAATGCAAGGAAAGAATGATTTAGTTCTGTTCGCTCGTGCTCACATCACCTTCAGGAATCGTTTTGATAGATAATGGGAAAGTTGTGAGTGAAAGGAGGTTTTAGGTTTCAAATGACAGATTTAGTTCCCACGAATTGCTGATTTTGGTGGGGCACAATTTTAAGGTGAATTTCACCTCTTCAAATAGGGAACAGACGAAGGTACACCGATTGGTGGGAATAATTAAAAGGACCATGGATGCACGAATTCAGTACTTTAACTGCCCATAAAACCTACCAGAAAACGACCCACATGACGTGAATGGAACCTTTGCTAAACGGAGCGCTAACCCATCAAATCTTCAACTTTATAGGAAGAACTGCACGCTCTTTACCTTAACGCATTCCACCCATTTTTTAGCTTGACACTTTTGGATCACTACATTTTTGACATTTATAGTACAACTAGGAGGAATCTCGGCACAGAAGAAGGGTTTTTCGATGAATTGTGGGATCAAGTAGAAGTATTTGCCAGCCATTCAAGCTAACAAAGGGCATTTTGGTCCTTTCATCGCATAGCAGAACGAGCTGGAATGTCCCTTACAGCCAGGGGGAGAATACGCCGATTTGTCACGTGGCTAAAGTAAAAATTCCACTTCCTGAATATCTTCTTGCCATAGATGAGGCAAGCTTGCCCTCCTACCACCCTGAAAGTTGTAGCTAACGCATAATATAAAGTGAAAATGGATCTGAAGAAATAAGGCATAACATTTTCGTCACCAATGAAGTTATGACTCGGGTGTGTTTGCAGATCTGAGCCTTTGGCTTGGCTTGCGCATTTTATGCAATCCCCTTAAGCCTAGGTCACAAAAATAGTTTGCCTTATTGGCATCGTAATTTAATGTGATCCACAGAAAATGGCGAAAGATTTGGGGCTAAATCCATCACAGAATGGTCAACAAATGAAGAAGTAATTTATCTTAAATGGGTTTTAATGGAATACATCTTTCATATCAGGGAATAAAAAGTTATCAGACGGGCTTACATTTGATTGGTCCGCTGTCAAGGAAAGCGATTGGTTTTCAAGGGTCAAGCCGATTTATACACCACTGCCCTATGCCAAATTCTTGTTATTGCTAGAGAGCAACAATTTTACATCGCTTAAGCATCCTTATTTTCATATGAATTGTCTGAATTTTCCCATCTCATGCACCCAACAGCAGTCGCCTGATGTTGTCTGAGAAAGGTGGTGCACGCAAAAAAATTCACCATCCCAATTACATAGTTTGTTAGAGGTTTGCCCATTCCAACTCCAAGATAGCCCTGAAAACAGAAAAAAAGATAATACTCAGGCAGGATTACTAACATGACCTAGAGGCTAGTCCATCCAGCGAGGGTACAACGACAGAGCGGCTAAGTGGCGCCATTACAAAAGCCGAAAAGTAAACATGAAACCAACGTATTGAAGTTTCTTTAAGAAAACGAATTGCATGGAAGTGGAGCATACATTCAAGCGGGTCTACCTGTTCAAGATTTCGTGTGGTAGAATATCCTAAGCGGTCGGCTGTTGAAGCGCATTGCAAGCCACCCGAGTCGGATGATTTTATTTGAATCGGGGAGAAGTATGGAGACACTACCCATGCCTCGATAGTAGATTAGACTACATTGTCTCCAACTTCTTGGTAGTGTGCTCGGATTACAACGCTTTGGAACCACTATTAAGCAATAGGGACCGCCCCTTTGCAAATAAAATGGACAGTCTTCCAGTACTGCAAGCAAGTTATCGAAAAATAGGTATCATGAAGCTTCATACGAGAATACGTAAAGCCTTCAGCGTAATCCCGTGGTGACTGGATGGTACACTTTGCATCCAACACATCCCAGCCCCGGTAAAGTCGTTCTCTATACCGCGGTAAATGGCATGTGATGTTAGCCCTACAGGCTAACCGCATCAAACCATGCGACTGCATTGATGGCTCAGCCGCCAGCGAACTTGGGGTAGGCAAATACGCAGCGGAACAGCATTCGTTGTTTCCAACTTCCCTATAATACAGAACCCAAAAATAACCCAATCCATTTACAACCACCTAACGATGAACCTACGGCGCAAAAATCAAGCAGAACATCGGTCGAGAATGTCTGAATTTGCGTCAAGTCCCCAGATTATCAAACAACATTGGAATGTGTAAGTTCAGATAGGAGGTACAAATGAAACGGAGGATTAAAAAAGCAAAGTTAATCAAAAAATCTGTACACGAATGGAAAGTCTGTCAATAATGTACTGAGGCATGCAGAAGACGGGATTAATCTCCCGTAGGGCGTATGATGCCACGGAGAGGGGATCGCAAACTTTTTCATTCCCACTCTCATTTGCCTCAGGTGCCTTTTTGGCGTTCAGTCTGGAGAGCAGAGACAGACCAGCAAGGCCGAAAAGGGTGTGGAAGGGATCAGGAATGTTGCCAGGACGGTCCCCTATACCGCCAGTCTCCGAGTCCTGACTGGCACAGATGAACTTGGCCAGATCGGCAGCATCAATCCACATGAGACGACCCAGAATTGTAAGCGAGGCAAGGACCCACCTGCCACAATAAAAGCAGATTTGGCCATGATGAATGTGTTCATATGGGCGCAGTGGTAAAGTAGGATACCTTAAAAATATAATTACGAGCTAAGACGTCGGGAGCACCTTAACAAGGACAAGACCCATCAGTAACACTTGCCGTGTCTAAAATGACTACTAATTTGTTCGCGTAGATAAATAAATCATGAGACGGTCTGCAAATCGCACATATCCAGCTTATAAAGGTAAATGAACTGTGTCATTTCGAACTGTTCGGGTACACCTAGCACACGCATAGTGAAGAAACTAATTCACGGTTTTGGAAACCAACAAATTACAGAAGGATTACTGTCTATCTGAAATATGAAACGTCAAATTAGGTTATAAAAATGAGGCACATTACAAGTGACAATATAAATGCGTGGATTAGCCCCTTAAAAAGTCTTCAAACGAATATTTCTAACAGGCAATCGACAATGAAGCTCAGCACCGTTTTGTCTAAGTAAGCAGTTATAATTTCCAGGTCAATTCACTGTAGCGAGATCACAAGGAACTATACGAGGTTTGAAATTGCCATTTGGATAACGACCAAAAGTTTGGCAAAATAATTGAGTAATGAAGTTAACCAAACGAGTTTTGTTCATATATCACAACCTTAAGAAGCAGTCCGAAAGAAAGGGAATTACAAAGGAAAGCTTGACTAAAATGGTCAGTGCAAAAGTAACATAAATGCTCCTCATAAAGACTGACAACCCTTAAGAGAAGTATGATAACCTGGAAAGATTTTCAAAAAATCAATGCTTTGTACGTGGATAATGTGCGTTATGTGACTGGCTTTAGCCGAGAAGTTATACCTACATAGGTAATCTAGACCCACCATGAATAACAGACGTCCGGCTCTTTGCCAGGTCTGCCATTGAGTCCACCGCTGGGTAGCTGCCGTTCAGCCAACCACCAAGCCGCCTTGCCAATGTCCAACCGTCTTAATTGGTTAAGCAGGGAGAGAGCACCGATAACGCAATAGGCTTGTCCGGCGTGAGACTCACTGCCTGGACGAGTTCCAAACCCGCCATCAGGATTTTGGCACCGAACGAGGTATTCTATAGCCATGCGAATATTGACACCTTCAATGGGTTGAGAGAAGTCACGCACGCCGATTGGAATGATACCCAAGAGACTGAGTGCAGCCAGAGCACAGAAACTGAACCTAGAATCAACTTCCCCCCATTTGTCACCGTTGAAACTCCCGTCTGGGTTCTGAGGTACGGAAGGTAACAATGAATTATACCCGTCTCAAGGGATGGGATATGGAAATCAAAACAACTCTACAAACCTGTAAGGTTGAAATGTATTTAACAGCCTCATTACAGTTAAAACTCTGGAACTCATCATACATGGCAAGAATTTGAATACCACTGAGGGTAGATAGGATATGCGAATCATGACCAGGCGCTGGAGCAAATCCCCCATCAATATTTTGACAGGATTTAACAAAGTCGAGTACATTTGCCTTGTCAATAACATCAAGCCTCTTCATCAAATCAAGCGCAGTGAGTGACCAATAAATTCCCGATAGCTTCATGTGGTCTAACATCGGGTCTTCCTTTTTTTCCAAGGCTTTTAAAAAGGCTACATGTTTCTCGAACATCAAATCTTGTGAAACATTGGCTGTTAAATTCACGTCAATGATTGGGTGGGCCATTTAAAACAGGACAAAAAACCGAGGGACCGCGCAGATTAATGGCATAAATGCAGTCGGACAGCCAATCAAAGTGCAAGCACACGCATTTATATTTTAAAATAAAAAATATCGAAACAATTCAGTTTAAACCACTGGTTTTACTCATTTATCAGGAGTCACTCCGTAATAAAAGGTTCGGTGCTTAATCTACCACCCCAATTTTCATTTCCATAAAACGAATGATCTGATTGGGTGAGACCATTTTTAATTGGTAATATTGTGAAGGGGTTCCAGTGAGCATTGTTGTGTTTCTTTAGAGTGCTGTTTCCTCGGAGGCTAATGACGTGTGCTCTGCTACAAAATTCGTATTTACTTACACTTCTTGTCTAAAGGGTGTGTCTAAATGAATACGTATTAGGCAAAAACTAGTGGGCGTCCTTCACATAAGATTGTTTTAATTCTTTCTTTGCAGCTCAAATTCATGGCAATCAAATTGGCTTGGAGCTGACTGTATAAGTAATACTTGCAGATTTCCTTGACAAATGACGTTCAATAAGGGTAGAAATGTCAACATCGAATGATATCGTTAAACGTCGGTACTTAGGATTGATTGTTTTATGACCTAGAGAATCCGTGTGCAATATCGTCGGAGTTTTTGCCGGGATGGTCTCGTCGACATTTCGCACACTTTTATCAGTTGTTCTGTACATTTTATTATTTTATTCCATTTTCGATGTTTATTATACGTCACCACTCGTACATGGGATGGACTACAAGCGTCCGTCTCGCCCTAGCTTAGTTGGGACAGTCGTGTTCATCGTTGCAGATGGTCTTCGTTACGACAAGCTTTTTACGCTTGAAATGGAGAACACCCCAACACTAAGGTACATTGGATTTTTCTGTCTGATGTTGGCATTGGTTGCTTTTAAACTCATGAGTCTTTTCCCGTTATCCTTATGTAATGGCACGGGTTTCACATAGGTCATATTATTTGCAAACCACTCTGGGTTTTTCTTGCCCAATAGTTTGATTACATTAAACTGCAGGTGGATGGAAATAGTGCTGCTAATTTTTAAACTAAATTATTTATTGTTCTACCCAAAAATACACTGGATTTAACACCGTTTGATCTGCTAAAGCAGTAAATTAGTCATTGACACTCACGAGAGACCGTTGCCAGGATAGGTTTCATGAATATAGTTATTCCAAATTGTTACTAGCCATTCTTTCACTGTCTAGGAAATAACTGCAAAATCCTGTGGAATGTATTTTAGTCATTCATCTAATACTCTTTTCGTCTCATTACCATTCTTACATATCTATTTTTTAATAAAAGGGGCATCATTTTGAATGAGGGCAGTTGGGGGTATTCGCACACGAGGGTCCCTACCGAGTCTCGTCCTGGTCATGTTGCTCTTTTCGCTGGATTTTATGAAGACGTGGCTTCAATCACCAAAGGTATCACTGAATTATTCCTAAAGCGGGTACTGTATGACCCTATCAAGAACTGTCTTGGCCATTAGCCTTTGATAATTGAGCCCCATTTCTCAGTGAAACCCAAGCATCATCTCGTTGTTTAATGTTTTTTGTTTCGTACTCTTCGATCCAACTATTTAAAAACTCTCGTGTTACTCATAAGCATCTCGAGTACTTTTATTCCTCATTATTCCTTTTAGGATGGCAAGCGAATGCTGTCGAGTTTGACTCCATCTTCAATCGCTCTTACCAGGCTTTTGCATGGGGCGGTCCTGATGTGGTCCCTATGTTTCAACCCCTTCATCGTGTTGGAGATGCACGAGTTAAGATAGAAAGCTATCCACACGTCATGCTCGATTTCACCGCCGAAAATATAACTCAAGTTGACGACTGGGTTGTTGACCGATTTTCGGTGGGTTATTAGGTTACTGGGTTCATCGACAGTAGTTTGAGTTCCTATCACAGTGACATTTGTGTTAAATTTGCGTGGCAAAGATCCTTTACTATTGATTGAGCTTATTTGTACGTTGGCTGCTGCTGTAGGATTTCATGAAAACACATTCTCATCTCCTACTGAAAACAAATTCATCAGAATCACCCGAAGATGGCTTTCGTAAAGGCAATTTCATCTTTCTTCATCTCAGTGCGGCTGACCAAATGGGGCACACAAAAAAGCCAGATTCTGAAGCCTACACTGCGATGATTCATAATCTCGATACTAATATCGCTCGCATTCTCGCGATCTTTAAGGAACATCCCAACATTGCTCAAGAAACCGCATTCATATTCACCTCGGATCACGGAATGACTGATTGGGGTAGGTTTTAGGCATTGTTAAGTGTTCTCTCTGCTTATAGGCAGTCATGGAGCAGGGTCGGCGCATGAGACGATAGCACCGCTAATTGTTTGGGGCAAGCATATTCCCCGGCCGATGTCAGCAAATTGGCACTCTCATCTGTTGCCATTCACGCGTAACCTGGGTCGACACGATATTCACCAAGCTGATCTCTGCCCATTGATTGCGTGTCTCCTTGGTATCGCGATTCCAGCCAACTCTGTTGTATGTTTTATCGCCGTGAGATCTACTAATACTGCCTAAGTAGGCTCTGCCATTTATGCTTTTAGGGTGAACTACCTCTCGATCTTTTGGATGTGGACTCATCGGTAAAAGTTGGCCTTATCAGAGAGAATGCTCTGCATATTCTCAAGCAACTACATGTAATTTTAAGAGACTGCGTGTCTTCTAGTAACTTATGTTCAGATCAAATACGAAGAGCAGAAAGCTGGTCATTACCATTTCTTATTTCGCGAATTCAGGTGAGTTGCTTGACCTATCAGTGTAATCTGTTTAGTAAATTTACACAAAAGCAGATAGACAGTATGCTGGAGAGTGCAGCCTTACAGGCGACGAACCATGACTACGTTGCGGCTGTAACGTTTCTTTTTCGGCTAACTGGTTTGTACAGATTGAAACATATCGAAGGATTATTAGATTGAGCCTGGAGGGACTGGACTACTACCATAAATATGGTCGATTTTTTATGGGGTACGATACAGGGCTTATTAGTTGTTTTTTGAACTTGTTTAACCAGTAACGTTTATTGAAAGTTTTTCTTATCTTTGCTAATGATTTGCTCACATTGAGGCCGATCCATCTCCACACCTGCGCACATGCATGTTCAGGGTCGTAAATCACGTCTTAGTTTCAACATTTTCGTAACTACGAGACATACCCCTCAGATTTGTTTTCGCCAAAAACGCATGTAACGTTAAAATTTTATGTGAAATTATCACCATTTAGCAGCTGATTCTTTTAATTTCGTTACAGAGGTGATAAGCACTAACGTGTTTGTGGGGCTCAGTATCCTTCTTTTTCAAACTGTAACCTCTTGAGAGGTCGGCTGGAAGTAGTGACACAAATTGATTAAATATGAATTTTCCGGAACGAAATCTTGCCTTACATTATAAATAAAAATTAGTAACAATCTCTTATCGTAAAGGCAACTTGTAATAAGCCTTTTGAATTGTGTGTTTAGACGGCGATATTATTGTTGAAATGGCAAGCTCTGCAATCTCGCAAATCTCAACACCTCAGTTCTTCAATCCATAAATTGGACAGTCTTCTTATTGCTCTTCTTAGCCTTGCTATCAAACATTCGTACATCAAGAGAGGAGAGCTTGGTTTTTCTATTGGCGACACAAAGGTTTCACTCATAGGTCCTCGCACTTGCTTGTTGGAGCTACTAACTGGCGCGGCTTGGCGTGCTGCGCGTGAGTAAACAGCATGACCCGCTGCCCCCATGCACACACGCAAACATATGCCATAAAAGGTCGTTGAAAGCCAGTGTGTCCACCGTTGCCCCATCTTTCAAGTGACTGCTGAATCACCTTCTCCTGCAATTTGCATATGCACAGTAGGCCAGGCGGTGTTAGCGTTGGTGGCATCATTTGCATGCATTTTTTTCCGGTTTACACATCACCCGTTTGTGTGTGTATTTGTGCAAAATTTCATTGATTAGGCAACTTGTTACCTGTGATTCGAGACGCTCCACTTAGGCTTCCCTTTAGCCTGGCCTAGACCCATTTGTTCAAAGCTCTTCATAAAGAATTAGTGACTCCTCCTTTGCATACTTCATTGAGTTACAGCTACGTTCCAATTTAATCATTCCACGTTCGCTATCAGCATTACGCATAGATGACGTGTATTCTTCATTGTTTTGACAGTCCTTTAAAAAATACAACCACATCATGCCATTAGTCTTCCAAATGCTTTTGGTTTTATCTTTATATTTGTCGGTTATTTGGGGAAATGCGGAATAACAAGAGAAAGTGTTGAATAAAAAACATTGAGTTATTACGAGAGCCAGCCACGTTTGACATTGGGATGATTAGGTTAACACGTTCCCCTCTGATGGCACACATGAGACACTCGATTGCACAAAATCTTGTCACAAAAGAGTGGTTTAGTTTAAAACAAAAAAGCGGATTCGAGACGTCCTCAGTTTTAGGAAAGTTGCATTTTTTTCTCTTGAGTAGTGTAAAGTTGTGATGTAATAGCCAATTCTCCCCTGATACTGTTAACGAAATTTGTAAATCTGTTCAGGCTTTTTATCACTATAGTAATGGATTTTGGACAATAAGAATGTGACTCAGGTATCAGCTGGCACAACCTATCTACGTATTATTTTCATTTTAGTGTTTGTATAGGGCTATCATACGCAGTCTGGTCGCTGCTTCTCTACGTGGACACATTCTGCCATTCGGACCCTAAGCCTAGAGGGAATGAGCATAAGAGGACGAAGCCTGATTCCTGGGTCTTGGCGCTTTCGTTATTTATTGCTATCGTTATTCTTGGTTTTCTAAGCAACGGTGAGCTGAGTGCCTAAAGGTCTTCCTCCTTTAAGTGTTTTAATCAGTTTATTGACTGTATGGGCTGGTTTTAAGGAAACGGTATTATATCTGTCAAATGCTTCATAGTGAGATCTCTCGAACAAGGCTACTCCTAGTTTTATACATCGTCGTCGAAATCACTGCTTCTTGCTCGGGAGCATAATCCAGCGACGTACATTAGTACTTTATCAATGTACTTTCCTAAATTCATTGATATAATATTCGCCTAAAGAGCCATCAGGAAATATTGGGTAGTGAGAAATCTGTTTAAAACTTCTAGTCGAATACAATCATTAATCGGGGCTGAAATTTCCCCCCGTTTAAGCATACCCTTTGTTGTGGTCATTGTTCTCAACATTTACCGTTGTCTATCATGCTTATTAGGTATATGTAAGTCGTTACATTATTTGCCTGGAGAATGAAGCTTGCGCATTTAGTAGCGCGTGTTGTGCCTACCTTTTTTAGCTCATCATCAATCTCTTTTGCGGACCTTTTATCAAATCCTTCCGCTTATTCTGGGTCTAATTCTACTATGGACGCCAAGGTATCGTCAGGGCTTGTTCCATCTCTTTTGTCGTACTCATTCTTTCAAGGCTGTCGGTGAGAAGAAACAAAGTGGCTCCAAATATGGCTTGATGTTAGCTCTCCTGGTCATGCTCATGGAATTTGGGGTGAGCTTTTCTATTTACCCCCCAACTTACGGTTGCTCAGTTGGATCTTCGCAGCATGGCATCGCTAATGCTATAGGGAGCATGCAAAAGGGTTTTGCGTTCTTTTTGTTGTCGTGGCATCACGATCTGACTTGGCCATATCACTGAGGCCATTGTCTAGCTCTTAATTTACTCCTGGATGACGAATATACGAGGGAATTTGTGGCCTTGCATTGAGCCTCCATGCAAGAATGAATCTGTGCTTCCAACACATCTATCATTAAAGGAATAAATGATAAAATGTTATTTTACGCTTTTGTCTCACATTAGACTGCAGGGACAGCCAACTTACCATAAAGGGATCCCATGACATGCCTAGTCATTACTGCTCACCTTCACCCCTTTCAACACAAAATGGCGGCGACTTTTGAAAGTCTTGCATGCGCTTATGATAAGTATTGCAAGCCTTATTGCAGATGTACTGCTCAGTTTGAAAGTATTAAAGTGTTTTGGGAACAGTTTGGCTCTCTTGAAGGTGGGTAGAACTTAGGCAGGAATTCACGTCACAGACTTTGTGCGACTTGACTAGACTAAAAAATGTTGCTTATCTACTTGTTCACCGTCATAGGCAATGCGGTCGTGAATACAGAGTGCACTTCTTCTGGAAGTTTTTTAATTAAAAAGTGGCGAAATTGTTTTAGTTTTTAGGGAATAAAGGGCACATTGTCTTGGCAAATAACACTCACTGTCTTTATCCCCCTTATTTCAGCTCTGGGGCTTCGTGCATCGTTCTTTGCTCTCCTTTGGAGCCATATTCCTCGGTACTTGGCCGTATCTGGATTCCACTTTCATTAAACTACGAAATGTAATTCCGAGAATACACTTCTGTTTTGCATCACTTTAATCCTTGATGATTTATAAGTCTGTGTTTCATCTAATCGTAGAGACCAAAATTGCAGCGAATATGGTGCTGCGCTTGCTGCGTGCTGGCGATCTTTCCCTTACTACCCCTGGTTGGGTCTTTCACTTCTCCCACTCTCGTGTAAGTTCGGCACATCGTCTCCTCACTTAATAGTCTTTATGAAGATCGTTTTGTTTTTATCTCCAACCGTTCCGTTAATTATCTATTTTAATTTGTAGACTTTTCTCAAATATTTGTACATCAATGTTGGCTTTCGTCCTTCTTCGGATCTGTCGAAGGTCTGAACATGTGCTTCCATGGTACAGAGAACCAAATTACCTTTTGGTAAGCACTTCTTGGACCCTCTCTCTCTCTACTTATAAAAATTCATTCACCTTAATGGAAATGGTGTACTGTCTTTAATCCATTTGCACCTGCTTACTGCAGATATTCGAGTCGCTTGTTAGTGGCTTGTTAGTCTTCCTTGTTCGCACTCTGGTGTCGTGGTCAGTCTCGATCCCAATTCTCGTCCATGTCATTTGTTGGATCCTCTTAAGTAAGTTTAGTCTTTGTTGAACCGTTCTGTCGACAAAATTATTGCCGCTTCACTAATCCTACTTCATCCTCTGCACCTTGGTGTCATTGATATTTTTTGGATAGATTTCACGATGAACATGAGTAGTGTAATGCTTGGTGGATTTGTTTTTGTTGTTTAGCAGTCGTCTGAAGGGACCTTTGTACCCTCTGTTATTACTCGCTTTCCAAGTATTTGACTCAAACCTTTTGTGCTTCTAAGGTATTCAATGGTGTTTGGCGTCATTTCAAAGTTACAACAATTTAAAATTCAAATTCAATTTAAATTTAAAATTGTTCTTTACACAGAGTGCAAATGCAGCTTTTGTCAAACAGGTTCTTGATTTCATGACTGCTTACTAGTATTTCACATCAGCAGTATTGGTCTAATTTTTATTTTTGATGGCCCACTTTTTAGTAATGTACCCCTCCCTTTATTTTAGTTGCTTCACCACTGCTTGCCTTATTCAACAAGAATTTCGTCGTCTGCGAAAGGCTTGTTGGTCTGACTTTGGCCTTCTTCATTCCCTTCAGCCTTATGAACGTATTGTATCCTTGTTATACGCAGTATATCCGTGCCATTTTAACTCATTCATCTCTAAACTTGTAGTTTTTGCCTTAGAACATTATTTTCTCTGCTGGAGTCTCCTTAACACCGACGTTAGCTACGAGGGATTGTTTTTTCTCACATTTGCCACAGTATTGTTCACGTGGATCTGGCTCGAATCGGATTTGGAATTTCATGAGGTCCGTCCACACACCCACTACATATTTCCTCCATTCCGCGTTACATTGTCTAGCTTGTCAAACCTCTGTCTTTCCCTTTCTTCAGTTCTACTCGCTCAAATTGACAACTGAATCGCAGGGAAAACCTCCTAGCACTGGTGGCCTCTTCCACGTGGATTTAGCGAGTCTTCGCCGACCGCTCTTTTACGTATCCTTTTGTAACCTCTGATCGCTACTTGGATGTTTCGACTATAATCTAGTGTTTACTGTGATTGTTGACATTTCTCTCGTTGATGGGTAAAACGCACTCAATGTTTCTATGGGACTATACCGCATTCATTTACACGACTTTTTACTGAAGTAGAGTATCTAGGCAACACATGCGTGTTGACATCGTACCCCACCAACTGCACATATTGCCAACGTGCATCACGCTCCTTAACTCACTTCTCTTTAGGTATTTTTTGTTATTTACTCGTTCTTTGGTACTGGGAATATCGCCAGCATCAATACGTAAGTGCATATTCCATCCTCTTAACGGCACTTTTTAACAATAGATTCGACCCAGTATCGGTGTACTGTTTCATGACAGTCCTCAATCCCGCAGCAATGGGTGCCCTCCTCATTTTCAAGGTAATATTATACCACGTTTATCCCCTGACGGTGCGTACCCTTAGATCCTCTGTCCTATCGTGTTGGTCGGAATTGCGTACAGCCTGATAGGTCGAGTCAAAGAGAGTCTGGGAAGTGCTACTGCCTCCTCTCCAGTTCATGGTGCGCTCCACCCGGAAACTACATTCCTTATGATAATTGCCAACTTCCTTGCGGTGCACTTTTTTGCTATGTTGAAGGATGAGGGCTCGTGGCTAGACATCGGGGAGAGCATCAGCCACTACGTGATTGCCATGTCTATTGGATTGGCCAGTGTCGTCCTCTCCCACCTCGGCAGTTGGATGCTGGTACCCACGTGGGTGAAAACTCACTCTGACAGGATGAAATTTTTGTAGCTGACTGCAATACGACACTTGTTCCTACTCCTTGTCTAGTGTTAAAAAAAATTATTGAGGTCAGTGCTCTGGTGATTTTGGAGGGCTGCCTAATGATGATTCGCAACAGTGAAAGAGAACAAAAAGATTTATTGCGTAAAATCGTTTTAATAAACAGTAAATTAAATGATTAGTCGGAATTTTCCGCCCATCCTTCAAGTACAAATTCGGTGTCGGAGGTTGGATCAACTCATAATCCGTCGAACGAAGGCTAAAACCAACAATAAATACCAAGTTGCCAAGCAAAAATAAGATGTAATTGAACGATTAGGGTAAAAGCCATCATGAGCATTTCAGGGATTAGTGTAACTACGCCCTCCTAGAAAAGCTTTCTCGGAACAAATGACTTAAGCCAATTCAAAAGTCTAGGAGGGATGTCGACGCATAATCACGTGAATATTGTAGTCAGGTTTGATGAGTTCAAAATAGTGATAGAACAGAGCAGAGATGTACAGAGGCCTGCGAAAGCCGACGACTGACCTTCGTATGGGACTTGGCCTTGTCCGTCCTCCATGCCAGCTAATAGTACATCCACTTCCTTCTCCGAGAGGCGTTCGCCTAACTGCGTAAGCAAGTGCCGTAGTTCAGCAGAGCTGATCAAGCCATTTGACTCCTTGTCGAACACTTTAAAGCCTTCGATGAACTCCTCTTGATTGTTGGGCTTCTTGTCTTTCATCAGATCTTGGAACATCGGCAAAAATGTTTCAAAACTGACTCGTTCAGCTAAAAAATCAAGGAAGGAATGGGTATTAGACCCGCACGAAACCCCATAGGAAAGAAAGATTGTTCTTTGCGCGAAATTGTAGAGTTGTGCAATGTTGGTAACATTTAATAGGGCTCCTTTCCAGCTTTCCTCTAAAAAACATCAAGATCCGCAATAGTTCGTAAAAAAGTGTACTTAAGCTGTCAAGGTGAACAAAATCCACCCTAAATGTATAGTAGAAATTAGTAAAAAATGCAATATCTCGAGTAAATGGTGTCTACTTTGTTAACCAGAAAAACCAATCTCAGAAAGTTGAACTCCAGTATGCAAAGGAAAATTAAGCTCACTTGGCTTGTCCTTATAGCCAAATTTCGCAATTTGGGCCTCGGTTGGGACCAATCCAAGGGCCCGAACTAGATCGCCGATGAACCGAGCCTCAATTTTCTCGTCTTCGCCAGTGGAAAAAAGTGCAAACAACTCTCTGGCATCTGTGAAATGATAAGCATAAATTAAACAGGTTACCTTGGAGGTCCTTCTCAGGCAAATCAGCCATGCTCAAGAACAAACAGTGGCAGAAACGCTTCCAAGTGGTCTAAGTTACGCGCACCGTTAGAGAGATAATTAAAAGATTGTCTGTTTGGTATTGAATATTAAGACTTAGCAAAAAAGAGAAGACGAATCAACGGGATTGAATTTGTGTAACTTGAAGTTATTCTGCATCAGTTTGCAAAATCATCAATTTAGCATAAGGTGTTATAAGTCCAATAAAATGATATCTACTGCCACTAGGCACAGAAATGCTCTTACAGAATTCGATGTTGTAGACCAACTTTATATACCCATTTTTGTTAGCCATTTGTTTATATTCAGGTCCAATTATTTTTTCAGCCTTAGCGACTATCACTGTAGAAGTTATAGCTACGCATTACTTTCAAACTAGACAAAAGACCAAATGTATATGTAGCACCCTGAAACTCCCTCCAAGAAGGGTGAAAATATAACACATGGGTAGAATGTGTATTGTGGATGCATAATAGGGTTTGAGGCTACTGGCTTTGCCTGGATGTCGGGCCGCCTGTGTGGGGTGCAGTGGCTGGCTCCTCAAGTAGCCTGTTACCATAACGGAAAGTTAAATAAATAATTAAAGCACTACAGTGTATGCGCGAATAGCTTATTAAAATTATTATTTTAATCTGAAGAGGTTTGTTTGTCGAGGTATCTGTTGCTCTCGCATTGATACCATCACTAATTTTAAGCACACGCTTATTAATGCCGATTTTCACTATCCTCGAAGAAGTATTGGAGTGCTGATATGCTAAAGTTTGTTTAAGAGCATTTTACATGGGGAGGTAGTCAAGAGATGTTTTCTATAAAGTTTCTGTGCATTCCGTTTCAGATACCACTTAGTATGCACTGCGTATTGGTTACTTAGTGTAAAATCTAAAGATGTATTCTGATTTACAGGTGCCTAGAAACTGTTGGGTGTTTTTTTGGTAAAGCATGAAGTGTTAGTCAGATCTTCGGTCCAAAATCTAGCAACAGAGCTAGATTAAGAAAATCAAGTATTTCTAATGAGTTTTGTTTCAGCAGAAGTGTGTACATCTTCAGTGGCAATGTCACTATAGCACTCAACTCATTTTGCGGCTGTGCATTGAACAAATGAAAATTAAAGTTGTGGCCTGTTTACCGTTATTTAAAAGGCAAGAGTCCTTTCTTTTTATGTTTCAAAATATCATAAGAGCTGCGATTAGGAACGTAGTCTGCGCTTATTACAAACGATTGGGGCCGCATACTTTAGATTGACGGGATTTTTGAAGGCCAAAGTCAAAAAAATAATAAAAGTGACCCCAATTTGAATGTGAAAGGTGATCCACCCCATCCACTTAAATAAATTTGTAGTTTTATTGTCCACTCTTTGACTACACATGCGCTTTGGATACTCATACCCTTAATTCACTTTCGAAAGCTCGCCTCAATTGACGTCGAGATCTCCCGAAATCTATCGTAACAGTATTTGTGTGCAAAATGACATTCAAAATTTTTAAAACACTTCCTTGTTAAAACGACGAGGTGTTTGCATGATCTAATGTGAAAATGCTAATTTCAAAGGTGCCTCTGGTTAGCACCAACAAATGAAATGTAACGTGCCATATTTTACGGCTTTGCCTATTATAATCGACCACCATTTTATTTTGGTTCGCCGAGACCTGCCTGAAGACGAAAGAAGACATAATGCTGGCTAAAAATATGTATTATAGACGTACAGAAGAAATTGGTGGGCTACAGTCATGTCTCGGAGGGCAGGTAGTCCGGTGGAGGTACAGTGGCGGAACCCCTAAGTGGCCTGTTACCAAATCCGAGGGTTAAACAGGCATTCAGCGTATTAATGTAAAGTGGAAAAGGTGATAGTTTGCTTAAACTAATTGGTGTATGCGAAAGGCAACGTTCGCCTCAAAGCCTGCGCATTTTCAATCTTCCGGTTCCTTTTTAAACATTATTACAATAACCGTCTCTAAGGATCTTTCTTATAAACATCTAGGCTATAAAGTTAGTTACAAATATATTAGCGACTTAAACCCACTGGGGTACTACATCAAGGCTGATTTAAGAGCCAGGAGAATCGGTGTTCGTAAGAGCCCTGAAGCCTACAAGAAAACACGAGACTATTACGATAGAGAATAAGCTGTACCACATAAATGTTGTAGCGATGCATTAAACGCGGTTTCAGCCTCAAACACGACATGACAATTCGGATCCGTGCGATCCAACCGAGATTACAATTTTCGTATAATGATTAAATTTTTATTTACACACACCCAGGAGAGACATTGTTGGGAGGAGAAGATGACGTCAAGGTGCCTGTTCTTGTTGCTTGATTTTAAATGCAGTCCATTGTTTATCCTCATAAAAATATCGTGCTCACTCTCTTCTGGTCTATTTTGTCTGCTTGAAGGCTTCCAGCTGCAGCTTCGCGTTTGCCGTCTCCCATACCAACTTATTAGTTTTCATCACCAAGGAAATATTTTCCTGTTTATGCAGCCTTATCCACATTGAAGTCCTGACATCCCACGCTTAAACTGGAACATTTTTTATATAGCCATGGCAAGAAATCATCAATATTTTTTCCAAGTTATGCGGATTTCCTGGTTTTTTCTCTTCATGCTACGTTGTGCTTTACTACTAAAAATCAAAAGAATTCCAATGGCTTGCAACCTGGTATTCAGGCGAGTGCCCAGCTTTTACAAGGAAGCGTCAAAACTTCTCGAAAAATGCCTTATCTTCTGGAGGTGAAAGGCGTGAAAACGCATAAAAGAATACCCACAGTTCCGTTTTAGTGGAGGTTAATTAAAAATCGTCTCCTTTTTAGAATAGTTGTCCTATCTCGCATTCAGTAAAATAGTAAACTTACATGAATAACTTAGTTGAAGAGTCATCGAGTTTGCTATCACTTTATGACTTCCTATGAGGAATTTTAAGGATGTTTGAAATCGTTATTACGTTATAAAGTTCAAAAGTACACTTTGTGTAAGACGATGCAGTAAAATATTCTAAATTATGCTGTTACAAAAGGTGCGTTTAATCCTGCACGGTGACATGTGGGTGAGACAACCTGAGCATAAAGTCGATTTGTACATATTTTATCAAGGAATGGACCGCTGACTGATAGCTTCATCGCTGTTTAGATGGGCAGTCTGCCATGTTAAGCCTCGAGCCTGAAGGGGCATAAAGAGGAATGGTAGGTGCTGTCACGATTGGTATGGTTTGTAGTAGTTGATGAAGCTACCACCAGCCAAAATGGCAAAGCACACCACGGTATATTTTTCCTTTACCCAAGTTTAAAAGGGGTTCAAAATTGGTAAATGACAGCCTTTCTTCTTATGTACTCCTCTCTTCCGCCCTTTCTTCATCTCTTTGCCAGCTGTTGGGCGTACAGGCGCTTGAAGGTCGATGTCTCCCGGCCATGTGATGGCCAATGGGATGTCGACGTTTTCGCACTAGGGGTTAGCCATATCTTTGGCCGCATATCCGCACACGCACACATCTGTACATACCCCGTCCACCCTCTTCACTCCCCACCCCGTCATGCATTTGCGTGCGCGCGCATACATATACCACACATTTAACGCGCTTTCACCTCTCGTCTTCTTCTTGTTGTTCTTATTCTTCTTCCGCTCATTATTACAGTCTCTGCGCTCTGAGAATCCAATTTTGATTTCATGGCAGAGAGCTCCAGTAATGCAGCACATGTGGTCGTTGCTACGACCGCCACCGCAGCCGCCACTACTACAGCCGAAAACCCAGGTAATGCGATTATGATTATGGCTAATGCTTTTGCCTTGCACATCTAATTAAAGCCGACGTGTAAGCGCCCAAAACAAGGCGTTGTTCAGACTCCCTTTTATCCGCAGTAGTTGCGGTAACCATGATCGTTTTATTCATGTCCATTAGTGTGTACGCATGCGTGCTTGTATCTATTTGTCACTTTTTTAGTACATTAGGAGTTGCTTTTTTCATCCATAGGTGTAGAATTGCCTGCATTGTTTTGAGATTTAGAGGCGAATGCACACGTAGTCGTGGTAAGAACGGTTGTATTATCGGTGGTTTTTTGTTATCAAACATGCAAATGCAAACTCGCTAATTTTTAATTAAATGATTTGGAATTTGTTTAGGGAAATTTACAACAATTTATTACCAATTCCATCAAATTGCAGTTGGTCTTAATCATTCGGAGTGATAAAACGTCTTAAAGGCTCCAATCGACAATAGTGGAGAATTATTGGAGGATGTCAATAACTGCCCACATACCATGATAGTTTGTAGCGCAAAAGATCGACTTGTAAAGGGGTGTTTCTTGTAACTGATTAAGTTGGATGTACGTGAAAAGTAAATGTCCATCATTTGGAAAGCCAGACTGGAAGTTCTGACTATTTCACCTGTTTCTAAGCTGTAGATCGAATGGCGATTTGTTTTGATAAGAGGTGTGAAGTCACCAGGTGCCTGGCTGTTGCGGTATACATAATCAATCATGAATAATTATGCACTCCAAAAGAAGGAGTTACTAAGCCTAACAGAATCTAGGAGATAGCACGTAACAGAGCGACTATCAATCCATCTTTTAAAAGTACCATGACATCAAAATAACTTGGATTGTCTTGACTAATTTTAATAAACAAAGAGAGATATTTAATTGTGTGCCTCACTTGAGCCTTGACCGTTTTAAATGTCATTGTGGCATTTACCCTTAACCTCACAAACAAACCGTAGAAAATTCGAACAAAATTAGAACATCTTTGATGAGGCTTCTTATTCCCCGAAAGGGACCGCTTGAATTCAGAAATAAATAAATGATTGATTTATGAATTCGTAGGGGATAATTTTTTGTTTCGTAAAGAATGAGGCTAATTACGTTACTCAATTGCAATTATTTCGGTGATTGATATCAAGGGCTTTAAACGGAAGAAGTTGTAAACTACTTTGTTGTCTGTAAAGATGTTAGTGAAAAATTGCTAGATCTTGTAGACATTGAAATGGATCATGATTTGTTGTTCCCCTAGGTGTATGTAGCTCAAACTTCGAAGCAGTAATTCTGAAAAGCATTGAAAGTTCGTTTCTCAAACAAGATTTTTCTGTGGAGCCTTTTTAATCACTACCATCATTAATTTACTATTATTACTGATGAACCAATTCATTCAAAGGTCCAATTTCCAGTGATTCATTAGTTACACGATCTAGCCAAGCGCATAAATGTGGAGCTCCTTTTGACTTTATTTCCGTAGCGACACTTGTTGACATTCAGAGGGAGGTAGCAACGTGCATAAATGACACAAGCTAAGCCCACTGAACGCTTTTGAGAAAGGAGTATGACTGTAGTTGTGACCGTTTGATTAACCTCACTTTGAGCATTTCCTCTGAACGTCGGCATTACATATTCCGTTATTATTTATCAGCTACCAGCCCTGAGCAGCTAAAGAATATAGGCTGTTTGGTGTGAGGTTCGTTTTAACTGCTTTGTCTATTAGTCGGCCTTCTTTGGCCGTAAATATGTGTTCAGTTAGCCTCCGCTTTAGTAACTATCGAATAAGGAGCAATGGAACAGACAAGGTGCTGAGTTCTTACTTCTCTTTCACTCTTTGTGTCGTTGGAAGTGCAAGATCTTGGCTTTGCTTCTATGACAGAGGCGTGTCCATGAATCATTATTATCTAAGCCGATAGTAGAATATTTGGTTGTCTTGACCTCTATACTTGTACCTCCCAGCAGCCAGTGTGCCATCGCCACCTCAAAGCTATTGTAGATACTTTAATTAACAATTTTTTTCGCAGCCACAGAAGAATTATACCCGTGGACAACTTCTCTTTATCTTGCAAAGCATTTAGGCTCAAAGGGAAAGCATTCAAGATTTTTTATTGCTTTCAACTCCTGCATACGTCTACGTACCTCACTGCTAGTTTGATCTATCTGAAGACGACCTTCTCCGCAATTATCTCTCAATTTCAAGCTCTAAAATGGGAGACTGTTTGGGAATATGCCACAGATAGGTTGAGTTGAAACTCCATTCAAGAGTTGGAAAGTTCCCGCTGTAGTATGTTGATTGTGCTGATTTGATTACCAGAACGAACCTAAAAAAGCATCAAAATAAAACTTCTAACGTCGAGTTGGATCTGGGTTAGGTAAATCAGGTTAATATAGTCCATCAGACTGTATTTTTACATTTAGAGAACCCTGGGTCTGCATATCATTCTTTACAATGGATAAGTTTTAATCGTTCCTATAATGGATGCATCGTAAAGTTACCGAATAAAATGACCAGTTCACGATTACGTAAGGCACTAAAATTAGCAAGGGTGGTGCAGTGGCTAATTTTGCAATAGGTAGGTTCTAAAACTGCCTATAATTCCCCTACCTGAACTGGACTGGAGTGCGATGTCACTTGGATCTTTCCATAATTACAGACGCCTTCAATTTCCACAAATCCGGAAACCACATTGCCAACACATTCCATTCTTCCAATTCTCACCTGCCCCATTCTCCAGTTTTAGGGGTAAGTTTACAGACTTTTCTCCTCATGCTTTTTCCCTCAGCACCAACAAAAGCAGAGTTATCCAAACCTCGTTGTTTTTAACCGCACTGCAAACACAATCCACCTGAATGTGTGCACAAACAGCAATGAGGAGAAGCAAAAGAAACGTCGAAATCGAACTACCTTTACAAGTTTCCAGCTCAATGAAATGGAGCGTATATTTCAGGTAAATAAATAGTGGGATAGTGTATAATTCTTTTTCTTAGAAAACCCACTATCCAGACGTCTACGCCAGAGAGCAGCTGGCACTGCGGACGGGTCTCACAGAGGCACGAGTTCAAGTGTGGTTTCAGAACCGACGAGCAAAGTGGCGGAAGAGAGAACGCCTCTGCAATGGTACCAGCGTCGGCAGTGCTGACACCATCTCCCCAATGCCCTCCGTCTTCTCCTACAGCGAGTTTTCCGACAGCACGGGTGTATTTACCGATGGTCTACGCAAAAGCCTTGAGCATTCAGAAGTTCCCTTCCCCTCCGACATAATTGCTAGAAATAAATTACCCTACGGCGCAGAATATCCCCCCTTTCTGTGTAATCCTATGCGACCGAATGTCCAACAGAAAGCATACCTGTCGAGGTACGTTAGACCATCACCCGATCAAGCCCCTTTTGATGAGGCTTCACGCATCTTCAGCTCGCTGATGCCGAAATTGTGTAACCCTGTGGTAGAGACTTCACCACCACCTCCGCCACCTATTCTTCCCCCCTATCCTCCTCCTCATCAAAACAATCAGCATCAGCCACAGACACATGTTCAACAGGATTCACAGCTGTGCTTTAATCTGCACGAGAATCTGAAGACACCGGGAGGTATTTCACGGCTCATGAAGGAGTGGCCCGAAGCAGAGGATGTTCGGTGGGCATTGCATAACGGTCAGTGGACTAAACAACACCAATCAGGAATGACTACCAGGACACAGTTGTTCATGTACTCCCCGGCCTTTGAAGGCTACGCAAAGCAGTACGCAGTTCACCAGAATGGTGAAACGACAATACCGACTTTGAATAAGTGAATACTCCCTTATGCTCTGTAACCATAGCTCCTCAATTGATCCTCCTCCACTTTGTACATAATATTAGCATGTATGATATAAATCATAGTGTTAAAATTTAAAGAAAATATTCCTTATTTGGTGGATAAGAAGGATCATGTGTTTTGAATATTGCATAGCCGCGAAACAAAGGGAACGAGGAGCGCTGTTTCAAAGAGATTGAATGTTCCATTCCACTACACGAATCGTGGGGGCTTTTCCAGCCTATGTAATGTCCTGACTTCTCAACGGTTGCAAGAATTGACTAAATAAACTTGAATGGATATTGAGTGTGAATGTGGAGCTTGAAGTTTCCCAGTATCACTATACCTAATCAGCGGATGCTAGGACGCAAATTAAAAGCCTTGAGGGTGAATGCAGGTTGTAAGCAAGGGACAGAATATGATTTTTGCGAGTACTACGTGTGATTTGAGTTACTCTGCAATCCAAACTCGGAGGGATGCTTGAAACAGAGTTAACATTTCAACCAGTAGCCACTAATTGGGCAATTTTCCCCATAACACATCAATGCGGGTGGAAAAAAGCACCACCTGACGGGAACTATTCATGGCGAGTCTCAACACAGCGATTGCCTGAAACTAGTAGCATGCAGAGAGTGGGCCAGAAAGAGACCGGGATTTGTGAGGTGATTGACATACGCAAACCCAGCAGCAAACAGCAACGCGCAAAACTACATGGAGAGCGCACGTGTGCACAAACCAGCACCTCGAAGCGCTCTTGCTATTTGCCTGATTTGGGATGACAGTGGGGGACTGGCGTACCTCTCCATCTTGCCTTGCCAGAAGAAGCATACGAAAACATGTTGTGTGTGTGTGTGTACGATTTTTGACTACTGTGGTTTGGCGCGTAAAACCGCAAGAGGTAAGAAAGAAAGCGGGAGGGAGGGTGGAGAGATGAGAGGTCTGACTGACGTGGGAGATTATGATGGCCAAATTAACAGAAAGGTAACACTGTGGGGGAAGAGAGGGGGGTAGAAGCACTAAATTGACTTGCAAAAGACGTTGCTGTACGACAGATGCTAAGGAGTCAAGTCGTCCTTCCAATTGCTGGTGCTTGCCTCGTGCTTATGAATGTCAGGTAAGACTGTAACTGTTCGCTCTTATCAATTACCACAGGGCGTCCCTCAGGTAGCTTTACGAAATGGGAAATAGCCATTTGCAGTAGCCCCATGAACGTAGACTTTTACGCTACCTGTTTTCGAAGTCATTTAAAGTCTAATAAAGTTTTTTTTGCTCTTGGATTAAACGAAACCAAATAATTTCGACATAATTCATAGAGTGTTTCCTTTTTCCACTTTATCAATATAAGACTTTTAATGAATATGCTGTCGTGTTTTCCTTTGGGTAACGAGGGTTCCCTTGCCTGCGGCTAATAAAATCGGTGAATTTGGTCGCTCCTCTTTGAGACTGGTGGACATCGGAACCATCACAAATTACCTTATTGAGGCTTGTTTACATTAAAGCACATCTCAAATCAAATTTCCAGATTTTCTGCAAGTCATAATTACTAATTTTTAAGAGATAAATTAAATGAACGGCAGAAAACTGTGAAACGCTACAATAAGGTAAGTTTGAGCATTACGAATCTATTTATTTTGCTCATAACGTTAAAAGTTATATTGAGCCTGTTTACTTTCAAAACCTCAGCTAAACCTCAAAAGTAACCTAAAAATTCGTTTTTCTTTTAGTAACTAGCAATTCCTACTATTACTATACGATTGTATAGGACGTCGACTGCCACTATTCATCGTTCTATGAGAAAATTGGGAATGTGAAGCCAATTAATGTTGATTCGATAATTTACAACTATTTATTATTCAAAAATAAAGCCTTTTGAAATATATGTCAAATCTCAACCATGGTAAGTCCAATGCAAATACCTATATTAAGCACAAGCTAGCTATAGACGTGTTTGGTAAAAGCGAATCACATCTAGACCATTTCCGCTCCTGAGGGTGTTTCTCTTCACAACCCGATTACAGTACTTAAGGAATTTTTGTTTTGATCAAGTAGGAGATAGCTAGACATTTTACAAGTATTCTTCGCCCATGAGTCGATGAAAGTGTAATAATCTCTTCAGGCATGGGGATGAAAAAGCAAATTTCTGTAGGCCTTAAACCTTCAGGTGACCTTTATTTAACCTGTTTCAGCTACTTGAGGGTTTGTGCAAGGCTAAGCCTAAAAGGATAACAACAACGCAGCCACATGGTCAATTTTACCAAAAAGCGTCTCGACCGATCATTAAGGGGTGCCTAGGGAGCGAAAAGCCCCAAGAGAGAGTAAAAAAATAAAAAGTAAACATTTTGTTCATCGCGTCAGCTGCTTCTACCGCCAACGCTGTTTATAATATACACACAGGCATAGAAGAAGAAGAGCTTGCTCTCCCTTAACAGCACCCGCAAAAAAAGAGCTCGGTACAGCAGCAAGCGCACCTTTCGACCAATCGCAATGCAGATTTAACAGCAAGCTTCTGATTGGTCGGCACCCGCGCGTGTGTGTGCGCAAACCGCGAAATGAGGGAAAGGGGAAGAAGAGGGAAGGGGGGAACCGCAACGCGTGAATAGGGGTCTGAGGGGTAGATGGGGGGGACAAATGATGGCGTTGGCACCTACTTTCATAGGGTCTAACCGCAGAAAGACCAAGCGACTGCGGAGGCCTGACACGAAAATAACAGCTGTTAAAAGGCCAGAGAGACGACCAGGAAGAAAGAAAATGGAGGTGGAGAAGGCGGTGGAGGTGGGAGAAAAGTCTCTTTGCCCCTGAGAGGGCTTGTTATATGCATCCGTGTGCGGACATCGCCGTCACCAGCCGATCTCCATTGGCAAGTTCGCTTGTCGATGTCAATGTCCAGGTCAACTCTTCAGCATTGGTATTCCTGACACGGATTTTTAATAATTATAATTTAATTTAACGAATTTACATTAGACGACAAAAATTTATGAATAAAAGTAGAATTAATATTGGGTCAGCTTAATAGGGAAATCTTCTTTATCTGAATGACTGGCCATGAGAAAATAGGACCTAAGATTTGACTTGGTATTTTGGCGGCATAACATCAGATTTTTAAAACGGCTGGTTAAATTCCATTGGAATCCTTAATTTTTCATTTACTTATGCACCTCATCGTAGATTTATCTTTCTGGATTGTAAAATTTTGAAAATATAGGCATAACTTGACAAGTTTACCACTAGGGTGGCAAAGGAAAAAAACAACCACCGCACATCAGATGCTTTGTTGTTTAAAAGTGCCATCAGAGAGCTTTATTTTGCTTTATTTTCCAGTCCAAAATGGCTCGGCCTAAATAAATAGTTGTGATATGTGTGATATATGGGGTCACATATATGTGACGCTGGTGGCATCATGAAATTCGTTGTTGATAATGCTCAATACTTACTCCTTCTGCACCGCAGTGGCTTCTAAACGAAATTTATGCATAATTTGTGAGGTTAAACGAAGTTGTGGCAAACACGAGTCCCCGCAGTCTCGATAACATCCCACGGCGAGAGGCATACCACTGGAGACGCGCAGATGGGGCATCATCCACTTTTTCACTGGTCCAGCCAGCACGCAATCGACTTTTTGGACTGGGCATGTGTTGATAATGATGAATAAGTGGCAACTGTCTTCTCATCTTTTTATTCCTCCTTCTCCTTTGCCTTCACCAGCTTCTTCTGCTTCTCCCTCCACCACCACCTCCTTCTCCTCCTCCTCTTATGTCTCCTTCCTTCCCTCCCTCCTCTTGCTGCTGTCTTTTGATGACTTTAGACAACCACCCCCAACCCATTCCATTCCACACCGAGTCGTCGTGCAATTACACCACAGGTGGGAATTTCTATCCGTGTGTGAGTGTGTGTGGATGGGTACGTATGCATGTGGATTTAACATCGCCAATTTATCATCGTTTTTTCCTGATTAATGTAGGTTTAAGTTATAAAAATTAGAGAGCCACCGCTTCCCTTGGAATCTCCCCATTTTTAATTACCCATAAGATAGCATGAGAAAGTTTACAAATTTGTCGAAAGAGCTGGGGGGAGGTAATGCTATTACACAGACAACATCAATCAAGCACTCCATGGACTTAGCAGACCTAAAATCACTTTAAGAGCGTTTTTGACGAGCTATGAAAAATCTTCAAATATGCCTTCAAAGAATGTGTGGAAATTAGTTTTTTGCGTCGGCGACGGCTTAAGTAAGCAACCCTCTGGAGGGCACATGATAGGCAGTACCACTAATTCCATCTTCATTTGAAAGAATATAGACAGATAATCAAAAAAGTGCTTCGTATGCCCAATTGACCCAAGGGTCAAATAACAGTAAAACTGTTCAGCCTTTAGTATGGAATCCGCTGTGGGCGATTGCGCCCACCGTCCGCCGCACTCACCATCTCGGAAGTGTGGAGTGGTGGGAAGATCATCGATAATGCGTTGTTTGTTTAACAAACATTGGATGGGAAAAAGATTTACCTTTCGTCACGGGTCAGTCATCAAAAGAGGAAAATTGTCTCAGAGGCTTCTCGTCATCTGTTGATGTTTGGTATGTGGGATCCATTGACTTAGTAGTGTAGACGCCTTTCCCAGTTGATATGCATGCAAACAGATCAAGCTAGCATCATTTACATCAAACCTGCCTGCTGTTTGTACCTGATACATCAACCCTAAAGTGCCATTACAATCTAAGCTAAGAAGCTTCCTCCATGTCCGTTGATTGATTCAACACCAGGTTTAGATTGTTTAAATCCTGTGTGGACAATCCGGTCCGGTCCGCTTTGCCACCGAATGCTACGCGGGGAATTTGGCGAGAAGTCTCAACTTTCGCTGCTGTTCTACATACCGCGTTTGCCTTAAAACATACCAATGAGCTTCAAGAGAATTTTGTAAGGGTGTATGACAATAGAACTATGGTGGAGAGCACAGGTAAGACCGCCTCCCATCTACGTTTTTATAGACAGTCGCATGCATTTTGCAAGTGCTTACAAGTTTCGACAAATCCTCGCAGCAAGCCATACCGCTAAATGTAAGACCTTCTGGTTATCTGATAATAAAGAGGTTCACCTAGGCTTACAGAGTGCCCCGTTTTAAACCTTAAATTCTCCTCCCCCTCACACAGAATAGAAATTGCTTTTGCATGCAAGTCATGGCGCATTTGTGCATGACGACAAAAAAGTGGCGCTTCGTAGCAATTCGGCTCTTTGTGCGCTTCTAAGTTTAAGCGCGCTCATGTACACAAACGTGTGATGAATAACCCGAGGTATAGATTTGTGGTCTCTGCTTCTCTTCGTTATGTTCCACTCCATTGAAGAGATTTTTTTGTCCGCCTTTCTTCGTCCTCTGGAGTCAAAAAGGCGCAATAGATGTGCCTTGTTTTAAGGCGGGGGAAGGGGATGAGGAAGGGGCTACCGTGAAGTCCCCCCACTTTTCTAACCTTTTTAATGGATGTCGTGCTTTGCTTTCGTCCATTCGTTTGATTGCGAGATACTTCATTCCGTCGAATAACAACACCCTTTTATGGCCACACTGCAGTAGTGAGAAGGGCACTCCGCATTAAAAAAGCCAAACCCTTGTGGTCAGGGAACACTGAAAATTCGCTAAGAAATCAAGACGGGAGCTATTGCACGTCGAACAGACAACAGAATTAATCAAGAGTGTGATGTGTACTGAATTTAACAATGGAGTATCCTGTAGTCATGTCAATAATATTATATCCGTATTTGTAGAGCAGGTTATCTGCGAATTCTTGGAAACCCTGCATCTAATTCACCTCTGAAGACTCCACGGGATGTTGGAACGTGTAAATACTTTAACAAGGGAGAAAGAATGGAAGGTGAAATTCGTTTTGGGTAATGTGTTTAACGCATAACTACCATTATCTGGTTCCATTTGCCACTAAGATAATGATGAAGACAATAACGACATTTCAGTGTTCCAATGTGACATTGATACTTACGCATCAAAATTGAACAATTAAGCTGCTGCTTATTGTACATCTACCTTACTACCTTAAGTTAAACACTCTATCTGCCTACAATTTGGTGCAGCAACGTATCAGAAATTGATAAAGAACACGTGTCACCTATATGTGACGCCAGAGTCAGGAAAAATATGGGGGTCGTACGTAGCAATAATGATGAACTGATAAAAGGAAATGTCGTGATTAACTAATGGATTTTAAAAGGCAATTTCCACAAATACAGGTAACAATCAAGGTCGTGATGCGAATATGCTGAGGCAAAGGATTTGCATCACGCCCTCTTCAAAGAAGACACTTTATCTGAAACGTAGCCGAGAATTATCAACTAGTATATCTTTCCAGGCCTTTTTTTGATATATTGGAGGCTTTCAGAAGGGAATTTGTCATTTTAGCAAACTTGATACAGAGTCTAACAAGCATCGTAAGCCGAATACGTACACATTCGAACGACCAATCACAAAGCTTGTTTGATTGGATTACCTGGCTACATTGTGTTGAGCTATTGGGCTTAAACCATTATAAGACAACAAAAACATGTTCTACGGCGTCCAAATAAACCCATAAACTGGATGAAAACATAAAGAGGTTGAGTCTGGCTCCAGTTTGTTTGGCGACTGAGTACTTACTACCTGCTTCAACGCCTGGCTTTCTAACTCACCCGTTTCTTCAAAATTGACGGTAATTTACAGAGCAATGTGAGATGTCTGGAGGCGTTTTTGAAGAGAATTATATGAATAATTTGCAAATAGCATTACCTGCTCATTCAAAAAAAGTAACAAAATTTTTTGGTATCGGAAGCTAGAGGGATGCGATTATTTAGAAGCAGTAGGAGGCTTTAATATATTTGTTAACGAACTTTAGTAATTGCCCATTTGAAATGATTTTTCTTGAGTTCTTTGAGGAACACACAGCCATATTATGCCACCAGTTTTAGAAATGCTCTTGATCATATTCTTCTAGTTGACAGTTGTATGAAGAAATAGGGAGCAAAAGGGGCCAAAGCTCAAAGTCTGACATTGAGATGTTCGTAGAAATGGGTTAATTTGACACGTTTCCCAACAGTAATGCATATATTTTTGCCCTTAGTCAGTTTAGTACAAAGGATTAGACACACTCGTGTCAAAATCAAATAGTTTGACTAGAAAATTTCGTGGTCTGGTGAAACTCATGCTTCAAAGCTTTTGAAAAGCGATCAAAGTAGTCAAGGATTAATAACAAGCAGCTCCATAACGGTGAAATAGATCATCCAAACTTCAGCACCCGATTAACCTTAGAGACCTTGATAGCGAGAACATCCACCGCTGTAGCTGTATGAAGTAGCATTAATCCATGTGCAAACTTAGGCCCAAAGTATTAACAGTTGGATGCCTCAAAACCGAAATGGATTGATTGTCTACTGAAATTTTTAAAAGTAGTAAAAATAATAAAGCTAGACAAATTCGCTCCCTTTTAATGCAGGCTTCACAAACAGAAATAAATTAAGAGATTCCAAAGCTCCTTTCAAAGACTAACTTAAAATCGAGTTGCTACAGTTACCATGAGACAGGTGCTATCATTCAAAGTAAATGATGAATTTGGCGCATTTTGTTAAAAACGAGGGCAAAACATGGGCACAAAAATTTAGCAAGAAATCAACACCAGCATCTAATCACAAGTGTTCGCAATCAGTCAAGCATGTCCAAATCTTGCCTGCTAGTAATACGACCAGAATATGTCAGAGGAGTCTACCCATCCTGTTGTAGAAAAATGCGATTAGATAAAGTAAAACCTCATAACAAAATGGAATGTCAGAATACGAGTTGCATGATCAGAAACACAAAGGCCCGCATTGAACAGAAAGTCGCGCTCTTTTAGCATTAAAGAACTATCGTAGGTAAAAGTGGTGTAATAAGCGTTTGATTGAATATACCTTTAAGGAGAGAAGAAGGCAGTTTTTTTAATCACTTGGCATAGCGGAAGCCTTCAAACCCTGGTGAGGAAAACAATCCTGATTACATTTAAATCTCTACAACCTATAAATTTCCACATCACTGGTCAAGTAAAAAATGCCTTCCTTTAACCACACTTCCTGTCCCAAGGGTACAGAATCAGAAGCGGTTAGGTAGAAATCCTGCAAATCCCCAAACATTTATATTGTAATGCTATGGTTGTTTAACCATTGGTCTTCGTGAAGAGCGACTTTTAAATTGGCCTATGTACTACGCCGGGTGGGTTGGCCTTCAGGCCATGCCAGTGGAGCTAGTACTTTCTGTGTGTCAAATATAGGTATTCCGCCAGAGTATTATGTCTTCTTTTATCTTCAGGAAAGTCACAGGACGCTACAATTATATTCTTACTAGATCCAATGTTAGTCAGCATTACGATCCCATCCAAACTTGATTAAAAACTGGTCTGAAAGCATTTAACCGATATAATTTACAACGAGAACAATAAAATTCTTACAGTAACTAGGACTTAATTATCATTTGTTTTACAGGCCAGGTAAAAGTTGCACGTGGGAATACTGTTAAACGTTGCTTTCATTGTAGAATTATGATTGAACACTTTTCAAGCTTACAATCGTGGCCTTTGGAACTGGTTAATTACAAAGAGAAAATAAGAAACCCTGCTAATAAACAGGAGCCTCCATAGTCATTATTTAGCAGTACATGTGCAAATAATAGATTCCAAGTCTTTTTAAATCTATTGTTGTTACACCTACATGAATTAGGGATTTGCCTTCCCAGTTTCCAAAGCTTGTGTTTTAAATCTGGATCGTAATCCTTCGTGATCATAGCCGCACATCCCTTCTAAGTCTTAATAATAAATATTCTCCAAAAGTTAAACGAGCTATACTAATAGAGGAAGATTAATGAACAACATCAAGAACGTCTGGGAGGGTGTGAACATGATCGGCGGGACTTGCACACGTAATTTTAAAGGGAAGTTCAACTTAGGGGAACTAAGGTGATAGCAGAGTCAAAAACATAGCTAAACTAACGCAATACTGCGGTTGTTTATCCCTCGATATTAGCAGGGAGACGCATTTGAATATATCTTTACCACGCCGGGTGGGCTAGCCTTCGGGTCATGCCAGTGGCCCAAATACCTTCTCTGTGCTGAATACATACACTCTGCTCGAGTACTATGTTCCATTTCATTTATAGGGAAGTCTCGCTCCGCTGCACTGAATCAAGTCATCGCCCTGATGTAGTTAACTAGGATTAAACAAAAATAAGAGGAAACGTTGCCTAAAAGTGAAATGCAATGCAAGACCTAAACCCCCGGTGAAAAAGAAGATTGAGTAATCTTGAATATGCTTTCAACTAAGGATCATTATAAACAAAGTAAGACCAATTAAATATTGAGAAATATTGCTTACCAAAAACTCTCCTGAAAAGCCTTTTAATCAGCAAGTTCCTGATTAAATATATGCACCTAGACTCTGCCCATGTAAAGACTCTTCTTAGTTAAATTTTTGGTTTTTGCATTTATCTTAAAAGCGGAAGAAGTGATTTGCTTATAATGATGGAGATGCTTCTCAAGGACATGTGCCATCCCAGCTGATTAAAGTCTGGCTTTTGTTTCTCTGCGGTAGTTGGGCGGTTTTCTCTTGAGCGATGTCCGAGTACTCACACGTCATTAAAGGCGCTTTAAAACTAAAGACGGAGAGTAAAATAATGAAGTAAGTGCATTTTGTCTACATAGGCCGCAATCTAGGAGATCTAAAAAGCACAAGAAGCATGCTCTCAAATCCCATGAAAAAAATGACCCTAACGTAGAAATTATTGAGGAGAAAAATGAACCGAAGATTACGAAGACCGCCGCCGAGGTTGAATTCGAGAAAAAGAAAGAAAAGCGGATGATGGAAAGGATTTTAACAAAGGCAGAAAAGTCACACAAACAGCGAATCATGGAATTCAATGAACACCTGAATTCTATGAGTGAGCATTTCGATATTCCAAAGGTATCATGGACAAAGTGAGATGTTACCTTCGTTTTGTATGTGCATGCACTGTGGATCCTTGTGCTTTCCTCCTGTACGTTTCTGTTCTACCGTTTTTTTTGAACGCCTCTATGATAAGTCGAATCAATTGTACATTCTACTCAATTTTATCAGCCTTTGGCATATACGCTTCTGGCACAATGTGAACAATTTTTGTTAATTTTTTTGGCGTTGCCTAACTACTCCTAATACTTTTCAACTCGGCGCTTGAGTCATTCGTCAAAGAGGATACAAATTTTAATCTTGGTGTAATACGTACATATCAGTCATCACTTAATTATCTGTTTTTGGCTAGACATTTTTAGGGAAATTTTTGGATACTTTATCCTGAATTTCCTCGTGCTGACGTGTTAGAATTTTTGTCGAAGTCCTTTAGCTTATTCATTAATAATAAGACCTAAATGATCGCTTTCAGTTTGGGTCTTACTGAAAATACTAGTTCCCAACTGATCGGCAACTGGTGCTGTCTGTTTTGGGTCTGAAGGATTTGCCGTGTTGCAGTGGGATGGAAATCGTCTTAATTTTATGCAGTGTTATGTAGACCTTTAGTAAAATGATGCGCTTATGCCATCTTCGTTACTAAACCAAGCAGCACTGTGATTACTATGAAGGACTGTAGAAGGGATTGCGGCTACCACCGTGGACAGGGCCGTGTGCCGCAGTCGTGATTGAGTTAAAAGAGGTCGAAGAGCCTTACGTAACGGTGAATATAAGCAGGACAAATGCCAGTTTCTTAAACTGCTTCTAGACTTATGTGACCTATGATGTCTTCGCTGCTTACGAAGGAGGTATAGACTGTCTCCGTCCTAATGGTAACGTTGTTCCTGAAGATGAGCTAAAAAGTAAGTCTGGAGAAAGATCGGGGTGGACGAGTCGATGGTGACATTTTGATGGAATTGACTACCTCAATCAAAAACGACATATATGATATTTTTTTATCAAATCACCGAGATAAAGCAACCGTGCAGATAGATGAGATCTGTGGAATACACTCGAAGGTATTCAGATGTAGGTAGTTTCGCTAACAGCTTTTTTGAAACTGAACATCTAGCCTCTTGTTCACTCAAATAAGGCAATCAAGCACCAACTGGTTCCCTCTGTTTAGATCCAAGTCAAGATCAAAAAGTAGTTAAAAGCACCTTTTAGTTATGCAGATGCTTCCCGTTTGTGCCATTTCGGTATTACTAAAGCAGTCGGGGTGTAACATTGGTGCACGTTAAGGCAGAATGTGCTACCTCAAGTATGACACATTGAAGTACCAAAATAAACTAGCAGCAATTTATTCATCACCAAAAAGTTCAACACGAACACGCGATGATACAGTCCCAGCGCTTTTGCTGGTGATAAGGACATTACGATCGGGTTAGATGGACTCAGGAAGATCCGCGAATGTTATTGCGCGAACAGAGTCGCCACCAGAACATGTAACAAGACTTTCTTCACCTTAAAAGGAGCAATGATAAAACTGCTAAAGGATTTCTTAGAGTTAAACGCCGTGACAGCTATCAAAGGTCTGGGTGAATTAGTTTATGTTTTCATTTTAGTTACGGGGTATGTAAGTAGACAAGCAGTGTCTCACCTCAATGCTATCGTTGGTAGGATATTTTGTTTTTGATCCGACTTCAGACGATGTCTCTTAACCAGTTCTTTGCAATTTATGGCGAGAATTTTATCATTCTTACCCTATCTTTATCTGCAATAAGAGAGGTTTGCACGATTCCGTAGTTTTAGGAGGCAGCACAAAGAAATAAAGTATATTGGATCAACATCCGTCAAGATATAGACTGCGATATGCTTCCTCATCTACAATCCAGGAGGCGAAATCCAGAGATGCTGCTTTCTGCACCGTAGATAATCGGAATTCTCTGGACTCACTGAAGGCACACAACTTAGTCCTTCTAGGCCAAGGAGTAAACTCGGTATTTCCATCATATTAGATCCGTTGTAATATGCTTATTTTGGACTGAATCCATAGTTTTAACAGCAAACAGACGATCCATGACAGAATGGATCTAAGTACCATCTTCTTCAGTTGGTATTCCAAAGTTTCAATGGACTTATTGTAGAAAGCAGCGAGGTCAACTTAGGAGCCAATTGATATTTTAATTAACAGTTGAATAGCCCATTTGCCAACAGAGTTATGTGACCCTACAGCAGCGTAAAAACTCAGATTTTCGTCACGTACTTCTTCCAACTAAACTGAGACTTTAGGTATATTTTCTGCCAAATTTCGACTAAAACGAAGGCATGATGCATGTAAAATCATGCCCTGGCAATCTGTACTATTTACTCAGTGCCAAACAACTGGAGTAGGGTGGGATGACTAGTTGTTTGCCGATTTTAGGAATGGGGATCATTCTACTCACCGAGCACCAGTATTAACAGAAAAAAACGAAGGCAAGACAAAATTTTTGCCGTCAATCAAGTATCTGTTCAAAGATGGATAAGATAGTTGAAAAGACACTGAACCTGGAGCCTTTTTTTAGAAGAAGGCAACACATTTTAATCATCTACCACCACCGCCATCAAACCGGCCCACGTCAACAGCACATCCGGGCAGATTAATACAGACTTTGTTAATTAGGGGTTTCCTTATTCACAGAAAACATCTGGATCTATCATTACTGTATTTGTCAGCTAGAAGGGGGAAAACCATCAGAAACCTCTCGCTTCATGATATGACACCAAAATCGAAAGAAGCCAATGTATGGAAGTAGCTACTTAAAAACGTATTATTGGATTGTGGGTATAACACATTAATTCAAGATCCTAACAAACAATAACGTCATTTTTCACTTTGTATTCAGCGTGTATTTGGATCAGAGATATATTCACAACAACTTTGCTGAGTTTTTGCTGACGTACTTGACAAATTATGGAACCATGCTTTTATCCAGTATAAATTCACAACCTTATTACAGACTATTTCAAAAGTTTTCATTTTTTATTAACCGCGACCATAGTATTAGTGTAATACGATAGTGGTTTATCCCTCGGTTCTGGTGAGGCGCCACTTTTGTACTTCGAATTAGCCCCCTTGTGCCTCGCTGGGTGGGCTGGCCTTTTGGGCCATGCCAATAGCCCAGACACCATCT